GACCTTGTGTACATGTGAAGCAATGGTGATCGTGGTCAGCTTGCTGAAGAAACAAACTTTGCAACAGAAAAAGCATGAAACCAAACAGATTGAAGGTAAGTGCGCGCCCCCCTCCCCACCTATAAGATCTGTTGACATTTGTTTTTATACTTCATAGCCAAAATATTGTTACAACGCCATTGGGGTTGATTTCAAAGTCAAATCATATATCTCTGGTGTATTGTATAGTAAAGTTTATTACAGTGCTTTATGATATAATTTTAAATTGTTACTCCAAGTAATAAAAATAGTATTTTTAGCATCCTCTTTTGACTTGTTGCCTTCAGTGCTCGCATGCAAACTAATACAGGTCTTTCCTGTTGTTTTTCAGGTGTCCAAAGGGTGCGACTTTGTCAATTCTATTTGCGAAAACTGCAGTTTTTGCTGAATATGCTTCTGATCAGAATGTGATACGATCTGTATTCTGAAATCATAATGGCTAATGTTAGTTATACATCGTATAATATTTTGAAAGTTACTGTTAAACTGTTTCCATTCCAAGAATGTTGATGGACTGATTTTATATTTTTAATTAGATACATTGTACAAAAATCAATGTGATAATAAACATCTCTATACTGTCCAAATGCTTTTCAAAATAACATTTAGTTGCTATACATTATTGTCTGTTTTACAGTATATTTAGGTAGCACTATATACATTGTATTTCTTTTCTTGTGGGCAGAATGGTTTTCTTGCTACAAGCACAGTTAGCTCATAGTTCAAGAAATCTTTTCTTGTGTACAGAATGGTTTTCTTGCCACAAGAACAGTTAGATGTTAGTTCAAGAAGTCTTTTCTTGTGGGGAGAATGTTTTTCTTACTACAAGAACAGTTAGATCTTAGTTCAAGAAATCTCTTCTTGTGGGGAGAATGGTTTTCTTACTACAAGAACAGTTAGATCTTAGTTCAAGAAATATTTCCTTGCGTGGAGAATGGTTTTCTTGCCACAAGAAGAGTTAGATAATAGTTCAAGAAACCTTTTCTTGTGGGGGAGAATGGTTTTCTTGCTACAAGAACAGTTAGCTCTTAGTTCAAGAAATCTTTTCTTGTGTACAGAATGGTTTTCTTGCCTACAAGAAGAGTTAGATAATAGTTCAAGAAACCTTTTCTTGTGGGGAGAATGGTTTTCTTGCTACAAGAACAGTTAGCTCTTAGTTCAAGAAATCTTTTCTTGTGTACAGAATGGTTTTCTTGCCATAAGATAGAGTTAGATCTTAGTTCCAGAAATCTCTTCTTGTGGGCAGGATGGTTTTCTTGCTACAAGAACACTTAGCTCTTAGTTCAAGAAATCTTTTCTTGTGGGGAGAATATTTTTCTTGCTACAAGAAGAGTTAGATCTTAGTTCAAGAAATATTTTCTTGTGTACAGAATGGTTTTCTAGAAAACTTAGAAATTCTTACTGCAAGAATAATATTCTAAGGGTGTTTAGTTCAAGATATATAAGAAAAGAAATCTTACCACAAGAAAAATATGCTAAAATGCAGTTTCTTGAAATTCTTGTCTCATGGACAAGATTTTTTTCTTGGGTGAAGAATAATTTTCTCAGTGGAAGAAAAGTTTTCTTCTCTGAAGAAAAACAAGATTGGCATTTTTGGTAGTGTACAAACTACACAATCAGCACCAAAAAGAGGACTGATCTATATAAAATACAACACGGGGTATTCCGTATCGCCCGAGGTACCAGCCCGACCGCGCGTCGGATCGCCCGACGGCCGAAGGCCGGAGGGAGATCCGATCCGCGGGAGGGCTGGGACCGAGGGTGATGCGGAATACACCGTGTTGTATCTTATTTATGTCATACCCACCCAAGAAAACGCACCTTTCAATGCGAAATGAGCGAAAATGTGGTGTCCCTAAACCCAAAAAATGCGACAACATCAATTCCAACGTCCGAATTTTGTATTCGAATTTCGAAATCGGTGCACGCGGTTAGGGCGAAAACGCGTTCGAATCGTTCTATGGAACATTTGGAAGCCCTGGGCCGTACGCGTTCAGAACCCCCGGGCCGTACCGCTAGTTATCACACGGGCCGGAACACGCGTATCGAACGTAATCGCGGCCCAGGTAGGACATAAATGTGAGTATATCATATTTACAAAATATGAGAGGACACTGCTGTACAAAAGCAGCAGGACAGGGGCACATAAAAGACGACATTGTGCAAATCTAATGTTTATAGTCATTAAACAGTTCCAGATTAAAAGTATTCCTACTTACAGTTCTGTCTACAACATTGAAAGGGAAGAGTCTGGTAGGCGGTGAGTCCAGAGCACTCGGCGACGCACAGTCCTGAAAGTCGTACTTCATGGTGTCGTTCGCTGCACCCAACACCACGGCGTCCTCGAACAGTACAGCTAACGAACAGACCATACATTAACATATCAGTATCTCATTTGCATATAACTCATTTGCATAAATGGGAATCTAACATGGTTCAATAACACATATACCTATATGGATGTTTTTCAATGACACTTAATTGTGGGGTCGTGTGGCGCAGTCGGTAGTGCATTCAGCTCACACCCAAAAGGTCGCGGGTTCGAATTCTGCCTCCGTCACCAATCTTGTGCCCTTGGGAAAGGCACTTTACATGACTTTCCTCACTTCACTTAGGTGGAAATGAGTACCTAGCTTTGGTTAGGGACGTCCCTCGGATAAGACGTTTTTGGGAACAGCCAAACCCCACGCACATTAAAAAGAACCCACTACACTTATCGAAAAGAGTAGGGGACCTTCCCGGTGTGAGTGATTCATACCTTACAGACAAACAAACAAACAAATGTTTTAGATTTTTTTTAGCATTAATATCCAGGTATTTTCATTAAATGCTAATATCCATTCCTAGGATAAGCAATTAATAAACCTTTATAATGCTGCGCAACCTTCAGACAATATATGACTAATAATACATAAAATTTTTAAAAACCAAAACAGCATGAAGGGGGTTCAGACCTAACGTGTGACTTACCCAGTGGATAAATGCTGAGTTGGAAGGGCAGCATGATTCTCTTGGACAGGAAACTGTGTCTCTTCTCATCATTCCTTGGAAACAGTGGCAACCACACCTAGAAAAAACAACATCATGCAAATTAGATGCAGTGTGTTTAGGGATCCAAGTTCCTTTATGTATGTTGCATTGCCAGTTCCATTATGATTATGTCATAGTCATACCAAATATCATCACAATCCATAAAGGCGTTCTGAAGTTATGCTGACTACAAATGTGCGAAAACACACACACACACACAGACGCGCCAAAAACAATACCTCCATTTTTCATGGAGGTAACAAAAAGTGTGAAAGTCGTACCTTCATACCAGACGCCCCACAGCCCAGCCACAGAGCCTCGCTCAGATGTACCTTGTCAGGACTGGAGCGGCTGGAGGACCACATGTTCTCTACACATGACGCCAGGACAACAGGCGCACAGAACGGCAGCTAGAGGCACCGGACAGAATTAACACATAATGTAAAAACTGTACTTGACGCTATCCTGCATGCAATAGTATTATATGTTGCTCAGGTACAGGTACACCAGATGTTCATGTCCAGACCTCACTCACCATCCAGGATTTGATTATACTGCTGCTGTTGTCCCTGCCACAGGGGTCGGCAGCAGTCGGTTAGTATTACTGGTCTTCACACTGTCCAGGCAGCCCTGTCCAGTGGGTCAACACCGGCAAGGCCGCGCTCTCTAATGTCTCTCTTTACACACTCCATTAAAAATAATTCACATGCAAAGATAGTAGGTACAAAAAAGACTGGGTGCCTTATAAGTATACCTGTGCCTGTACATTTTATATCATCAACCCCATTTCCTTTGTCTGATCTTTTGACCAGCTCTTATTTTGACAGTCTTTGCCCAGCCGTGCTGTCAAATCTAGTCTGTTGAGAGGATGTCCTACAGCATCTGTATGGACAAGCAGACACACAAACCCACAGCTCAGCCACCCAAAACAATACTTCTGTACCTGTCAGTAACATTTGCAGTAGACCTAGCAAGTGAGGTAATCCTGCAACATCTACTACAAATACGAATATTGTTTGTATTCTCTCTGCCTAAAACGTCTTTTTGTCAAAGTTTTTTTTTCTAAACCCACCATTTTTTCTCTTTTCCTGATGTCTCCATTCTCCTTGCCTGAGGTCATTGACCTGTCCCTCTGGAGCATCAGCAGTCTCCCCGCCACATTCACGATCAAGCTTTCCGCCTCCCGCCGGGACGATGTCTGTTTAGAGGAGGCTAAAATAAACAAACAAACAAGAAGGTAAACATTTGGGTGGGTCAAAGTATTTTTTCTTCTTCTTACTCACTTCCGCTTATTTTTAGGAGACTGAAATTTTACATAGCAAAAGGATGCATGTTTTAAAAGAAGACTATTACATATCACAAAAGTACAGCAACCTTTGGCCACACCAAGTAAATTTTATGGATGACGTCCGTGCGCGCATTGATTTTGGCCTGTTTCTAGAAAAAAAAACACGAAATTCCGCTTCCTGTAGCTATGACCAAAGAGTCACGACAGTGCCGCAAATCGTTAGATTGACGTGAACCCTGTAACGCGAAATGGGTAAAGAGCACATGCTTTGTTTCTGCAGGCCTGCAAAAATGTGATGAAAGAAACAGGGCAGGACAACAACTGCTATTCCACCTGATTTACTGCTGTTTTGATTGTGAATAAAAGACTTCTTGCTTGTTACACTGTGTCACCTCATTCAATTTGTGTCCTAACATTTCTCGTCTCTTAGTATATTTCTAATCTAGACATCTTGTTTTTAAGGGCCCTTCTTGTTTTTTTTGCCCTCTCGCATTAGATTTAGGGTCTCCAAAGGACGTCATCCATAAAATTTACTTGGTGTGGCCTTACAAACAAAAGTGGATACTAGTGAACTTACATAGTTTTTATTACATGTACATGGATACAATTTACGTGTTTTACGTTCTTTGACACACACGGTAAGATTTATCTCCTAATAAAATGCACATAAACTTTATATTTACCAAGTGACAATAATCAGTGATAAAGATTGACCTCTGACCTGTTTCAGTTCGGAGGGAGGTGAGAGTGACTGAGATGACGGTCACAGCGTGGGGGATGTAGCTAGCCAATGAGATCTCCTGTAACAATGTGAGGCTGGCACTCGGATCTGGAACACAAAAGCAGAACTTACAGTCCCAGTAAGGTGTCATCTGATTGGTCAGACTTCCCCAAAGATACAGCTTGGTCCTGGGGTTGGCGAATGTAGTTACGCTACAGACATGTAAATTTGCATACTTGGGACAGTTCAAATGACAATGACATGACACCTTGTTCTCATTCGAAAGTCAGAGGGAACGGTTATGTAAATGAGGTCAGGTGCAAACATGTGAACACCACTCTTACCCATGACACCGAAGCCAATGCTAAGGCCTGAAAGAGAGGAGTGCGGAAGGTCATGTGAGGTGAAGGTGAACAGTGTGCTATGACAGGGAAGCTAGTCTATTCAAAACACCCCTCATGCAAAGTGGGGCATTCCATGCCAATTTTCCAAGATTTGAGTTTTTCGCTAGATATGCATGTACATGTATGCATTAGGAGAGCAACATTATGTTTAAGGAAAATTATTATGATCCCACTAGTCTCAAAGTCAAAAATTTGAACAGGAACTTTAAAGATTTGAAGATATACTGATCTAGATATTTTTTCATCAGATGATCGATCTGAAATTTGTGTAATTGGCACAAATAGAGAAGATTCTAGAAAACCTAACTAACACTAAAGTGTGTCACATGATATGCATGGACGTCAAATTGAACAGAAACTTTTTCTGTCTCCATCACAGATTTGTAAACTGGAAACTTCATGGCAATTTTCTAGTTCTACTTCAACTTTGGCCTCACCTTTAGCCCCTAACCTGTGACCTTTGACATGTAATTTAATCATCTGTTTCTCCTATTTTGACCAATGAACGCACTTCGCTAACTACATGTACAAAAATCTACACCATGTAATTTGACATGTAATTTAATAATGTCTTTCTCCTATTTTGACCAATCAATGCACTTCACTAACTACAAAAATCTACACCATGACCTTCTATTTCACCTTTGACCTTCTATTTCACCTTTCACCTGTGATCTTTGACATGCAATCAATTCACCTTTGACCCATATAGTGATATACAAACCATGCAACACTGTCACCACTACAATCTGGGGTTCTAGAAACTTCACCTTTGGCCTCCCCTTTCACCTGTGACCTTTGCCATGTGACCTTTACCCTGTGACCTTTGCCCTACTATAATAAGCCACCTAAGGCTCTGAGACCCAGTATTAGTGTAGTATTACCAGACAGACTGGAACGCTGGGACCTACCGCTGGTGTCCACAACACTGGGGCCGCCACATGTGGGGGCTACATGTTAGGGAACACAGGATTCAGTTTCCACACTGGGGCTAACAGAACACGTCGGCAGAACGTACTGCGCCTGCGCAGAACCTGGATTTTCGCGTTTTTCGTTGGATTTTTGGTCAACATTGCATCAGAATTTTCACTGTTGGAGAGGATATCTTTTCTGACATAACATTTGGAAACTACTGTCGAAATGCTAACCTTATATGAGCAAATACGACCTTATATGAGACATTCTACCGAAGTGCTATGTACAATACATTGCGGGTTTCGCGCAGGTGCAGTACGTTCTGCTGACGTGCTGGCTAACAGTCACACACAGTGTACAAAATACTTTTTTGAACCAGGTTGCCCAGTGGGCAGCCTACGGCAAAAATCATGTTGCCCATCAGAATTTCAGGCTGCCCCACCTATAAGTTACTACTTTCCTCAATAAGTAATGTTATATACATAAGCCTTTGACAATATTTCTAACAGCCTTTAGTTAACTGATACTAGTAAATTAAGCTAAGCCATTAATACCTAAAATTAAAAAGCATCTGCCGGATACAATAGTGCAAGCCAAGTGGGCATGATTTAGGGGAGGGGGCATTCTTTAAATTCAGGTAGCACACTGGGCTACATAGGTTAAAAAATAGGTTGCCCCAAGTAAAATTTGGTTGCCCGGGGCAACTGGGCAACCAGGTATTTTGCACGCTGAATACAGGCTTTTCACATGACCTCATTTGCACCATGTTGGATTGCATTGTATGTCCACAACATTAAGGTCATGTGACAACAACACTGACACTGAAATTCCATCAAAGCACAAAATTGCTTGAACTAACATTTAAAGTCAATCTCATTAATAAGATCACTATAAGAAAAGGAAAAGATGGTGTTATCAAGGCCTTCTCAAGAATATCTTGTACACCTGAAGAGTGCAGACCTCAATGATGATGATGCATTTGAGTAGTTTTACATGCTCAGTTTTGTTAATGAAGTCTTAGCAGAATTTTTAGGCTTGAAATTAATACAAATGCTCAAGTTCCAATATTATAGTAACCAGTGGTGCATACCGGTTCACTGGACTTGGATCCGGACTTGTAAGAATGTTTAGGTTCAAGTCCAAAAAAACCTAAAAGTCAAGAACCGAGTCCCGACTTATTACCATAAAAGACCATTTCACATACCCCTTTTCTTTCCAAACCACCTAAAATCTTCCGTAGATTGCAAAATCTTTGCTGCAAAATCAAGAAAACATTGCCATCGGGCATCGTCAAGTACCGGCCTCCATGTTATGTGGCCATTTAAGTTTCACCAAGACAACATTGCAAGGTTGCCAGCATGCAATTTTGTATATGCCATGGGTTTAGGTCCGGACTTACAAGTCCGGACCTGAACCTAAACCTCTGGACTTGAATCCGGACCTGAACCTAAATGTGGGTTTAGGTATGCACCACTAATACTAGTAATAGTAACAATAGTCCCAGAAAACTGTAAAGCAATTCAGGGTTGGACAAGTAAAAGTACTATTCGGGCAAGTGAATATCCCCCTGAACATGCCCGATTGGGCAAGTAAATTTTTTTTATGCAAAGTAAAGCGCTACAGTGTTTGGAGCAAGTCAAACCACCTTATTTTGATCAATAAAGCATCCAACATTATGACTCCAAAATAAGATAATTTTCTTGGTGGTAGTAAAAAATGCATAAACATTTTGGGCAAGTGAAGAGTTGGTCCGGGCAAGTGGAAATGATGTTGTATAGGAAAAGTAGATTTTCGAAAACTTGTCCAACCCTGCAATTCTGTCAAGTTCAGTTCATTCATTCCATGAAACATATTCAAATCTAATTACAAACACATGGCATTTTGTCTGATGTCTGGCTGTCCTTACTTGGGTTGGCGTCCCTTCGTTCGATGGAGTACAGAGCAATGTGGCAGTCTGCACAGAAGACAACCAGCATGTCCCTGAACAGGTTTAGTAGCAGGATCTGGGAGGGAACCTTGCAGCTGTACGCAAAGGCGTTATCCAGGTTACTCGCTCTCGGGTACATCCTCAACTGTGGGGAACACACAACAAGATCACTTTTCAATCATGTCTTAAAAATTCATCTGTGTTGGTAGAAGTCATTATGAAATAAGTTAGCAATTTCTAACACAAGAAATTGGGCTCACCCAAATTTTCGATTGTACAACTCCAGTCTTTGTCAAGGAATGAGCAATCCACCGCTTCCGTGACGTCACGTCACGCAGATAACACACGTGATGTCACAGAAGTGGTGGATTGCTTGAAAAAGTCTGGAGTTGTACAGTCCAAAATCAGGGTAAGCCCAATTTTGGGTAAGCCCAATTTCTTGTGTCGGAAATTGCAGTTCAAACTTTTTATAAGATCCACTTTCCACAATCTCTATTACCTTTCATATGCAGGGCATGTTGTCACAAATCTTATTTGCATGTAAGTTAAAGACTTTCTGTAGATTTAAAAAAAATATGACCTTATTGGCTCTGCTCCTACAGTATTGCCAAAAAAGAGAGACTTTCTCAATTTCAGTAGGTTCAAATATAGTGTAAATTCACAAATTTTCTAGACCAGGGATTTAACTTTATGGGGCTTTAAGTTCATACTTTAAAGACTACTGCACTACAAAAAAACTGTCACAAAAGAAGGGAAAATAAGACCACTGCAGTGATTTGAGTTAATAGTTGCAAGGATACTGTAGCACAGAAAAATACTGTCACAAAAGAAAGGAAATTAAGACCACTGCAGTGCTTTAGTTCATAGTTGCAAGGATACTGTAGCATGTAGCACAGAAAAAATACTGTCACATAAGAATGGATAATGTGAAGTTTATTGCAAATTCTTGCCGGAGGGCTAATTGCAGGAACAGAAGAAACATGGTATAAAAACAGACAATTAGTACACATAGAACTACTGATAACTACTAAGAAACTACTGATAAAAACTACTACTGGGTTTGACTTCTTTTTTGAAGACAGAGGAAGACAAAGGATCCCACTTTTTCTGTAATTTGTGGGTTTTCAGATGTTAAGAGGAGAGTAGCTTTCTTTTCATTTATATATGTGTGAAAATTTGGGTAGAATTTGGAGGCTACGTCAAGGAGTTCATTTCGTTCATTGCTATAGAGGGTACAATTTGATATAAAATGCGTTTCGTCTTCCACCGTATTCAATGTACAATGTTTGCAAATTCGTTCATACACTTAAAGCTTCTTGTACCGCCCTCTCTCAATTTTGAGAGGGTGGGCACTAATTCGTAATTTACTTATTGCAGAGCGATTGTTAAAATCAGTTAAGTCCAGGTATTTTTCCATAGAATATGTTGTTTTAACACTATGATTATTTCAAGCTCTGAAGTGGTGAGAGTTTCTGACCTCGTCTCTGTTCTCGTTGAGATTGTAGCAGGCACAGATGATGAAGTCTCTCCACCAGGTCAGCCCGCCTGTCACCACCATGTCTTTCTCCTAAACACACAGAAACGTTCAGCAGGTCAAAAGTGCCCCCTAGCAACTCTTGGAAGAACTGCAGCATTTACAAATGCAGATCATGATATTCTACCTCACATAAGAGTCTCCTTGAAAGATTATAAGAAGCTATACAAGGGGGTACAGTCAAACCTGCCAAGGTGACCACCTCTTTAAGCAGGCCACTTGGCCATATTGACCACTTTTTCTTGGTCCCAAAAGTTTCCCCATTGACTGAAGCATTAAGCAATCTGTCCAAGGTGACCACCTGGCCAACACGACCGCGACCACACTGAGGTGGGTCCGTTCAAGGCCCGATACCTGCCCATGGTGACCACATCATTTTCGATCATGTTGATTATTGCTGATAACTAATAAGAAATCCTGGAGAAACCAGCCAGTTTGCCTCGACTGCTGGACAATGTATTTTGTTTGACGTAAATTGTTCCATGTGCCACCCTCCCCACATGCACTCACCACAGAACTGAAGATGCTTACAGCATTTGACATTAAAACGTCTCGACTTGGAAACCATTTATGTCTCAGTCATGTTGTGAGGCGACCCTCTTCAAGGAGACCACCTGTCCAAGGTGACCACTTTTCTTCAGTCCCCTGGGCAGGTTGACTGTATATTATTAAGATCTGTATCTGTATCGGTATAGCTGGTCGGTGTAACTGCCCTTTGGTGTAACACACCAGCTAACGCACTAATGATAATGTAACACACTTAAGTCTAATGATAATGCCCCTACTGCACTTGGTGACAGCGAGTTCTAGGAAAGAATGAATTCTTGAACACCTCAATCCTTGGTTGATAACTCTGGTACTTGAAGGCATGACTATTTCTTGTTCTCTTCTGGGCTGGTACTTAGTAGTTGGGACGTCCACCAGTTTATTAGTCATTTTGTACATTATACATAGTCTGGACATTTTCCTTCTGTTTTCTAAAAGATGAAGATGCCCACCTGTGTTTCGTTACCGAAGAGTTTCCACTTGCGAGTGAACATGGCGTAATGCGCCAGGCCACACCTCCCCGCCACAGCGATACAGAACCCCGTCCTGTCTATGGCTGCGTACTGGAACAAAAGTTTAAGAAACTTATATCATCACAACCAAAAAGGCAGAATCAATCTACAAACGATTACAGAAAGTTAATGACACACACCAACACATAACATGCCTAGCCTCAGCCAAACCAACATTTCTGTACCGTTGCACCAAATCATATAACACAATCCCACAGCACATCAGACTATCCAGGGATGGCTAAAAACTGTAGTGGTACTAGTGGACACCTCCAAAAATCCTTTGTAAATATTAGATTTAGAATTTCTTTGGAAGACCTCTGACCTCTCAGCACAACTTGTCTTGTTGTATGTACATGTATGTAGTACGTAGCCTTACCTTGTTGTAGTTAAGTCGTAGTTAACTGTATATAAATGAATGTGTAGTTTGGATGTAATGTTTGTATGTATAACGACTCCAGGAAGACTAGTTTGTATAGGTTATCTCAGTCTGTAAAAACTAATGGAGATCTATCGAATAAAGGAACAACAAATCAAAGATTTCACAATTTCCACAAAACTGATTCCATTGGCAGTGGTAGTGTAACAGTGGGGGGGTTTATAGGCGTTACCAACTGATCCAGCCGATGGGTCTAGACCTTTTAGTCGAATGGTTAGAGTGTCGGGGTTGTGAGCTGGTGCCCGGGTTTGGCGTGGGTTCGATCCCCGACCCGGGACCAGGAGTGTCTTTCTGTTTCTACTATCCCTAATTCTTATAGTAGAAATCCTTTTTTTTTTCAGCGTTCTGCAATATTGCAGAATGTCAAAATTTTGTTCTGCAATTCAGAAATACTTTCTGGATGCAAACCCATGGCATATACACAAAATTGTACATTGGCAAACAAAACACCATTGAATCCTAGCCTGATTTTTTCAATCTGCAAAATTGCAGGGTTCTTATTTTTTCTTCTACAATATTAAAAATGTCTCTGCAAAATGCAGACTGCAGATGGGTATTTCTGATTGGACTGGAGGCATAATTTGCAATGATTGTGAGAAAACGCATTAGGTAATGTAAAATAAAAATACTAAATGCAGTCCTTACCCTTATTGGCCAGTTGCTACCTAAATAGGTAATGGGAATCTGTAAAAAAAGACAAAAGATGTTACTGGCAAACTTAGGGACAAACTGACTTAGAGGTACAATAACACTTTCTGAAAATCCGTTTAATCATATTTTTGCTTTCATTTTGAATTGGCAGAATGAAATCACTGTGAACATTTGGTGTAATTAAAAATTCCCCTAAATTATTGTACAAGAGCGATACAATGTAAATCTAAGGATACATGTTACAGTAGCAAACCCAAGTTCTTGGTTTACTTTTGCTGCAGTTCTTGCAACAGTTGTTGATAGGGGGCACCCCCCACTGACCTGTATGACCAGCCACTGTTTGTTCCCCACCAGGATGTTGCTCTGTCTGGCAGGTTTCTGCGGAGAGGAAGCGTTGGAGCCGGCGATGGACTCCCGCAGCGGCCGGTTCATGTTGGCGTCCTTCCACTGCTGCTTCATGACCAGGTCACCCGTGTTGATGAACAGCTTGTCCTCGCCTTGCAGGAACAGGTGCTCGTGATTCGTCTGTACCAGAGTAAAAACAAGGCAATTGTTATGTATATGCACAGCCGCCCTCTATCAGAACATGTGCAAACTGCAGTACTTAAAGTTAACTTTTCCTTCAACAGGTGAAATTCACACTAAAGGAGATCGTAAACAAACAACAATAAACAACAATCTTACCGCACAGGGGTTGACTGTGAGGGTCGACTTGACAAACTGGAGTTGGAGCAGCTCTGACGTTGCCGTTGGCAGCTCCATCACCTCCGAACGGTCTAACGTTTCACACGCCATCCACAGCTGGTACCCTTCCATACTCCAGCACTGCAGGGAAACATTGGTGAGAGACCCTCAATGGGAAACATTGGTGAGATGCCCTCCATTGGAAACATTGGTGAGAGACCCTCCATTAGAAATATTGGTGAGACCTTCTAATGGAAACATTGGTGTGAGATCCTACATTGGGAACATTGGTGAGAGCCCCTCCATTGGAAACATTGGTGAGAGACCCTTCATTGGAAACATATTGGTGAGATGCCCTCCATTGGAAACATTGGTGAGAGACCCTCCATTGGAAATATTGGTGAGAGACCCTCTGTGGTAAGGACTGGGACTAAGATACCCTCTATTGACACATGCAAAATAGCTGAACCAGGTTCAAGTTGAAAACTGGCTATATATAGCTGAAAAAGATGTGTACACAGTTCACATTGCAGTACACAGTAACTGTTGATACCCCTAAATCCTGACCCAAACACTAACCCTTGTAGAGGAAAATTAATGTTTACTTACCATTGACTTTATTCTGAAGAGATGTAATCTGAGGGATTCTTGATACAAGCTGTAGAGAAATCACACACCACAGTTAGTCAAGCATAATCTACGTATATCTACTCTATGCATTCCTTATTGGTGCACTCAATGAAAACTTGAGCAGCTCTACAGTGTCACCTAGCAACTCTTGAAAGAACTGCAACATCAATACAAGAACAGAAACGTTAGTTTGACTTACCCCTGGTCCGCCCCTAACGTACACATCAACAGAGCGCCGTACACGCTCCACACCGCCATCCCGCCGCGGTCCCACGCCATCGCCAGCACGCAGCCGTCAGGTGACCATCTTAGTCTGGACACGGGACCGCACGCCATGCACGCATCTACGGTTGGAAAACATCAAGACTCAATCATTATTATCCCGATGTGAAAAAGACTTTGTTCATGACCTATGTAGGTCATGAACAAAGTCTTTTTATACTGCTCTCAGTTGTTTGGAGTCCAGTTATAGAACTCTGTTCATAAGAGTGAACTAGCTAAGTGTCATGTTGCATACATGTACAATAATTGCTTTCGTATTCTCCTTAAGTTGCCCAGAGTTTGTAGTACTAGTTCAATATTTGTACACCTCTCGACCGATACAATCGATGCTAGACACCGGAAATTGTGTTATAACTTCATTAATAAACTTTACGCCACCAACAATAGTATAATATGCTATCTATTGAGGTCTGATTGTCAGTTCAGAAATACATATTTTAAAAATGTGTATAAATTGTTGTATGTTTAGTGTTTCTGTGGTTTTATGTTTGTACTATGGGGATAACCTGAAATAAAGTCATTCATTCATTATTAGTGCTGCGTACCAGTTCGCTGGAACTAGTTCCGGCTTTATAAAAATATTTAAACCGGACGTTAAACCGAATAGAAAGAGAGAAATCTAGGTTCAAGTCCAAAAAACCTGAACGTCTGGAACTAGTTCCGGACTTCCAAAAAGAAAATCATGTCACATTTCTCTTTTTGTTCTAAACCCCCTGAAATCTTCAATTTAAAATTTGCGCTGAAAAATGAAGAAAACATTGCCATTGGGCATCGACAAGTGTCGGCCTCCGTAAATTATGTGGCCACAGTTTAGCCCAGACGTGCCAGGCAAAGAATATATGTTGCTTCTAAACCCTGGTAGTGCAGTGCTCACTACAGAATTATGCGGTAATTTCCATAGGTAAACGTTCACTGTCCGTCTTTCCGTATACTTACAAGTTCGGACTGTAGATATAACTGACAAACCTAAATTCGAATACCGGCCTTTAAGTTGTACAATGTATTTCATGATTTACATACTTTTACTACGCCTGTTTACATGTTTGTTTGTTTGTTTACCTGGGTAATCTTTGGTTGAGAGTTCGAGTCTGTGTGACACCTGTAGAGCACCTGTCATGTCATCCACTGTGTAGACAACACCCAGTCCACTGGAACACAACAAAACTACTGTTAGACACTGTGTGTAAGGTCATTTCTGTACAGATACAGATATTCCTGAACATTGTTTTTTCAAAAACAGGTACAGGAGTTTTAGTCTCATCTATTGATGAAACCAAGATCATATTAAGTATTCTTTGGGCATGTTTAATTCAACATTGTTCCTTTACATATAGAGTCATAGCATAAAATGGTAACTGTTAGCAAGCCAAATTGATACCTAGAAACATTTGCAAAGCAAATGCATAATGTGTACCTTTGCATATGGTCTGCTCTGTTAATTCTTACTCACACACATTCATATATATGGTGACAGGAGTCTAAATCCCTCCTGTTACAAAATTGCAACATGATGTAACCCAAAGCTAGATACCATGGTGACAGATGTTTGGTTCAGGTCATTGACCTTATTAGTTTGGAGAAGAAGAGGAGGAAACAGAGCAAAAACAATACGTTTTCCTTCGGTAAACAAACGCATTTCTCCTTGACAGTACAGCAATATATTCTAAAACTCAGCCATCATAATATTGATAATGGTAGAACTTACTCTGTGCAGCCAAATGCTATAAGTCTGTATCTGTTGTTGACAGCTACACAGGTGACATTCTCTAGACCCTGGGCCCATACACCCTGAAGGCTCTGTAACAGTACAAGACATCATAGTTACATAATATATACTAGAGGGGATTCATTCCTCAACAGGGTTGGACAAGTTTTCAAAAATCCACTAGTCATTTCTACTTACCCAAACCAACTTTTCACTTGCCCAAGGCAAAATATCAATCGAATGACATATTTCTATACATTTTTACCGCATGGAAAATTTTTCAGTAAAAAAAGCCCTTGATATTATTGTTCTATGCTTGAGCAGTATTTACCAAAATAAAGAGGTTTGAGACTTGCAAATGATTCTCTGACAAAAAGTCATACATGTACTTTTGACTGACATCAATAAGAAGGGAAGACATTATCATGGAAAAATGGTGAGTGATTTTGCTCCAAACACTGGGGCATAATGCCACATCCAGAAAACTTATATATCACCTATATTATATATAGGTGATATTCACTTGGCTTGCTTTTACTTGCTCTGGGCAAGTGGGCAATGGGACTTGTCCAACCCTGCTCAAGCTAACTGACATCTAGCACATGGCAGTCGTCCCTCAGTAAGACATCTGGAGCTGCATAGTTCCCAGCAAAAACTTTTCACTCAGCCTGTCACACTACAACACAGTATAAGTTTAACACATCATAGTTTGACAAGAAAGCCGACAATGCCGACATAAGGAAAGCTAACATCACTGCACAGCTCCCTCTGGCATTACATAGAGAAACTGCAGCATTAAAAGTTAACAGAAACAGTAAAAACATGCCAAAAACAATTTACCATTTCCGTCTCACTGTTTAGAAGTGTTATCTCAATTGGTATAGAAAGAAATTATAATGAGAATATGCTGTTTTGAAGAGGGAGTAAAATGTAACAGCGGCATCTATAACCATATATGGAGGGTAGCTGTTTTAAACACTTTTTACCCCTCAAGTTTAGCCTATATTTTCCATACACTATTGTTAAAAATGGATCCCCCTATAGGAGGTAATGCAACAAGTATACACATATATGTACTGTGTCTTCAAAAAGATATGTAACAGTTAATGACCTACATGTACCCCGAGGTGTATATGGTGCGATAAAGCCTTGTCAGTTGCTATAACAACCGAGTAAAATCACCGAGTGAGCGTAGCGACAAAGGCATACTTATAAAATAATGAAGACCTGGGATGATTTTGCTCAATATGACATTACGGTATCAAAATCAATATAAAAATGGGACCTCTGATTGGTCAATGCCACCTGGCTATATGATAAAGGTTGACAGCTGTCACTCACATTGTGTTCGACTTTCCCCGCCAGCGTGTTGACGAGCCCCGCCCTCCCGTCGGGCAGTACGACAGCGAAGCCTCCCATGAGCCCGCTGTACTCGATATGTGTGAAGGTGATGCCTGGAGTGTCCAGGGTGGACGCTGCATGGGGAGGGAAAGGGTGTGCAATAATATAAAAATCTGTTAGGTGGCGCTGTTGTACTGCAGTACGACAGCGAATCCTCCCATGAGCCCGCTGTACTCGATACATGTATGTGTGAAGGTGATGCCTGGAGTGTCCAGGGTGGACGCTGCATGGCGGGAGGGAAAGGGTTGTGCAATAATATCAAACTATGCTAGGTGGCGCTGCTGCAACATGGCCTCATGTCATAGTCCGAATCATAATGTAGTCAGGTTATGATGTGAAATTGCATGAGTTCAGAATTTCTACTAATAAATTTTCAGACAAACAAAAAGAATCATCTTTAAACAATCCTCACTGATGACTAGTTCTGTGTACCTAAACCCATATTTAGGCTCAGGTCCGGATTCAAGTCCAGAGGTTTAGGTTCAGGTCTGGACTTGTAAGTCCAGACCTAAACCCATGGCATAATTTATACAAAATCACATGTTGGCAACCTTGCAATGTTGGTCAAACTTTGGCCACAAAACATGGAGGCCGACACTTGACAATGCCCGATGGCAATGTTTTCTTCATTTTGCAGCACAGATTTTGCAAACTATGGAAGGTTTTGCACTTGGAAGGTTATAATTTGGAAATTAAAGGGGCATATGACATTTTTTCTTTGGTAACGTCCGGAATCGGTTCTTGACTTCTAGATTTTTCTGGACTTGAACCTAAACATTTTTACAAGTCTGGAACCGGTCCAGCGAACCGGTACACAGCACTACTGACCTCTGGAATGTTGAAGGTCGACGGAGAAGGGAATGGCCGCGATGTTGATCCCGTTCTTCCCGTTCACCACGCCGTCCCACCGTAACCGCTGCAGCATCCCGTTACCCGTGGCAACCAGCAGCTCGTCTCGTACGCAGACCAGGCTGCGAGAGGAATGAATCATGGGTAAAAAAAATGTCAAGCATTTATCTATCAATTTTGAATACAGTGGTTCTTGGAAAAGGCCACATAAACCATGGGCTATAGGCCAAGGAGTTATTGTTGAATGAAAGCGAAGTCACCGCGCGCGCCGCGGTACGTACGTTCTCCACTCGCTTCCGGGAGTAGTTCTCCCGTCACCCTTTGCGCGATCCAGTATTTCCCGTCATCCTTAGCGCTAACTTTCGTCTTAGTTTAAAATTTATCTCGTCCCTCGCTTGCGGCTTCGCCGCAAGCTCGGGACTCAACAAGCGGCTTCGCCGCTCTTCGGGTGCCTTCGGCACCCGCTCGTATGACGCTCGCTTCGCCGCTCTTCGGGTGCCTCCGGCACCCGCTCGTATGACCGCTGCAGCATTAAATGTCTCTAATATATTTTGTGAAACTTGTATATGGAATGTAAATGTAATTTTGATATTTAAGATGCAAATGTGAGCAAAAGTTGAATCTCGTTATGCTAAATGTGTTTAATATGTTGACTGTGCAGTCGTTAATGTTTTTAAAAGAAATGATGTACATCTCTGAACGCAATTCAGCTTCTGCTGCAAAGTTCGTGATTTTAACAATAAACCATTTTTGATTGATTGATTGATTGATTGATGACGCTCGGCATTTCACTTCCGCGGAAATTGGCGCTGGCAACTTCAAATCGGCGCTGGCAACTCAACTAAAACTCCTTAGCCTACCGCCTATGCATAAACATGTACTAACTGTTATAGTGCTGCGTACCTAAATTCACATTCAGGAGGTTTGACTGTATGTTTGCTGGGCACGTCTCGGCAAAACTGTGGCCACATATTTTTCAAAGGCCGACACTTGACGGTGCCCAATGGCAATGTTTTCTTCATTTTACAGTGCAATTTCAATTGAAGACTTCAGGTGGTTTAGAACAAAACGGGGAAAATGTGACATGAATTTTTTTTGTACATGACGATTGTAGTTTAAGTCTGGCCAGGTTTTTTTTTTACTTAAATCTTAAACATTTTTTGAAAGTTCCAGAACCACATGTACAGTAGTTCCTGCGAACTGGTACACAGCACTACTACTGCATGTCAAAAATTAGGTCACAGTTTACTATAATTGACAGAGTTAAGTGCCTTACCATTCTATCTTGCCGATGATTTGTACGGAGGTGACAAAAGTCATCCTGATGGAGGGGACCCCTTCTCCATACTCCATACTGGTGGACGAACGCATACTGGGGAACCTGGGGGTGAGGGTAGTCATCTCCGTTAATAATATAGTAGATATCTGGTATGTTATGTTTTACACCTTAAGTTTACCCATACAACTTTGCAACCCTTCCAGTCCTATAGACAAAATAGCAGAATGCACACACACTCACACCCATGCATACGCATACACAACACACACACAGACACTCACTCACTCACTCACACACACACACACACACACACACATACACACACACACACACACACACACACTCTCTCTCTCTCTCTCTCTCTCTCTCACACATACACAAATACACACACACACTCTCTTACACACATAACGCAATGCAAAGGCACACACATACGCAATGCAAAGACACACACATACATATACACAAATACACACATATTAGACAAGCCAAAAAACATACAATGTAGAATACATTACTGCCTATTCATGTATCATAAAGTAAAAAAAAAAAAGTTTAGAAAGGTGATCCAATTATATTATCACAAGTATTTCAATCAAATCAGCATTTGAAGACACTAAAGAAATTGCCATGAGATTATTAAACTGATCTCACTATTTCAACTATTAAATTAACAGTTGTAGCACATCCACTAACATAAACCAAGCAGATGCATGGTTGTCGTACCTGCCTCCCCGGGTCTGGTTATAACAGTTGGCCCCATGTCCAGCCACCACTTCTCTCTCCAGGTGATAGAACAGGATATAACCTTGACTCGTCTGAAAATACAAGTAGGAAGGTCAGATTCAACACTGTTAGGCTCTAGGAAAAAAACTGTTGTTTCCTATTTCAGTCCTGAAAAAAACGACTCATCAAAAAGCAACATAATTCATAATCAGTAGATTAGTCATTTTCATTCTACGTAAAGCACAGGCAGTTACCTTTCTGCAACGTAAAACGTAATTCATAAAGTACTCCATGATCTAACATAATTCATGAGCATCTAATGAGAATTTAATTGGCTGTGAAACTTTTGTGTACTTTGTAATCATTACCCCCCCCCCCCCCCATGCAGGCCCTCATTTATATCACTTCCAGATTGTACATAAGTCATTGGCCTGATTTTTCCAGACGTTTAACAAACACATGCTTTAGTCTCTCAGGAAATAAGGGTAAACACTACTGATTACTGAGTAACTGGGCCCTTTGTACATACAATTTACAAATTAAGTCCACAATGATTTGATTTTTTGGTTCCAAGATTTTGCAGAAAACCAATTATGAAGCAGGCGGGTAAAAACAAACACTACCAGCAACGTAACATTAGCCTAGGCTACAGTCATCCTGTGATCATCATAGTATTCATACTACTACTAAAGAATTGGTTCTTGAAACCAAGAAGGTTGCAAACTAAACACTCCAAAACTATCCTGTGATAGCCCCATGCCAGATGCTACTATTAATATTATGATAAGAGCAACAAAATTGAAACAAACTAGGCTGGCTTATATGTAGTTATAATCAAACAATGGATTGTCAATTTTTAATCAAATCGCTGCATTGGTAAATACAAAAGAAAGACATAGGGCTTTCTTCAGTTATTGGTGTCAAAATATGACTGTTCACCCTGAAATGAAATCTGGACGTGACAAATGAACTTCCAGTGAATAATAACTGAGTACTTTGAAGTGTTGGCCTACTCAAGCTGGTACTCTTGATAAGTCTCTGTGGTGGAAACATTAAACTTGACAACTGACTATTTCAACAGGGGTGCCAGAGTATACAGTGCAATGTTACGGAAAATAGTACAATCATTCATATTAGTACAAAGTACAATTTTACAGAATACAGTGCAATCGTATTAGTATAAAGTGCAATTTTACTAGTAAAACTACACTGTATACCTCCATGTGTATACTAATACGAGTACACTGTATTCTGTAAAATTGCACTGTATACTAATACGATTGCGTTGTATTCCGTAGAATTGCACTGCATATAGTGATGCATACCGGTTCACTGGACTTGGATCCGGACTTGTAAGAATGTTTAGGTTCAAGTCCAAAAAAACCTAAAAGTCAAGAACCGAGTCCGGACTTATTACCATAAAAGACCATTTCGCATACCCCTTTTCTTTCCAAACCATCTAAAACCTTCCGTAGATTGTAAAATATTTGCTGCAAAATGAAGAAAACATTGCCATCGGGCATCGTTAAGTACTGGCCTCCATGTTATGTGGCCAAAGTTTCACCCAGACAACATTGCAAGGTTGCCAACATGCAATTTTGTATATAACATGGGTTTAGGTACGGACTTAAGTCCGGACCTGAACCTAAACCTCTGGACTTGAATCCGGACCTGAACCTAAAATTGGGTTTAGGTATGCATCACTANACTGCATACCCTGGCAACCCTGTTCAAGTAATACCGTAGTACTTCAAAGTAATTCACTTTGTCAAGCCTGAGAGTGAGATCCAGACTAGAGATCACGTTGCCTGTTATTTGCCTGTGGTCTACTGAGACTCAACTCTCTTAACAACTTAATCTGCAGCTATGTAGAAAATGTACCAGCTAACCGCCTCAGTCTTGGCACCGAAGTCAAACTGTTATTTTATCACGTATGGTTCAGTGTTAAGTCAGACAGTCTCACTCTGTCTCATCCAAACCTAAAGCACCGATGTCTAAACCATTGTCTTGGGCAAGAACTTAGTAGTAGATAGAAGTACTTATTTTTTTCTTCCTATTGGTGAAGGAACTTTAAGTTAACTCTCTTCAAAATAATCAAATAGTTGCAACACATTTTCAACCAATAATATGCCAAACAAATCACCAAAATCGGCTTTATACATGTGTAAGTTGGATCACTTATAAGAGATTGCTTTAAAAAAGAAAGAAAGAAAAAAAGATAACCCCTAATGGTAGACAATCTTGATGAAGATGTGTTAAAAAAAGGTAGTTTTAAACTAGTTATTTCATTTTTTTTATTTGAAAGCAAGCAAAAACATACACATACAGTGATACACACGTAGTACAAACATGTGTAGGTAAGAAGTGTCCATGTTGGTATGTAAACATGACAATGTTTATTGATTGGGTACACAGTGCATTCTCAACATACATATATCTAAAAACAATAACCGAGACATACAGTGACCTATAGTTTTTATATGTAAATCACGCAATCTGTGAATGGGTTGTATATACAATGTATAGATTGCCCTTTGACCACTTTCTTCTTTTGAAGATGGTGCTATCTAAATTTAACATGACAGTGTTAGAATGTACAAAAGGGTGTCAATGACTATTGTGTGATTATTCCAAGGGATCCTCAAACGACTGCCCTATTGTTATCGAGAGGACAATAGAACAACAACAACATCTATAACGTATTCACGCTATCCATAAAAATGCTGTAGTTTGGGGGCACAAGTCTGTTAATAAGCTTTTTATAACCGCTCAATTTGCCTCAAGAAAGAAAACTTTTGACATACATACACAATGTTATTTATTTTTATGCGCTTGTTATTTTCTATGTTGCAAGGAGAAAAAAATGTACACTCCTACCGTGACTGCAACACTGGTTGAGTCCGGCCGCCATGCTGCCTTCTGATTGGTCCCTAGTGTACGCACGGATTCCTCGGAACGACAGTGGCACACAATCTGTACACATGGCTGTAAGAGGGAAAACATACCAGGTTTATACATACAAATCTTCACTATACAGCAACAGGGTTGGGATGCTTAATATGTGTATGTGCAGGGCAGCCGGGGCTCGAAATTAACAGTGTCCCAATGGCCGCTCGCTACTAAAATTTAGGCTGGGGCAACTGAAAAGTCACTTTGGGACATTTTTGGGACAATAGAAAAATAACATCAGAATGTCAGTCCTTCTTTTGTTTATCACATCAGGCACTCCTGTCTACTCTTCCTCTTGCAATTATAGACACTTGACTTCAAGTTGGACAATTATAGACACTTGACTTCAAGTTGGAGTCATAAATTACACTTCACTTCCCTAAAAACAGGTTGGGACAGCTGATTTGTTGGGACAGTTCATCCTCACTTTGGGACAATTGAAATTTATTTTTGGGACAGTAGGAAGAAAAGTTAATTTTGAGGCCTGATGTGCCCTGGATCTAGGCTAGTAGAACTGTCAAGATTGAAGTCATACAATGAGAAACTCAGAAAGTTCAGTTTATTATGCAAGGACTCAATTATTAAAGGTCTAATCAAGGAGGTTATAGTCAATCTGATATTGTGTGTGTTACATACAACAACTCACAGTCTTACATGTACATTAGCTACTCTAGTTTCTAAACAAAATTCCCTAATTCAAGGCAGCTGGCCTTGTTTTTGAAACATCCTGGTATGATATTTGACAGCACCTAATTTCGGAAGTAGGTCAGATTGACCTGGGTAGAAGAAAACAAGGGTATCTTTCTATCTCTGTAAAGTTTAACTTAAACATAAAACAGATGTGGTTTCAAGTCTCCACAATGAAAATTATTATTTGTGACTGGTTTATTGAAACTTTCCAAGTTACAGGGCCACTGAATTGCACACACAATCCACATAATATCACTACATATGAGCTAAGGTATAACATGCTGGGTTAAAATATTTTATTTCTAACAACCCATTGTTCCATATCTTGAAAATCTTTAAACATTATTAGTGTAGTTGATGTAATGCAATGGATTTGGTTTTTCTTTTAATATCCACGATCATTGATCAATATCAATATTATATCAATATAATAATCAATGATTATTCTGGCATACGAAGTGAAGAAGGTCGTGTAAAGTGAATTTCCAATGGACACAAGGTTAGTGACATGGCAGGATTCGAACCTGGGACCTCTTGGTTCTAAGCTGAATGCTCTGCTGTTACGCCACACGACCCCACTGACTTGTGACTTATCATTATGGGCGGAAAAAACAGTAATCTGTATCCCATTTGCCCCCTTCAGACCCTCGAACAATAATCTGTATCCCATTTGCCCCCTTCAGACCCTCGTTTCACCCCAGGTGTTGATCATCTAGAAAATGACCCAAATAACGAAGATATTTCAAACAGTAACAGCAATGTGTCAACAAATAACATGATAGCTGAGAAATACATGGGTGTCATAGTTTCAGGGCCAAAGGTCATATTGGCTCATAATCTCGTATACTTAGATGCTATGATTTCGTTTGCCTCACACATTTTATAATTTCTTAAAAAAGACACCAAAGGCGAGGAAAGCACCTTAGAAGGATACCATAAGGCATAACGTATTATCATTCATACCAAATTTTTGTTTTAGTAAAATGATTTCATTTGCTCTAAAAGAAATAAAGCAGAAAACGCCCAAAACGTGGCAAGGTTTACAATTTTAGCTTCAAATGGAGAGGAGTTGTGTTGACTACAAACTCGGATATCGAGGTTAGATTTGGTAGGAGTTTAGCTACAAAAGGATTTGAAAGTTGGTGGAAATGGCCAAGGGTCAAGTATACGCGCTGTCAGTCAAGCTCTTTTGTGAAGACTCTTGACGACTTGACGTCAAAAAATTTTCTTTCTGCAGTTCTACACACATAAGAATCAGATGCTGTGCCAAAGGAATAATAAGTCGTGAACTAGAAATGAAAGGATTTACAAATCTGTAGTCACATACTAGTAGCACGTTTACGTCGATGGAGACCGTAAAATTTCAACTGACGACTGGTGTCCAAAGAGCGATCTCCGGCCAAAAGAAAACACTCACCCGGCAGTACCAAATCGCTAGGGATCTCTCCGTGATGACGGCGAATAGAACGCGGTCGCGGTTGCACAGCACCGCGTGGAGGCCTCCGATGTCTTCGGGAGGCACCGCCAGTGCCTTGGGCCATCCTACTGGGAAATACATGGCAGAAAAGACCGAGAAAATCACTCGATGGCACTCTGGCAATCGCTGGAAGTTCACCTAGGTCGCCATGTTGGGGACGTCAAGAAGTGTGTCGTTACTTGCGATCTGATTGGTCAATTGTAAGCAAGCTAAACCAATAGTACTCGATCTTCTATATCTCTTCGGATGTACTACGAAAGCCTACAGCTACTTATATCTGTGGTGTATTACAATAATCAGGTCCAGGTTTAGGCCTATTCTCAAAGCAGATCATACGGTGGCAACATGGCAAGGCAGTATCCTTTGGCCAGAGGAGTGTCCTTTAGCCACCGGGTGGCCAATAGATACTGTGTGGCTAATGGATAATTCCTGGCCAATTTGATACACTTTTTTGCGGCCACCGAAAGATGCACACAAAATGGTATCATTGTTGGCCACCTTCTCTGGCCAATTTTAGGCCATTTTCTACTTTCTATTCAGCCTGCAAAGAAGTCTGGTGGAGACTTCAAAATATCTAGATGTGCTTGGAGATTTGTTTAGGTCCGAACCTAGAACCGATCCTCTGAACCTAAATCTGTACTTGGACATGATCATGCCGAACTAATACCCAGCCATAGTTGTTGTTGTTGTATCGTGTTGTAAAATTTTTAGCAAATCTATGAATGAGCTTCATAGATTCAAAGAAAAAGAAAAAAGAAGAAAAACAACTGAAAAATCCTATCAAAAAGAAATTGTCTAAAATCGACGTAACTAAAGTTAGGTGTGCTTCAGTACTTAAAATTGTCAATAAAAATATTCATTGAAAACTGCGTTCGGGGCTTCCTTATATATTGTACCTGTGGGCTTCGGTAAAAATGGGCGGGGCAACATCCAGGTTGACCAATCATATGCCGTCCTGCGAATTTAATTAGGTGATTATCAATAAAGTTTGCAGTTTCCCGGAGCGACCGGGTCAGCGCTATTCAGGGGGCCACATTGACAACTTGTGGGTCGCATTCCTTACCTGAAAAGACTGCTGAGTGGAGGGGCAACGTCTCAAGTAAGTGTATTTATCACTTCACCATGATAACTCGCCCAAGTTTTAGATTAACTCCCGTTTTGTTGTGGTAAATCCACACCGTGTTTGTTTACTTCCGGTTTTTGAGGTGGACATATTTCTAAACGCGCCAAAACCTGAGCGTTCCTGCTATTTTGGAATAGAAATTTCCAGGTATTTATCAGCCAGATTAAGGACATTTTACAGTAGGTAACGTGGTAACTATGTGTTGTTTTCGTGTGTTATCGATACAGTGTTCATTCCTTTGTAGACACGTCGGTCTTTTGTGGAAAACAAAAAGGTTTTACTCGTGTAGGTTTCATGTACAAGTATGCAGACAGTAATGTACACAGTGTCAGTTTTCACTCTCTTTGTTTAATTTCTTGTCAACCAAAGAGTGTAGAAACCAAGCCATTAACGTTTATAAATTAAGAACTAGATTTTAAGCTCCTTGATCACACTATAGAATTTTCAAGCCCATCGCCCCCCTCCCCCTTTACCTAACCAGTCAATAAATTGGTTAGGCCACACCATTTTAATTTTATGAATGACATCCTCTGAAGACCCCCAAACCAGTACGAAGGCGAATAAAAAAAAAGTCCGGCCAAAAATAAAAATGCTACTAAACCATGTACCACAGGAATTGCTGTGGCACATGCTGGCTTTTTGCAGAATTTATGAAACCGCACTATTGACTATAGTATGTACTGAGTTCTTGGAGATTTGGTAGCCATGGGTGCCCAGCTCCGTATTGTTGCTAACTACCATGGACTACTCAGGCCTAGAGCCAGGCCAGAGCCTCCGTGGACGTGATAATTTTTTTTTATTTTGAGAACAGGCAAAAATCAATGCGCAAGCGGATGTCATCCATAAAATTAAGTCGGTGTGGCCTTATTGTGGCCGGTGTGGAAATTCCTGAATTATAGGTCTGCGGTTTTGAAGTGTTAATCACATGAAAGACTTAATTGTCAAAACTACCAACTTATGCATCCACCCAGTAGCACCAGTCTTTAATTACATTGAAGCCAACAACATATAAATTGAGCACTATTAACAATTAACCAGTGACAAGAATTTATATCCTTATCAATTAGGTCACAATAGCTCAGGTGTGCATAGTAAGGTGTATACAGGAAATAACGTGTAAATTTGTATGCATACTAGTAGTAAGTGTGAAGGTATTTCCAGTTTTGTAAGGTTACTGCGATTTCATTTTACAAGCTAAAAAAGAGGCCCAAGATCTCACAACAATTGTGATTGTGGCCAATTAGAATCAAATGTGTGCTAAAAAATTATCATGACAAAAGACAGACTGTCTTAAGCTTTCTAAACAAATGTGCAATTTATGTGGGGCATCCGAGTGGTTAGCAGGTAAAGATGTGTGGCTTATAATAGTCTGATTCCATGCATGCCAGACATTATGTACTTGGGAAAAGTACTTTGCACGATTTTTCTGACTCCAATCAGGTGTGAAGTGGGTCTTTGGTTGGGAAGGTAAAACCATGGGTTAAAACTAAAAGGTTCACAGTACAACCAGCTGCCGCCATGCCACGTGCCTGTGAAGCTGGTGTGTTACGCCAAAGGGCGGTTATACCGGCTATACAGATACAGAAGCTGGTGTGTTACGCCAAAGGGCGGTTAAACCGGATATACAGATACAGAAGCTGGTGTGTTACGCCAAAGGGCGGTTATACCGGCTATACAGATACAGAAGCTGGTGTGTTACGCCGAAGGGCGGTTATACCGGCTATATACAGATACAGAAGCTGGTGTACACCAAAGGGCAGTTATACCAGCTATACAGATATAGAAGCTGGTGTGTTACGCCGAAGGGCGGTTATGCTGGCTATACAGATACAGATACAGGTAAAAGGCAACTTGCTTGGAAGGAGAGAGATGGAGCTCCACCTTCCAACATTGTGCCCAAGACACAGAGGATTCACCTGAGAACACTCTTTTCAGTCTTGACCTCTTGTCAAGGAACTAGACTATGAAAAACCTGTTTTCATTATTTTCAAGTCAGGAGCAATATAAACAGAGTCCTCAGTCGATGCAAATGTTTTGCTTTCATCGTTTATTTCTTGTTTGCGTTGTTTCGCGTATGTAGGTCAAGTATGTCGGACAAGCAGACCAGCGACATTGCCCGCGACAAGGCGGCGCGCCTGTTGAAGAAGAGGGGGAGTGCGTCTTCGCTGAACACCTCCGAGGCCGTCCCACCCCCCCAGCAGTCCAAACCCCCTCCCCCTAGGGAGAGCAGACAGAGACATGGGTAGGTGTATTTAGTATATGGTTCAAGTTCATTGACCTCAGCAGAAAGCCTTGGTGCCATTCCCTTTTTAGGCCACACCAATTTAATTTGTTGGTTCTCGGATTTTTCAAAAAAAATTAAGCGACAGGGCAAAAAAAAAAGAAAATTAGATACAGATCTAGGCTTTCTATTATACAATGTAGTCCCAAATGCCACGATAGCAGCCATGAAGTCAACACAAAAGGCTGGGTTAAAATTTAAACAATGAGTTTTGAATGTATAATGAAACCAAGTTGCATTGATGGAAAAACTGTAACAATTAGGAAGAACAGGACTTTCCTCAACTATTGGGGACAAAATATGAGCATATTTGAGTTGATTCAGAACCAGGATCTTTTCTTTTTTTTTTGCAAATCAGAAAAAAATGAAGAGGCAAATCCGAGACCAAACAAATTAAATTGATGTGGCCTAAATCACCTCTACTAGGCTTTAGGAAGAGGCTGGATAGAGTAGAAATCAGTTAAGAAAGATAACGTACCAGGATGCGGAAAACTACACTTTCTAAGCGGACCAACTCCCCTGGCATGTTATCTCTCTATTTGGCTAATTTTACGCTCTCTAGCCACTTTCTGAAGCCTGGTAGAGGCTACCCTCCTGTATTATGACCCCGTTCATACCATACTTTCAAAAACCGGTTGAAACCGCTACATATTTAGCGAGGGAAAACCTGGCTGAAACCTCTAGCGTTCATACTAGACTTCTCATAGTCATACTGGGGGTAACCGATTTGTAAAAATCCTGTCCGGTGAATCGGATTTAAACCCCTAAAAAAACGGTTGATTTGCATTCACACTAGACTAAAACAAAACTTTTTTTTAAACCGGTTGAAACCGCTAGTAAAAGTCTGGTATGAACGGGGTCATTGTAAACCGGGGCTTCCAGACTTTTTATGGAGCAAGTGCTAGTATATCAGAGCCCTGGTATATAAAAATGATGGCAATGATTCCTTCCAGCTCTTGATTGAACTGCCGCCAGGTAATTCAATCGGCTACCCACACAATGTAGTTACACGTACAGTTAGATGTAATTTCCATCACAGAAATGATACCACATTTCCTTAGAGACTTTAGAAAAAAGGAAAAAAATAGATTGTACTACCTTGTAGTATTATAATTTTTTTATCGCATTAAATACAGGAATTGGATATAGTTGAATTAGATGTAAATTGAATTAGATCCAGAAAGCAACAGTCAAATCGAAAGGCGCTGACAACTGTCCTGTCAACTGTCCTTGAATGATGAATATGATTTTTCCAATAAGCTGTTTTTCAGTTTGTTTTCATGCAATTTCAGGGCGGCAAAACTGGAATTATTCTGAATAAGACAGTTTCATGATATGATATCGAGACATACTGCTGCACATCAGCACATTTGAATCAGTATTTCATACTTTGGAGTTTGGACACTTAAAAACTGCAAAAACAAGCCCCAAGATGAGTCCTTTTTATTTTCCCGATGGTACCCTAAAAATCAGCCCAGGGCCCTTCCAGTAACCGTTTTTCATCACAGTTTTCGGTATTTCTGTTCCACGAATGTTGATATACACTATACAAGCATGTACATTGTAGATAAGTATGTACTAGATAGGTGACTAGAATATTGACTTTGAAATATCTGGTTTCCAAGCCCTAAAAACTGTGTCTGGATGCCTTTAAATTCAGCTGAAAAAGCCATGACTCAATGCCAGCCACCTGTGAACAAAGTTGTAATTTTAAGGCCCACTTTCAAAAAATAACTGTTTAGTTAAGTTGCTTTGGATGTCATATTACACATCTTACTTATTTCCTTCCTTTAGAACTGAATGTGTTTTTTTTTTCAACAAGATTACCGGTATATTAAATGAGGGCTTGCATGGAGGGGGGGGGTACAAATGACCCAAAATTTTCGCTACTGATTACGAATTACATGTACGTTAAAAGTCTCAGAGCTGATTACAACTTTACGCTTTGCAGTTAATGTCCTATTACGGATTACGTTGATTTTAGGGGAGGCTGCCTACAGATTACAAAGACTAAAAAGGCCTGATTACGTCTTACAAAAAAGGGCATGCAGGCCCCCTTGAATACTAGTATTTGGCAGACAAATTTATGCATCTCTGAAATGGACCAGGTGCAATTTTACAATTTGTCTCTAGGGGGAGCTTTAAGTTTAACAGACTATTTACCTGAGAGGCAGTACAGCTGGTAGTTAATGTATTACCACTGCCAAGGCAACTTAAGTGGGCTGTGTTTTCACTGGCACTGGTCTGTTTGTTTGTGGCTTTATTAGTTTGGAGACTGCAAACTGGATAGGTGACAGATCTTATATGCACACTTTTTTTACAAAGAAAAATCAATTAAAAGCCAAACATTATCGATGGAAATTAGGTTTCCCCTTTATGTATAGCATGTTTTGTATAACGTGTTAAGTATTGTCTAAAATGATCTTCTAAGGGAATGCTTAATTGAATATGACTGAATTTTTTTTGGTGAATTCTGGAACCAATTAAGTTATTGACATCCAAAAAGAGTATTTTTTAAAAGCTAGAAAGCAGAGACCATTGGAGACAAAAGGAGACCACAAAAAAATTTTAAAAGTGCATCCGCAAGCTTTCGATCCTGAACTCAAACTCTGCTTGATCCCTAACATACCTGTTCTAAGAATAAATCGATCTTATTGTCACCGTTTGAACGTCCGAATGGTCTAACACCTTTCCTACACTTCCCAGATAAAAACCTCTGTATCAGGTAAAACAATTTTACAACAGAAATCTCCTTATAACTTATATCTCTTTTTGATTGGTCAGACCGATGGGAAAACAATTGTCATTTGCAAACTGAGTTACATAAGTTTTGACGAAATTGTACCGGCCGCGGTCTTTATAACGGAGATGAAAGACTTCTGGTGACGTGGTCTTTATTTTCCTAATGGCTGTTGGACAGTTCACAAATGTCCAGTATTTGAGTTAGAAGATGCATGTCTTTGTCAATCTGACAGTAGGAAAAGATACATTTGAGCTTTTTTAGTTTGCTGTCCAAATTCTTGGGTCAGACTTTATCCTCAGATTCCACACTGATAAGGCTCAGGCCACACCAATTTAATTTCTTGGTTAACGGATTCGCCCGCTTCATTTTTTTTTCTGATTTGCAAATAAAAATAAAAATTCAGAATCAACTGCAAAATGCTCATATTTTTCACTGAACACTTGAAAACAGTCCTTTTCATCCTAGTTGTTACAGTTATTCCATCTTTCAATGCAATGGTATCATGGAAAGTTCAAAATTCAATGTTTGAATTTTGAACCAGGCTGGTGTGTTGACTTCATGGCTCCTATCGTACCATTTTGGGCCATAATAGGATGCTTAGGCCTGTTTTTATTTTTATTTTTTTTCGCCCGTCCTCTCCATTATCTTTCTAGAAAAATCCGTTAACCAAGAAATTAAATTGGTGTGGCCTCAGAGCCAGAAAACATTTTTCAGGGAGTTCTGAAATCTCTCTGAAAAAGAAAAAAAAACTCTGTAAAGTCAAAAGTACAGTCATCCATTTATGTTGGATTAGTTCTCTGCAGGAGATGGGTTTATTCAAAGTTCTAAAAAAGAGGGGATGGAAACATAAGTCTTTATTTGCGGACCTGAATGTTTGGTGGCGAAGCCTGGGATCAGAACGTGCCTAATGAGGTATCATCTGTTTACCCTGCACAAAGGAACCGGCAAGGCACCAGGCTAATAAACCCAAAGTAAATGTTGTTCAATGCGTGGCGTGTAAACGGGTCTGGGGAGCAACGCACAGGCGCTGCGCTTATCGGGAAAGCCCTTTGTCACGTTCGGTAGTCCGTGCCGCCTACTGAAAAGGGACGAACCAAAAGGTTACCAGGTAGCAGCGGGCGGGGGAAAAACTTCAATTGAGATCACTGGTCGCGAGCCGGGCGGTAGATGCAGGGATGGATTTCGCTAAGCTGCGATCCTCCTCCTTCGGGACGGACGTGGATAACCAGCGGAAGCCACGGTAAGACGTCGCGTCAGACAGCGCGAGAAAGTTGCAGCTAAAACCTAGCTACATTTGGTTGAATGAAACCTTTACATTTTTTATTCCACAAATGACAGGAAAACACAAATCTGTGTCGGAATGTCTGTAGCGTACTTTGACTTTGGTTGAGGAATTATATTTTCAGTTTTTTAAATGAGTTACATGCACATGTACCGTGTTCAGCTATGTGTTTGGCTGTTGCTAGGCAGATAGTGTATGTCACATTTCCACCAGCAATGCTACTAGTAGATACCCTTTTAGAAGAGATATTTAATATCGAAGAGACAGAATATGATATACATGTATCTTTTAACTAGAATGCATAAGATCATCAAGTACTATCGGATATATTGTAACGATACTGCGTAGCTGGTGAAACGTTCTATTGTAACACAGGTTAATCTATAAGCCAACAATCATGTACGGTTCTCATTGTATCAACTGTTCAAGCTTTTAGTGTTTACAGTTACTCTGTGCTCTGGCTTTCTCACATCTGGAGTTGAGCATTTTGATTTCTGTTGCTGGTTTCATGACTTCTAATGTCAATTTTGTTTATTATTAATAAATCTACTTTTAAATGTTCTCTGCACTACTTGCACAGGTTGGACCAGTAAGGTACAGTTACATGAAAGTGGCTGTGCCATTAATTGATTAAGTGATGGCGTTTGTTAAAAGTGAATTATGTTTGGGACAGAACATCTAACATCTTTGTCCATAATATCACCAGGGTCCATAATATTGCCACCTTGAGAAACAGTGTGCTTAAACTTTTTTACTGCAACATACTCTAGGTATGTACATTTGAGGTGTGCAGGAGAACATACCAAAAGTATGTTGCAGTAAAAAATATCTTTAAGCACACTGTTTCTCAAGGTGGCGATATTATGGACCCTGGTGATATTATGGTTTGTAATGTAATGATCTGTACTGTTTCATTTCTTTTGTAATGCTACTAAAGCTTTGAGAAATTTGAGTTTGACAGTCGCAGAAGACAAAAAAACATTTGTCCTGTATTTTTACCAGCATGGCCCTGAGTATTTAGCTGTGTCGACACCTGTTTGGAGAGTTTCTATGGTGATGTCATGTCCGGGGTTTTCTGGCAGGTCAATTTTAGCAAATCTTTTACTAATGGCAGGCTGAAATTACAGCCATTTCCTCATCTTGAGACAGAATTGGTGTGTCTATGTAATAAATTTGAGTCGAGTTGGGCTATTTTTTGTATTGACAAGTCTTCAAATTTAGAGGTTAAAGGAATAAAGAATTCGACATGACTTTTGATTGAAAAGAATCACTAGAAAGAAAAATGGATTTTTAAAAACATTGTTGACTTGGAACTTGGAACTCAGTCTTTGTCCTTTTCTTTTGTAGATTGTATACCTTTTAAAAAAGCCAGGTTAACATTTTGTATGTGCAAATTAGAAAACAATTCAAATCTTTTCATATTTTGGCCCAAGAACACACTAGGTTGAAGCTAGCTGTCCATGTCTTTCTTGGTCAGGTGCTGAACATGTATTCAACTAACTGTACATATCAATGTACCTCACTGATTCCTGACCCATTTGTTTGAGCAGTTGGTCAATTTGTCTCAATAGCAACCACCCCCCTATCAGCTAGTACACAAGCCTGAAGCTTTACTGTACTGTAACTCAGTGTTATGCACGGTTAGAAAAAAAAGATGAACCACAATTCAGCACTCAAAGTAACTAACAGTCAGTATTTCTTCATAGTGCACTGGGTGGACCAAAATGAATTTTGAACCCTGGCTCAAAAATACTACCCCTTAATAAAATCATAATAAATTTTTTGAGTATTTCAAAAATGTCAATCATAGTATGAATAAAACTATGATCCTTACTTTTTCAGCTGACCTCACACAAGTAATAGTCTACTAGTAATGACACATGAATCAAAATCCAGGCCAGAAATGATCACAGAATCATTGAGTCTTGTTTTTGTGTGGTTTTATATTTGTGTGCCTTTATCACGCTTCGTTGCTTGATCTCATGTGTAACTAAGAAGGACTAGAGTCAATAATCAAATGGTTCTTATCACAAGTTTTCATCCAGTTCACAAACACTGTGACAGTTGGACATGACAAACTAACACACAGCCAATAACTCTCAACAGATTTGTTTTCTGAGTGTCACTGAAACAACGTTCCAATGGACCACAATTGGTTAACCTGCACTTAACCTATTGCATTTGCTGGCTGTTAAGAAAGAAAATTCCAGTTTTATATTTCCATGATTCTATGGTTTTTAGAGGAATATTTTTTATGGTAGCAATTCTGACAACGGTATTATTTTGCATATTACCATTGTCAGAAGTTGATAAGCATTAAAAATCAGCTTAACTTAATTTGTTATTAAAATAGTCTTGATTCTGTGATGCAGTGGAATCCAGTCGTGGTGTTGCAAAGAAAAGTAATAATCAAATTGAATGCACTTTGTTTAAACACATTCAAGCATTACTGAATCAAGTTGTGTTGTGGTAACATATTTTTAAGAGGTTGTTAAAGTTAGGAGAAACTTAATAAAAACCCATGTCGTGTACCTTCAAAAGAAGCAGCTTTGTTGTTATGGTTTGCATAGCAAGTTCAGAAATGTTGCCTACCAGTATTGTTCAAGCTACAACACTATTGTGGTATGCTCTTCAAACACATCAATAAAATTCATTGATTCTCATAAACAGAACTGATAAACATTCCTGGATATCTGCTCAATCAATGTATGTCAAACTCAAAGTCAGTTACGTAAAAAGATTAAGTCATATTCCAATAATTATAAAGCTATCGGCTATATGCATACAGAACTGATCATGAAAATATTAATGGTAAGGTATAGCTAGAGGTGTGTACCTATTACAAATTTTAGATACAGTTACACGGGTTTAGGTACAAGTCTGATCCTGAAACTGTACCTGAATTTGAATTTTCTGAACTCCTTCCATAATGACATAAACATGAACTTGACCGTTTAATGTAAGTTTTTGTTAATGGAGGATTCTTTTACAAAACATGGGCAAAACTAAGATGTTACAGTTATCATCTCCTATCCTGCAACACAAACCTGACCAAAGTGACATCTAGAGGAAGTGTAACTAATATGCAACAGATCTTTCAGGGTAGTTAACACTGTCAGTCTGTAACACAAACACACTGTCCTTACTTTGGGACCCATGGGGGACCAGCTATTTACACAGTTTAGGTCACAAATAGGCCATGTAATTAGTGTGAAATTAATTAGGTATAGTACCAGGGATTTCAACTGTAGGTATTCTGTAGCCTCTTTTTCAGGCGTTCCCAGGTTTTTTTTGGGGGGGAGGGGTATTTTCCATAAAAAAACTCTGACCGATCCCGGAACAGAGGCTAGGTATTCTGGACCTGTGCTTAATCAATTTTTCCGGTGCAGAACCAGTACTGTGTACCAGTACACAGCTTTAGGGGCAGTGGGGTTGCATTACATATGGCTTGCACAAATTTGTCATTACCCTTATAAAACTAGTGTTGTGTACCCTTGCAAAAGTGGTGTTCAGTGCCCCATACATTTTGTAGGTGCCGCATAGGTGGTGCCCCGATCTGGCATTTTCAGCATTGGTGCCACCTTAGACTAGATTCCTTGGAAATTGGCCACTAGTGCTGCACTATCATCATTAATCATTTTGGGGCTCCTCATACTGTACCAAAGTCTGAGATCCTCCCCCTGACATGAGCCAGTCATAACAAATTAACCCCTTGAATACCATGACAGAAAATGGCACCAATGCCCAACAGATGCCCACCATCCCACAGGCGTTCATGTCTCTATTTAGGCCGACTTTAGACTGACGACGGTTAGATAGTCGTACGAATGTTTATCGTCAAGATGTTGCCAGCGACGATATTTTACCACCGTCTAAAGACCATCAAAACAGTCGCACGACGGTAATCCTCAAATCGTCGTCACTACCACCTCGGGTCCTATTGTGTGATCCTTCAGGGGGGGGGGGGTCCGAGGAGGATTTTCCACCGTCTAAAGTGAACCGTCGCTGGCGAAGGAAGTGGGAGGTCATTGGCCTTATGCAAATAAGCCTGCAAGGGTTAATTCATGTCCAAGCACATCGCCTGTATCATCAAAATGTCGTCAAATCAAAGACTTTATATCGTCATACGTGTCTAGTACAATCCCCTGCCACCAATCACTACTCCTCCGGTACGAACCGATCCGCCGATCCATATTTCCAGGCCAATATAGCCACGCCAACGGCAGCACCGAACGCCGGGTTCAAACCCGGAGTATTGCCCCGTTCGGTACATGTGCCTCATATCCCTTCTTTGCTGGGCACAAAAGCAGAATAATCTGCTGCAGCATGCCGAAAAAAAGGGGTTCTCTCGCCGCCATTTTGAATTGGCGCGCGGCGTGCTATCCTGCGCTGCGGGTGTCCACCACACTTCCTGGTCATGTGTCTAAAGGCAGCTGCCGCCCACAACGATTGTTGTGCGATCGTATACCGTCGTCAGTCTAAAGTCGGCCTTAGTGTCTCACATGTTGTATCTCCTTCTCTCCTCAGCTCCATCAGTACGGTGTCCTTTATGGACGAGCCTAGCCACACAGATGAGCTGCACCCTCCGGTGAAGCTGGAGAACACGTACCAGATGAGCCCCACCAAACGTTTCCCTGTCAGCACAGTCAGACACATCCTGAAGGACGTCCTGCAGAACTACCTACAGGAGGAGAGGTACGAACCTGAGCTCTGCAGGCAGATGACCAAAACTATCTCAGAGGTAAGACGGACTTGGTAATTGTCTAGTAATTTTTGTTTATTAAAATTTTCCACCCAGGTATACATCGAAGGAACAGGTGTAGCACCTTTTCCAGCTCCCTCCCCAAATTACAATAAAAAACATTTTAAAAAATCATTGGAATTATACACATTATCACAAAAATACGTCAATGGCATGGACCTATAAAACCAGTCAGCGTGGTCTTAAAACTACATGTATGCATGAAGCATATCTGCAAGACTATGTACATAGAATGTCTGTATCAAAGTTATCCTGAAACCTGTTGTTTATTGACTGGACAAGATGCCGTTTGAATGACAAAATGTCTGACTGACTTGACACTGCAACCTCCAAGACCCTAATTGGCATTTCTAGTTGATTCCATTCAGCCACTAGTCGAGGAATGCACGACAATGTAGATGTCTTTTTAGTGAGTGACCACTCTGGGGCTGTCCTATATAATATAATTCTTTGCTTTGGTCATGTACAAATTTTGCTCAAAATCCTAAGTTTTGAAGAGAATTCATTGGTCTGATGTCATTCATATTTATCATGATGATATATATGAATCAAAGATGACAGTTTTAATTCTGTCTCTTTAGTGAAGGACTCTGAGTGGTCATTTATGGTCATTTGTTAAAAAAGATGCTCCCAGAGGGACTGGGGTTTCAAAAGTCCGGGTATGGAAATAGTGGGATCATTGTAGTAGTGGGATTGTGTGGTGTAACAACAGGGTGTTTGGCCCAGAACGCAGACTTCATGGGTTCGAATCCTGCCATCGTCATTGATCTTGTGTCCCTGAGAGAGGCACTTTGCACGACTTTCCTCACTCCACCCAGGTGTAAAATGGGTACCTGACTTTAGTTAATGGGATGTGGGAGAAAGTGATCCTTATGACATTTGTAAAGGAATTCAGTATACATACTAAGCAGCATACTACCTGATTTTCTTTCCACAGTCTCCTCCACAGCTCCAGGAGGCTAGTACACAATGTTTATTTTGTTTACCGGTATACATGTGTATTACACTGTGTTTTTCAACAAGTTAGAGTTTGTTTGTCAATTTCCTCTCCAGGTTATCAAGGCTCGTGTAAAGGACCTGATGGTTCCCCGCTACAAGATCATCTGTCTGATCCACATCGGTCAACTCAACAACCAGGGACTCCGCATCGGGTCCCGCTGCCTCTGGGACCCAAACAACGACACGTTCGCCACCCAGGACTTCCAGAACGGGTCGCTATACGCGGTGGCAACGGTGTATGGAGTCTACTACGAATAGAAATCTCTGTGTCTGCAATAATGTGTAAACTTCAGGGTTTTGCCTCGCTCTTGGTTTCTTCCTTTCGTCTGGTTTTCAGCTGCTGTTTTCTGTCAAACTGTGGGAATGGACATCATTTTTGTCATCTATTGAAGCAACAAGGTTTTGTACTGTAGTCTGGCTATATCATGTTTCTAGTAGCCCTTTCAACATAATTCATTTATGCATCATGTGCTAACAATAACATGGACCAATTATTGTCAGACAGAGAACTGTCTTTTACTATTATGAGTCTTGTCAGAGGTCGTGATGACTGGTTTCCATAGTGTCTGACAAAGAATCCTGACTGCTTGCAATTCTACCATGTTCTGCTAGGGGGCACAACTCACCCAACCCAGCACCAGGCCGGACAGCCTTTTTTGCCTTCCAGACTATACCACTTTTTCCACCAACCCAGACTTAGCTCTTGTAGATTAGCGGGTCAATCATCCCCAGAGGGAAGCACAGGCTAGAAATTACAGATGCAAGGCAAAACCCAAGTTTATAGCCTAAGAATGAAATAGTTTGTTTGTATGACTGTTATGTATATGATGAGAGCTTCAAAAGAGCTGTAAAGATGTAAAGAATTCTGATTTCTAGCACAATCATGTAAGGCCATGTTGATTTGATTATATGGATGACATCCGCGCGCGCATGAATTTTCGGCCGTTTCCCAAAAAAAAAGAAAGTTTTCAACCATACTGTAAATCGTACAAAACAGTTGCAAAATGAGCAAAAATATACCATAAGTTACAAAAAAATTAATAAAAACTATACCAATGTCGTAGAATGCCAAAATCAAACGAAAAAAGACGAAATTGTAAAGAAATGAACTTGAAGACTAGATTATTCGCCAAACCATATTCTGTGCCATTTGCTCAACCCTCATGACCACGTAGATTTCATAATGAAAAGAACTTTTTTTTTTTGCAAAACTTTTTTTTTATTCGCACGCGCGCATCAGTTTTGGGGCTCCCGGAGGATGTCATCCATATAATCAAATCAACATGGCCTAAATTCAAAGATTTCACATTGCACTGAGTTTTTGCACAATGTCATGCGAAAAACCTCTGAGTTTATTATTCAACAGTTCTACTAAATAAATGATCATGAAATTTTTAGAAAATTAATCAGATAATAAAAAAAATAAATTAACATTTAACAATATTATATAAAACAGGGTCTTGCTGTAAATGTTGCAAAATCACTGTCAATACTAGTATTTAAAAAAAATTCATTCCGTCCACTTTGTGACATACAATGTACTTGCTTTTAACAAAACACAGAATCATGAAATTGTAAAAAAAAAATGTACTAATAAAAAAATTTCACACAGTGACCATGGCTACAGATACTGTAGTTTGGAACCTGACAAAAAATATCATTATTGAAAGCAAACAGTGCTTACAGGACCTGGTATAATTATTGTGATTAATATGTACAACTGCAAGACTTTAAAATTTTGCTTTGTTTGCTATAATATGTAATACAAGTCTGACTAGTACTATTCAGATGGTACCATGTGCTATAGTGAGACCGTGCCTTATAAATAATAATAATAATGATATATGAAAGTTCTTAACTAGCCTCTCTTACTGGTAAAATTTAAGAGGGTGTGTGGGGGGCAGACTAATTATGTGATTGTGGACAGTCTTTCCTGGTATGTTCTGATGCACTACAGGTGTTCAGACACAATCATTTTAACACCACTGCACTCCATCATATGTGATATGGTTGTCGGAACATACATTATTGGGGGCCTGCATGGGGGGAGGGGGGTCCCGACAACGCTCTACGCTAAATTTTGAGAGCCGGCTATGTATTATGCTGAATTCAGGAATCTTCTCGATTACGCTTTTCGTTAAATTCCAAGTGGCTACAACGCATTACGTGGAATTAAAACGGCGAATACGCTCTATGCAAGATGCGCCAATTACGCTCTACGTTGAATCAGAGCAGTCCGTCTATGCTCTACGTAGAATTAAAACGGCCGATTACGCTCTACAGAAAAGTGTTTGCGGGCCCCCATTATTGTACAATCATGTAGCTTGAGTTGTCAGAACAGAACGGTGTATCATTCTGAAATGATCGTACTGCAATAATTTGTACTAGTAATAAAATCATGAATATCTGATGGACTTGATACATACATGTAAAATGTATACATGTGTAAGTATTGCAATTGGATTGGCTTATTATGATAGAGTAATGATATCTAACATTAATAGTTATTAGAACACTAATTATAGAATAGCTACTATGTATGCCTGTTGAAAGTCTGGTTTGCACATTGAAACAACAAATTTCAAAATGTACCATCAACTACTATAATTCTGCCAAGTACCCTCACTGCCAGTTGACATTAACGTTAGATGTCATAATTTCTTTAAATTTGAAGGAAAAGAAATTTTGAGATCTAATGTTATATTTATTATATAATAATAATAATAAATACAGCATTCAGATATCCAGGTGTTCAAGACATCCTTAGGCCATACCAATTTAATTTGTTGGATCTCGGATTCGCCTCTTCATTTTTTTCTGATTTGAAAAAAAAATGTTTGGTTCTGACTCAACTGAACTCAAATATGCTCCTATTTTACCCCCAACAATTTGGGAAAGTCCTTCTCTTCCTAGTTGTTACAGTTTTTCCATCTATCAATGCAGTGGTTTGATTAAAAGTTCAAAATTCATTGTTTAAAAAAAAATTATTAAACCAGTCTTTTGTGTTGACATCATGGCTCCTATTGTAGCATTTGGGGCTATGAATAATGGGATGCCTAGACCTGTTTTTATTTTATTTTGCCGTGTCCCTTCATATTTTTTTGATAAAAAGTCGGACAACCAACAAATTAAATTGGTGTGGCCTTAAGGGCTCAATAAGATAAGTTGTCATGTGGATGTCTCTAGAGGTACCTGGTAAAATCACTGTTGATGTTAGGTGTAAAGCATGTGCAATGTCTGTCATAACATTGCAATGCAATACCACAGAAACAAGCTTTTTGTTTTATCGTTTGTAAAAATACAAGTACTTAGTGTCCAGCACTGGCATTTTTCGTATTTGGTTGTAAAAATTCTTCATGATATGTACTGTGGGTGAGAAAATATCACAATTTGATATTGATGGCATTAAACTTGAAATATTTGCCACATTCATGATTGTTGACTTTTTTAAGTCGTGAGACAAGAGTGTCTGGCATACCCAGAGCTAACTACAGTCAACTATATCAACAAGAGTTCCGGAAGTTCTGCTGCAGTACCAAGGTCATCCACCCGGAGGCCCATATTTGACCTTGACCTTTGTCTTCCTAAGACTTACCAACATACCAAATATCATCACAATCCATAAAGGCATTATGAAGTTATGCTGACTACAAATGTGCGGAAACACAAACACACACACAGACACACAGGCCAAAAACAATACCTCCATTTTTCATGGAGGTAACAAAAGAAAAGTCACCACTAAATGTCATGTTTTTAAAATGTATTAGAACACTGTATGTAATGTGCACATTCTTTCAAGATACAATCATATGATAGACACTGTCTCTTACATGACATAATAACTCTTATACAGGTGTATACACTCAGCAATTTTCTGTAAACAGTTAAAACTAATAATGGAAACACAACACGGATTGCTGCATTTGCTAAGGAAACAACTTTAAAAATTAATTATAGCTTCAAGACTTTCTCTTAAACAGGACACAGGAAAAAGTAAGTATGCATTTTTGAGGAGAAAAGTTGCTCTAAATTTGCCCCTTTTGTCTGTTTTTCATGGTTAGTTTTTCATCACTTCCCCCATTCATCTGGCTGTGCCAATTTACAGTAATTTCTATAAAATTTGAAATAAGTATATAATATACTAAACAGTATGAATATGGTCAGTGCGGTCACATTTGTCAAGCAGTTTTCATTTCTAAGCAAGGCTACGACAGAATGGATGGTGGGCAACAATAAACAAGTAGTATAACCATTTCGGTTACTGTATGTACACAAGACAGCATTCCTTATTACTGTCCTAAAATGTCCTCAATCTGCTGTGACATAATCTTTAAGTTAGCACACAAGGAATGTGACCAGGCTTTCACCTAAAAAATATCAGAAACCCAATCAACTAAACGTTTTTTCTAATGTCCATGAGACCTCTACCACCTATCAAGAAACCTCTGCAAGCCTTTTGAGTCTTTTCAACCCTTCCTCTCTTTCAACGTTTTCAAAAACTTGCCTGAACATTAGATGAATGTTCCTTTAGACATCTTACTTATCATTGCACATTGCTTAAACCATTCACTGTAAACAGTTTCAGTCACAAACCAAATCCAACAACTCAATCTAAAACAGATCCAGAACACCAACTGATTGCAGGCAGAAACATTATGATCAGAAGAAGACAGGGCAAATGGTTTCCATGAACATGTTTTCTCAGACAGGCCATTCACCAATTTCACACTTCCCATAATGCCTAGTAACAGTCACGGATATGACCTATGACCACCCCCCTCCCCCTTCCTCGATGTAATATTTCCAACAAGTTCTATCGACAAACTGGTCAACTATTGTTTTGAATTATTTCTCTATTAGAGAAAATGACGTACCTTCTATCGTTCTAATATACGCATGGAGGTCCTCCATAATATACGTAATGCAACCGTGCGAGTAGAAGGTAGAACGATAGAAGGTACGTCATTTTCTCTAATTCCAACAAGAATGAAATTATGGCATGCGCTTTATACCAGTTTGTCGATAGAACTTGTTGGAAATATTACATCGAGGAAGGGGGAGGGGGTGGTCTTACGTCATATCCGTGACCGTTACTAGGCATTATGGGAAGTTTGAAATTGGTGAATAGTAGCATTTGCATGATCGGTGATCAAAAAGTCATCAATCTCACCCTAGTTGTCACCCTCCTTCCTAGGTGTGTATGATAACATTTCGAACATAACGTAACGGCCAAACTAATCTTACTACTTACTACTCAGGCCACACCAATTTAATTTCTTGGTTAACGGATTTTGCTTGAACAATAATGGAGCGGGCGGGCGAGAAAAAATAAAACTAAAAACAGGCCTACAGGGTAGGCATCCTATTACGGCCCAAAATGGTACGATAGGAGCCATGAAGTCAACACACCAGGCTGGTTCAAAATTTAAACAATGAATTTTGAACTTTTAATGATACCATTGGATTGAAAGATGGAATAACTGTAACAACTAGGATGAAAAGGACTGTTTTCAACTGTTCAGGGCAAAATATGAGCATTTTACAGTTGATTCTGAATTTTTATTTTTATTTGCAAATCGGAAAAAAATGAAGCAGTCAAATCCGTTAACCAAGAAATTAAATTGGTGTGGCCTAAGTATTCATAATGCAGAAACCCTTTTGGTACCACACTGTCACAGTATAACAGATCTATGGCAATTATTCTATTAATTAGAAGCTAATCAAAGTTACCCGTTAGAAAAGGTTAATGCACCTGACATATGTCCATTGGAAACTAATCCACTGAATTCTTCGTTCTTCACAGTTGGGACTCCTTTAACAAGTCTAAACGCCCTGTAGCGTGCGCAGTCTAGTGGTTAGCGATCCTGCCTCTGGACTAAGAGGTTGGGAGTTCAAATCCTGGCTGATGTCGCTCACCCGACATGCACGCTACTGTTTAGGGTTGCAGTCCTTCGAATGGGATGTTAACCGTGGTCCACTGTTCATTGTGCTTGTCAAAAAGAGCTAGGGGAATTTCCCCGGTACAATGAACCTGTAAATACTGTACATACTTAGCGTCTGTCTTCTCTGTCACAACCAGTGGAAGATTAGCTCTTCAATGAGGAAAACTGGATCGAGGTCACTTTCTTTTCTTTTCCTGTCAAAGCTGTAACAGTAGTTGATTGCCGTAGAACCTTTATTTGTGTACAATAATTTTTTGCCTCCAGCTTTGATAGACTGTCACAAAACAAACTCGCTGCCATCTGCTCTTGTTAAGTCTCATCTCCGTTCTTAGAGATATTTTAAAATTAAAAGAAACAGAAGACGAACAGAATTTAAGACGTTTAGTTTCATCTGTGTTTAACTGGCCTAATCGTATGGCTTTGTAATTACGTACACCGTTTTCACCTCTCGTAAGGAATTTTTTTTAGGTTTGGAGAAATTTTCTTTTTCTAAATTGTTTGAAACATACAGTCAAACACTTGAGTGACCTTTTGATCATGATATTCACTGGTCAGCATTTCCACTATCAGTCCCTGAAGGCTTATTTAGTGCAGCCAACTTAAAAATTGAACAATCCTTGAATTCAAAGTAACTTCCAATAATGTTTACACCAAATGTACATTTAGATTTTACACGTAGAAACCATATATTACACGCATGCACGCGTATCTCAATGATTATATTTAGCAAGGTTGTAATAAATGTGCCTTCATCCAACTCAGCAACAGTTGATACTACATGTAAGTGATCAGTACTAATAAAAGAGCCCTGATACGTGTGACAATTCACTAGCCTGGTATCCCACATTATTCTAGCTCTAGTTGCACCTCCGAATACTTCTATATGCAGACTAGTCTGGCATCCATCCATGAATGGATGATTAAATGGCAAATTTTGAATATTCCCTGATAATACGGGTGAGAAGTCACAATCAAGGTCCTTATAATGGGATTCAAACACTCGCCTGACATAAAGTTTGAGCTTCTGAGAAGTTTTATTCCCAGAATTATAAGAAAAGGAGGAGAAAGTTAGCCTGGGTGCCATCCGCCGTAGTTTTCGCCCGCTCCCTAATGTCGCTGGCTACCACGGAGTCTGGACTTGCTGACATATGTAACGTCTGGTGATGGCGTCACGTAATGAGCTAGCTTTTGCCGGCCGCCCAACACCCAGCTGGGTGGCGGACTATGTAGGGAGCCCCCCGGAGCTTGGGTTACATAGGCTACGTGGTAGCCAGCAACATTAGGGAGCTATGGAGGATGGCACCCAGGCTAGAAGGAAGTACGGACCAAAATTTAATGTTTAATATGGGGATGGGGTTAGACTATTTTCCATAGAAGGGATTTGATTGTTGAAGCAAACTGCACCCTGGCTAACATTTTGCAACTATAATGGATAAGTCAATCTACTGTATACAACAAGAGCAATCATCCCAATGTACAAAAGGACCTGTACATCATGAGTCTGCAACAATTTACATAAAGGACAGAGCTGGGAGTGAGTCTGCACTCTGGAACAGCCTGGAATTTCCCATAATGCACACTTCCATATTATGCTAGATGCACAATGCTAACTCAGACTCCATTTTTCTACTGCATGATTGGTAACAATTTTGAAGAGATGCAAGGATGGGAACTAGATACATCGAACAAAAGAAATTTTTCAGCCAAAAATACAATCTGGGTGAAGTGTAACTTAGGTAAATTTTCTTACAGTACTATCTTTTCTATGAAATAAAAACTGATTTGACACTTTTATCCCATTAAGACTTTGAACAATTTCAAACAAGCAACCTGTACAATTTCACAGTTTATCTTTCCAAACAAATAAACATTCTCCATTCAGAAAGTTTTGCAGCATTCTTGATACAAATCTTATTCACACAAATTGCACAAAAAATATGTATAATTTGTCAACACAAGCCAGCAATTATGGGAAATTCTAAGCTGTGAAAAAGGAGACGAAATTTTCAGCTTAGTTACATAATTATTGACAAACACCTCTGTTACAGAGGAATTACAACAAAGGAGAATCTACACTATTAGAATTGAAGTTTCCCGCCTGTACTTACATTGTATGATATTTGGTTTAATTCCCTTGGTGAAAAGTACTAGTCTGCAACAAATTTGATGGAGCACATCTTCTGTCACTACCTGTATTGCAGCTTTATCTATTGTTCTATCATAAAACATCTCCCCACATGCACAACCACTGAATTTTACAAGTTAAAGCTCTGGGTCGATTACAAACCCTTAAGTCTTGTACCATGTTGTGCAGGTTACTCTCTACTTTTTTTTCCGGAGAACACTCAACAAATCCTGTTGCTGGAGATAACATTTAATTACTCATAGGCCTCCAACTTGTATGAAAAAGAGAGAACATTTTACGCTTACTATGGAGAAAACTCTACCCCTCTTACTCCGGAGAACACTCTACCCCTCTTACTCTGGAGAAGAACCTACACCTCTTACTCCGGACAACACTTTATGCTTCGGTCCCAATTGAGAAAAGGGGTCCTGCCAGGTAGTTCCCGGGCTGTTTTATGGTAATTTCGGGCGTGACCCCTACGTGGCCCCGCGGGACACCCTGCGGCTACCAGGCTATGTTTGGGCCCGGCGGGAACCCGAGAAGAATTTAATTCTGACTTAAATTCTAACCGGATCCCGCTGACAAAAAGACGCCGTGACCGAGCCGTGAGAACACCGAGAGGTACCCCTCCAGTTGCCGGGAGTCCAGCGGGACACATTTGTTACGTCACAGACCAGATGAACAGAATAAAGGTGTATACTTCGTAAACCCGGGTAAAAAGTGTGACGTCATAGATCAAATGATCACAACAAAAGCGTGAATTCTGCATTACGTATAGGTCAGTACAAGACATCGTCAGAGAATCTGCCGGGTACCTGCCGGGTGCCTGCCGGAGACCGACCAAAGAGGGTGACAAATTTTTTAACAAAATGCTACTGAAGGAAACTTTTAATTGTGACCATGACAGCCGATGCTCACCCGACTCCTGAGCCCGACCGGGGCCGGCCGGGGCTACATCCCCGACGGACACCGGCGCAATTGGGACCGAAGCTTTACTCCTCTTACTCCGGAGAACAGTCTCCACTTCACTCCTCCTGCTGTAAGAAAAGAGAGATGACTCTATTCCTCCTGCTCTGGAGACCCCGGAGTGTCAGCAGGTTTTAGCAGCTTGCGTTGTCGTGGCGGCAGCTTGCTGTCCTGAAGAAGCTCGATGACGAGCTCGGCTAGCGTCCGCACTTCCTCCGCGGTGGCAGGGTTGGTGGCCAGGTGCTTGACCCTATCTTCTCCTCCCTCCTCTATCAGCATCGGGCAGTAGCGGTCAGCTGAAAAAGGGATGGGGGGGGAGTGTTAGTGTAATAATTCTTGACAAGGTCTAGGGAAAAAATGTTGTGTTTCCTGTTTTAGTCCTGACAAAATTAGGGTCGGTATGTATCTTGATCAGCTCGAAAAATGTCCCTTGCAGGGGTCCATCCAAAAAAATGTCTGGGGTCAGCAGGTTTTTCTAAGGTCGGCCAGGAAACACAACATCTTTTTTTCCTAGGCCTAACAGTGCACTGCAATGTGTATATATGTGTATGCATACAAACCAGTTGTATATCTGAAATAATGAATTGTCTTTCCCTTTGCGACAAACCAAACCTGATCATATCCATGACATACTTTTGACGAATGTTATTAACGATACACATAAAAAGTTAGATACTCCAAGGAGCTTTCAAGACACACTCTTCATGTGTCTCTTCATCAACCCACTAAAGATTTCATTTTGGAGTTCTTGTCACGTGACTTGATGATGATTGTCATGTGAAAACAAACAGTTTTATACTGGCTAAAGGTAGTGACGCCCCCTGTCCCTGTTTAAGGTACTGTGGTTGTCTGCAGATCTGGATTGCCTCCCGAACACCCATTGGAATATCTATAACAACCTGCAGAAACACAGACACACACACAGACACAAACACACAAAAAACAATACCTCCATTTTTTACGGAGGTAATGACTTCCACTTACGGTTCTTGGTACAGACGTGTTGCATGGCCCACACCGACCACAGCTGTACACACACACACACACACACACACACACACAGACCAAAAACAATATTCTCCATTTTAATGACTTCCACTTACGGTTCTTGGTACAGACATGTTGCATGGCCCACACAGACCACAGCTGTACGGCAGGCGTCGTGTAACACTCCAGCAGTGGGAAGAACGGGTGGAAGGACCGGTACGCAACCATCTCTCCTGTGGGGTTGTCCCAACTTCTTACAGCACTCAACTGTTACAAACAAGCAGGAAACAGTGGTGAAAAGTTTAAACTTAAGTCATAATAAACTAGAGTTCGTGGAACACATACTTTTGTCAGGTGTAGATATTTTGTCTTAGATTAATGTGGGAAGAATATGAATATGCAAAAGCTTGTATATGAATGTGCAATTTTCTTTGTTTTGATTCTGTATAATTGCAACCAAAAGAAACCAGCTTTTGTTTTCAAGGCACCAGATCATGTTGACCTATATCATACATTCCAGTGCCAGATGTGATGTGACATGACATGACATAAATTTGTCAGTCTTTGTCAAATGAATGAGTAGGAATTCAGGCTGACTTTGTGTAATAACATTAGATAGTTTTAAATTCAGCAATTTGCAAAAGCCTAGTCCTAAGAATTTTCATTACTTTATAACCAAATATCTGACAGCCATTTTACAACTCTTTTCCTGTGTACAAGGAAAATGACATTGTCTGCAGCCATATTGTTACTGCACTCGCATGGTGGTATCCGACCAGTGTTTTGTGGAAGAAACAAGATGGTCTCCTACCAGTGTATTTAACATCTGGTCCCAGGAGTGTTCCCTGAGGTTCCAGTGTTCTCTGCCCTCGCTGGCCAGGTGCGCCACGATCCCAGCTGCGAAGTAGCTCACCTCGATATGGTCACACACAAGCAGCTTCCTGATGGACAAAAAATATCAGCCAATTAGGCCACACCAACTTAATTTTATGGATGACATCTGCATGCGCATTGATTTCTGCCTGTTTGCGCATTGATTCACAATAGCAGCTTTGTATTTCTATCAATGGTTAAGTAGCATTTTTATTTTTGGCCGGAAGTTTTTGTTTATTCGCCCTCGTGCACTAGTCTGGGGGTCTTCAGAGGATGTGATCCATAGAATTAAGTCAGTGTGGCCTTATAGGGACCTTAACACATCTATGGACCATATAAAATCTTACAACATGGTGGTATATCATAGCCTGGGTGTGGAAACAGCGGAGGATGGCACCCAGGCTAGGTATATCAGTGTAGGTATATGGAAGTTGTAGGGGCAGTCTGTCTGTCAACAAAAGTTCTCCACCTCTGGTGGTATATACTACACAATTAATACAAGAGATTGCCATGGCGTCTCAGCCAGTGAGTGGTAGGCAAAAAGGAGGTGACAGTTGTGTGAGTTGATGACTTGATATTAGACATGTAAGAAACAGCATTATACTCACTTGACATAGTCCATGAAGTCCTCTCTCAACAGAACCTTCCTCAGCCCTCGAACTTCTGCAATGTTGTTCTGTAAGAAAAAAAATGGGCAAAAACTGTTGTCATAAAATGGTCTTATGATTAGGGGCACTTGCCACTGAATCTTAAGGTTCTGGCTTCAAGTCCCTAGTTCTAGGCCCCTACTACTAGCTATAGTAGTCCTCAATGTTGTACCCTTGGGAAAGCCATTTACACTGATTTCCTCACATGACTTAGACCAAGAAAAAAATGTTTGGCCCCCTTACAGATTTTGTGGGAACTGCAGCTGTTTGTTCATTACTCACAATCAAGCCCAGGACTTTGGTGTGGAGGTTGGACTCGTTGGGGAAGACCTCCAGGATCTGCATGAAGAGTTCCAGTCCACCGTTCTCTACAAACGTCGTACAGGTACTCGGAGACTCATCTGGTGAGACATACAATTTGGCTTGTCAGTCTTACTGATAGATTGACTTCATATTCTCCTCATGCTGTTTATTCATGCATCCATCTATCATCCATCCATCATCCATCCATCCATCCATCCATCCATCCATCCATCCATCCATCCATCCATCCATCCATCCTTCCATATTTCTGTTGAAACTATCGCAGAGTGGAACTCACTGTCACCAAGTACAGTAGGGGCATTGTCAATAAATAGCTTTAAACAATGTCTAGAGCTAGAAGTTCAAGGGTTAGGTGTAACAAGTCGATCGGTGTAATATAGCCAGCTGCCGCCGCGCCGCGTGCCTGCAAAGCTGGTGTGTTACGCCGAAAGGCGGTTATACCGGCTATACAGATACAGATCCATCCTTCTATCCATCCATCTATCCATCCATCCAGCCAGCCAGCCAGACTACCATCCATTCATCCATCCATTCATCCATCCATCCATCCATCCATCCATCCATCCATCCTTCCGTCCACCCATCCATCCATCCATCCATCCATCCATCCATCCTTCCATCCATCCATCCATCCATCCATCCATCCATCCACCCATCCATCCATCTACCCATCCATCCATCCATCCACCCATCCATCCATCCATCCATCCACCCATCCATCCATCCATCTACCTATCCTTCCGTCCGTCCATCCATCCTTTCATCCATCCTTCCAACTTTCCATCCATCCTTTCATCCATTCACCCATCTATCCATCCATCCATCCTTCCGTCCGTCCATCCTTCCATCATCCTTCCACCCATCCATCCATCCATCCATCCTTCCATCCTTCCACCCGTCCATCCTTCCATCCATCACCCATCCATCCATCCATCCATCCATCCATCCTTCCATCCTTCCACCCGTCCATCCTTCCATCCATCACCCATCCATCCATCCATCCAGTGCATGTAGTATACAGTCCACTGAACTGACCTGTTAGGTTCCATAGTGCACTGAGTGTAAACTTGAGAGTAATATCCACTTCTTGTCCCTCTGTCTTCTCTTTCACTATCCTCAGCAGCTTCTATACATGGAGATATGGTATGACTATTAATGTCAATGACACTGAGGAGAGGAGGGCAAGCAGGTTAAACTTTTCTTCATACTTTTAACCAACCTACAGAATTGTAATAATTGTTTGTTGTTATAATACACATGACCACAAAAAATACTAAAGTTTACTGTAACGTAACTGAATCAGTGCCACACATTCAATCATTTATATTATGATTAATGCACAACCAAAAAAGTTTCAAGAAGTCTTTTGGCAGCAATAATTATTCCCTTTAAACAAAGTTGCACAGACAAATGTTGGGACTTCAAGGCAATGTGCTACAGCCGGTAAGTCATTAGTGATTATGCAAGTTACAATGTATACTGTTACAAGTTGCAATTTACTGTTTTAGTGCAATCCTGGTTCAAGAATTTGTATGCACTACAGGCTTGTTGTAGCAAAAACATCTGCATTAGACCTGATGCTTCTGAAACAGGCCCCATGAGTATTATCAGAGCATGATAAAAGATTTTTCCCATCTAGTAGGATGTGCTGACCTATCCTTAAGCCATGTGCAGTCAAATTTATGGTAAAACCCAAATTCACTTTATAAATAGTGCAAAGATTTCAAACATTAGACCACTATCACACAGGCATCAAATGCCTTGTTATTCAAGGTTACCATAAATAATCAAAACTCTTTAAAGGGTACTCAAAAAAGATCACACTGCCAGTCCTAGAAAGAGGCACAACCATGCCGCCCTGTTCGCAGGCTGGGTTTGGTTAGGCACTTGTCGGTGAGTCGGGTTAGACGTGAAACTGAGCAAGCAGGGAATGTGTCTTACAACCTGCAGGTAGTTCTGTGTCCCCAGCAGGGCAGTTTGTTCTGTAGAGATCTGGACAAAAAATACAAGAAGACAGAAACATCAGACAGGATTTCTACCAAATCTATCCACAAATTGAGTACCACATAACATTAACTTTCACCATGCGTACACAGAACCCACTATACATGATAAAGCCTTCCCATCACTTTTTCTTCAATTAGAAAAAAATAAACATTTTAACCATAATGTTTTTTCCTAGTACTTGACAGATGAGGAAGAAAGGAAAAGAAGAGGATGTCAGAGGAAGGTATACCATCATGTTAGGTGTGTTCAGTCATTTGTTCAACCTTCCTAACCGAGGAGATTTTATACTGAGGGCAACTTATTGACATGTATCAGTTTTGGGTTGCCCTGAGAATGTAATCCACATTAATGAAATCAGTATGGCTTAAACTACAACTAGAGAAGTAACATTTGCAAAGTAAATGTGTAATGTTTACCTTCGGACATGGTCTGCCCTGTTAATTTTTACTCAAACACATTCAGATACATATGGTAACAGGAGTAGAGCAGACCATGAAATTGCAACATTATGTTTCTAACCCAACACCAATTACCATGGTGACAGATGTCAACAAATCATGTCATTGGCCAGGTCAGAGGTTAGTGTTTGGAAAAGAAGAGGAGGAAGAAACTGAGTAAAAACAATATGTTTTCCTTCGGTAAACATAATAATTATCATAATCATAAATGCTACTGACCTTAGCAGCAAGTATAGATATGATGGCTACAGCCATGCGGTGCATGGTGGCGTCCTCATGTGTGCACAGACAGTGCATCACAAGCCTCGCCGCGCGGTAACGGTCAAACTTCTGTACGGGGAGGAAAAAATAGTCACACGCAGGAAAAATACTTGGAAGTATGTAGGTTAACTTTGTTTTTTATTTTGTAACAACTGATTTATTGAAATTGCAACTGTACAGTGCAATACACGCGGAACAGAGGCAGCTGTTGCTGGTGTTGTGTCCCGCACATAGCAACAAATACAGGACAGACAATGCTCATTTTCACTTGACTCTAGTGGGGAAAGTCGTGTAAAGTGCCTTTCCCAAGGGCACAAGATCAGTGGCATGTCTGGACTCAAACCCAGGACCTCTTGGTATTCCGAGTCGAGCACGCTGCTGTTGCGCCACAATTTTGTAACATTTGCCATAATAAATTATTACAGTTTCATTTTCATATCAGCTAAATGTCACTTTTTCATTTAATTCTTCACAACATTTCTTTTCCATACCATTTTAATGTCAGTTGGATTCATTATGTTAATCATGGCAATTTCTTATTTAATTTTCTTGACTTTTCCATGTCATTTTAACGTTATTGCTAAGTGCGAAGCCAATTGACCATTTTAGGCAATGAGCTAGGTAGGTGCAACAGATATGTAACGGGGCTCAAAATACTGGGTGCAAGTGCACCTTAGTGCATCCAAATTTGGAGCTGTGCACCCAATTTTTTTCTGTGGGTGCACCAGTGCACCCAAATATTTTTGTAGGTTTACATTTTAGATGTTAAGAGTACTGTAGTACACAACATATTCTTAACATCCAAGTGTCAGAAAAATAAAAAAATCATTGTTATTATATATAATAGTACTTTAAAATTTCTTTCGACATGTAACTAGCTTTTGCTGACATTCTACTTAATTTATTTTAGATGGAGCACCCCCAAAGATTTTTGTGCACCCAATGTTTTAGGTTGGGTGCACCAGTGCACCTATTTCCAAAAATGAATTTCGAGCCCTGTATAACTAAGCCAGAAGTTAGTGGTGAATGTTTATTTCCACCCATAACCCACCACTTCCTGCAGGATCCTGTCACTACAGAGTGTGAGCAGGGCGTTCTTCTGCAGCTGCTGGTGGTTGGGGAACACCTCCATGGCCTTCAGGGTCATGTTCACCACGTCAGACAGGTCACGCGACGGAACTCGCTTACTGATGTCATGCCGGGTCAGGTTGTACAGGCAGGCACTGCAAGGTCAAAGGTTACACCACACAAACATGGTGTCAGGTGGTGGGATCACGCTACATGATAATTAGTCCCAATGGTCAGAACATTGACTCAGAAGAGGATTATGAATGATATTTGAGTAAAAGTTTAAACATACTATAATTATCAAAGGTAAACATATGTAAACCTAATGCTAATATGATACATATATAATAAATATATCTAATAAACTTATAAAGACAGAAAAGAACAACTCCCCAAAAGATACTATCTAACTTATGACTAGCTATTGAACCTTATTCTGGTCACTTCAGTCTCCCCACCCAATGTTAACTTTGAACATCAAATTTAACTTTAAGTAGTAAACAATGAGCATGTCAATCCATATTCAAGAGGTGTCCTGACCTAGCTGCCATCTGCACACCAAGGCTCTTGGCATCACAGTGGTTCATCATCCCCTGAAGCACCAACTGTGAAGAAAATTTAAATAGAAATCATCAGCCTGATAAAACTAGCTTTATTTATTCTACTATGTAGCAAAACATTATTCAAATAAGTCTACCAGGTAACACTATAGATCGCCGCATTGAAAACTGTGTTATTTGAAGTCTTCTTAAGAATGATTTGAACACAGGTGTTTAACATGTCAGTACTTGCGGGAATGCTGATAACTTCATGTAAATTTAACATTTTGTTTTCAATGTGATGGTTTTAAGGTACTCCGTGGAATTGTGAGAGATGGTCTTAGACATATTTATTCATCTAGTATTCAACTCTACAGAATTAACATTCTGAGGGGAGCCGGTAACAGGAACATTAAGTTCCTTTTCCAGGTACACTCCCCTAGAAACACATCAACAGATACTAAATTGTTTCTACACTGTAAAGCTTAATTAAATTAAGCTTAATTAAATTAAGCTTTACAGTGTAGAAACAATTGTGAATGAAACAAAGTGTAACTGTAGTAACTGTTAGTAATAGTACAAAGTATAAAGTAAAAACTATTGCATACATCCGTTAGTAAGTATGTAGTCTGACAACACGGGTATGTAAAATAAATAATGTAGTATGCCTTCACATACATGAAGACAACTATTTAAATTTGGTTAACAATTCTTATGACAATTTTAACAAACCCTCCTTTACCTTGATGACATCCACCCTGGGATGTTCCATCCCTGAGGTGCGACCAAACAGCTTGTACAGAGCCTTCTGTACGTACACGGCTCTCTCACTGTACTGTCGCAGGGCCTCCAGGATCTGTGCCTCATTACCTTCTCCTGTCACCTACACAACATGGGGGAGAAATGAGAAAATTCATGATATAAAACTCTGTTTAAGCTAGTCTATGATAGATGTATTGTAAGTAATTTGCAATTGCTGGGGGGCTTTAATATTTATAAATTCTGCATATTCTATAAAGAGTTACTAGTAATTACACTATTTAAAACAATCCACTTACTAATAGACAAACTGTATTTAATTATATATAATAAGGTAGAACAAAGGTATTCAGTCATCTCATGTCCACCAGTAATGACCATACAATAGAAAAACCATGTGAATTTATCTCGATTGCTTTAAAAAGAGAGAACAAATCCTTAAGGCCTACATTAGTTTATTCTCTTAGTTGTTAAGACTTTTACGTTATACTGTTAACCCTACATCCTATGTATCATGTTACTCAGAATGATGTACAAGGTACATGTAACATCACATGTATGCATTTAGCCCCATGGGCATGAACATGCAATTAAAGATTCATCAAGTATCATTATATTGTAAACAAGACAGTAAGAAATTGAATATCTATTACACCATATTTAGAGCTCGCGTGAATTTATCTTTCATGCTATAGATAAATTCAATTTCATTCTAGAGGGCAATATTCCTTATTGGGAACAAATACGAGGTAAATACATGTATATCAAAGAATGTTCAGACCTTAATTTAATGGCTTTAAGAAAGTAGTATACAGTTATTACTTATGGATTCATCTTGTCACTCACTCACTCACATTCACTCACTATCCAGTCTTGTACATACATGTAGTAGGTCAATTCTGTTGTACCCACGTGTCTGTCTGTATGTTTATATAGTTAAAGTCACTGTACTTTCATTGTGTCACTAAACTTCTCTGTTACGATGTAAAAGGTTATCTGCACTTCTACAATACAGTTTCTCACCATAGTATTTTCTGAATGGCATTTGAATACAGGAGATTTTTATGCCCTTTCCAGCTGGATTTTACCTTGTGGAAATAACGGAAAGTTAACACAATCAAACACACAACGAAAACAAAACCTCCGCACCAGGAGGTAACATAAACACCCACCCTGAGGTCCTTGCGGAATCCCTCGTACTCCTCGTCCCAGATGAAGTCCCAGAAGCAGGCTGGGCCCATCATGACTCCCAGGAAGGACAGCTGTGGATGACTCTCCAGGAACGACAGCAGGGTGCTCTCCGACAGGTCCCGCCCAGAGATGTCCAGCGACGTGAGGTTGGGCAGCACCCCCGGGATACACAGTAGGTAGTCCACGTTCACCTGTTGATTTGATTTGATTTACTGAAATTGCAACAGTGCAATACACGCGGAGCAGAGGCAGCTGTTGCTGGTGTTGTGTTGGATATTGACACATACTGCTTCACATTAGCACATTTAAATCAGCATTTTATACATTGAGCATTTAAAACTGCAGAAACAAGCCCCAAGGTTAGTCCTTTATTTTCTGGGTGGTAACCTAAAAATCCGCCCAGGGCCCTTCTAGTAACCATTTTCCGTCAGGATTTTGGGGGATTTATGCTCCACAAGGGTCAATATATATTGGGATAGTGACTGGTTTCAACTCAGTATTAAGATAAATGTCATTGACTAGAATATTGGCTAAATGGAAAATTGGCCTAAAAACTGCACTGGATGCCTTTAACTGTTATTCCAAATGTATCATACTTTTCTCATCTTGACACATGGATTCATCTATTGTATGATATAACTCAGTAATATGTGGAGATCTGTATTTACGTAGTTTTATCGTATTTACCTAATTAATGTATCCCTATAATTCTTTTTAGATATCTGTAACCAGTGTATATGTATTTCCAGTGCAATTCAGTGTGTGGGTCCATCCTCATAGCGCGCACTGCGAGACTGATGTTTTTAATGAAATAAACCGTTCACCTTTAGCTGGTTCTGACTGGCGAAGAACGTCCCTGATACGCTGAACGTCTCCTCGGTGGAGATGTCTAAGTGGCGCAGGGCCGACAGCTCCGAGATGACTCTTTCCGCCGAGTGTCTCTCGTCTTCTTCCCAGTTGTCCCTCCCCTGTCCCGTATTCACCCCGTACGTCGAAAGCGACTTTAACTGGTGCTTGCACTGGAGCAAAGGGGTCAGGCTCGACACGAATGTCTTGGAAATGTCCAGGCTTTCCAAGTGAGGCAGTTCTGCTGCGACCATTTCCAGGTCCTGCGTGTCAAAGTTTGTATGGCTAACATTCAGGCACCTGATATTTCTTAACCTGGACACCAGTGTTCTGTTGATGGTTGCGAAGGCCCCCAGGCCCTCGAAGTTTCCGAACGGTTGTTCCTCGCTGTAGTCCTGCTTGTGAGGTTGAAGCCCGCTGACGTTCAGCGACTGTAGCGCATCCTGTCCTGACTCGTACAGCAGCTGTAGAACCGAGGCCGCTCTCTTTATGTTGGTATTAGAAACATCTAACTCCACCAGTTTATGATTGTACAAAATGGCTCGGAGCCCTTCGAGTCCAACCGGAGTATTCCGTACCCGAACTCTTCGTAATCTGAACGTATCAGAACAGGAAAGCAGCGACAAGACTTGATCGTTCACCTTGTCCTTTTTCAAGAGGCTGCTCAAGAACAGCTGGGACAGCTCGTTGTGGAAGAAGACGTCTTGCTGTTTGAAGGTCAAGTGAACGCTGCCCACGTCCTTGGCCAGGTTATCACAGATGTAGTCCATGCAGCACTGCAGTAAGGTGGGGGGGTCTTCCAAGTCTGCCATGGCTAGCCCTGGGGTGACAAAAGTGAAAAGTGGAAGTGATCTCAAACCAGTTTAGCTCATTGAAGAGCTAATCTTCCACTGGTCGTGACAGAGAAGACAGACACTATGTGCAGTATTTACAGGTTTATTGTACCGGGGAAATTCCCCTAGCTCTTTTTGACAAGCACAATGAACAGTGGACCATGACTTAATGTCCCGTCCAAAGGACTGCGACCCTAATATAAACAGTAGCGTGCATGTCGGTTGAGCGACAACAGCCGGGATTCGAACTCCCAACCTCTTACACAAGTCTTAGTCCAGAGGAAGGATCGCTAACCACTGGACTACGCACTGACTACTAGTATACTACATGCAACTTATTACAAGCTTAAGTACAAGACTGTAGAAATTCAGTTTACTACTAACAGCAATACATGTACTAGTACATAGTACTAGTATATGACGTCTCAAAATAAGCCCGTGCAGTTAAAGAAAAGCTGCTAGGGGGCACACCTATACCACGTCTTCCAGAGATCCAGAGATCAAATTATCGGCTACCCAAAACTCTTGACCACTCAACAAAATATACAATTTAATGCGAGATACAAACTTGTACTAGTTGTAGACTGGCAGAATTTTTACAACCACCTAACTGATATATATAATATAGTAAAATACTATCCGACTTATCAATTTTTGCAGGGTCTCATGAATTTTTGAGTAACAGGGGATTCAAGGATTTCTACTTGGTGTTTTCAGTATAAGGTTGAAATGATAGGAATGAGGCATATTTGTGGTGTCATGAATTTGCAAAGGAGACCTGGTCACTGCATTAGCCTTGTGTTACAAACTTAAGCTGTGAACGGAAGAGAAAAATAAATAGCCATATTTTCAAGTACCAACGGATATACGATTGATGTGTTCAAAAAGTCATTCTTGCCTAGATCTATCACAGAGTGGAACTCGCTGTCAGCCAGTACAGTAGGAGCATTGTCAATAGAAAGCTTTAAACAATGTTTAGAGTTAGATGTTCAAGGGTTAGGTGTAACAAGTTGTGTGCCTGTCTAGCTGGTGTGTTACGCCGAGGGGCGGTTATACCGGCTATACTGATACAGATACAGTACCTAATATTAATAAGCCGTGAAAATAAATGCAATCTACATTAACATTTGGAGATATATTAATTGCAGTATATAGTAGATTCATTAGTATTCAGCCCCAGACCCAAATGCATGGATGACTAACCTGTAAGTAAGACTGATATTTAACATTGCTGTGCAATGACCTAGAAGATTTAACTGAAGGTCACAACTTGAAAAGGAGGTCAACTTGTGGTATGGCCACTTTAGAAAGGGATTTAGCACAATTTTAGTAATGCTTGAGAATAAACAAACAATTTTCCATGTTCTCATTGATTTATCTAGAAATATTTATAGAGGTTTTATTTTAGTGTTGACCTCCTATATAACAAAATCATAACACCATAAATATGTCTTTTTGTTACCTGTACAAAAGAATTGTTTAACAGCAAACTTAAAACATAATCTCCTTTCCATGCCTACTGTGAAATTTAAAGTGATATTTTGTAAGATTTTCACTTTTTTAAACATTATGTTTTACACATTTTCTTGCTCTGTAACTTAGTATAACTTATAAGCCTACCTGGGTTCATAATGACATTTGGGGAATAAAAGATGATCAGCATTGTTGCGCCACAAAAACGTGTTAGAAAACTGCCAACTCCTCTGCGCTAGCGTGGATTTCGGCCATCTTTGTTGTTTACATTCTTTTTAGGAGCCTCCTAAAAATACAGTGGCCTGCTGGTGCAACTTATTCTCGTGTTGTATTGAGTTGCCGGAAATGCAAAATAGCAATGCTAATAAATTAGTAATATGTTGAAAGTCATTGAATTAATGATAATCTACAATTTAGTAGAAAAGAAAATTTTAATTATTTTGTTTACAATTTCAGTGCAAAAATTGCTTTGAATCCAGTATTCTTGCAAAAAGGAACATATTTAAAGTACACTTAAGTGCTGGTACATGTATAAGAGTCTGAATACCCAGGGGAGTGTCTCATAATTACAAAATCAACTTCCCATGAAATCTCTCCCATCAAACACAGCTTAAAGTAATCATCAATTTCACAGTACAACACATACATTTGTACAACAGCTTTTCTCACTCACTGATTAAAAAGTCTTCTTAATTTTTCTTCAAAAATGTACACAAAATTTACAGTACAACTTGCAATTGAGTATATAGTCAATTATTTAAAAAATTCAATCAATAACATCCACTGAATACTAGTAGTTGAAGCATGTACATGTACATTATAAATAATATTAAAACACCTAACTACACTATATTATGGGCTGAGAATATAATTTTTCTGAGCCATTCCATGAAAAAACTCAGAAAGGAAGCCTGCGATAAGAAAAATATTGATTTTGTAGTCACCTGAATTACAAACACATAATAAATTAATATGCTTTTAAAAACATATTTACCATGTATCCGTAGATAATTTCATCAGGTTGGTGAATGACTGAATAGCAAAGTTCTTTCTATCACAACCATTTATTTTTCAAGCCAACGTTTCGATGACCTTCTGTCATCTTCATCAGGGCAATACTGACTGGTTTACTGTGCACTGACACTAGATGTTGCTTGGTGCATAGTGCACTAGAGGTGTTACATAGAAAGCCTAACAGACAAAACTAGCTTAAGTGCACTATGAACTATGTAACACCTCTAGTGCACTATGCACCAAGCAACATCTAGCGTCAGTGCACAGTAAACCAGTCAGAATTGCCCTGATGAAGATGACAGAAGGTCATCGAAACGTCGGCTTGAAAAATAAATGGTTGTAATAGAAAGAACTTTGCTATTTATGTTACCATGTAGTTACAGAGGACCCTGCAACTTTGAGCCATTGAAATTTACACAAGTATATATTTCTGGTGACTATTCAAATGCCCTACTAAATATATTGTCTATCACAGTCTCAGTGAATGACTATAAGTTGTGTTAAAGTGAGCAGACCAGAGCTAGAAAGCAAAGCCCTCCCCATCTCTGTCAAATTCGCAAATATTCAACAGGGATGCATTCACCCTCTAATTGGTTGACCTGCTAATTGCCATCCTCTCATTGGTTAAAACTGCTACCAGTAATTGTGACGGACAGCCAGGATCAGTCTATTAGTATTGCTATACACATGTATGGGTTATTAGATTCCTGGCTACAAATGTGTCCCATCAAACAAAATTTACGTATCTCATCATCTTAAACATTACAACAGGGAATTGTAAAATCTTCAGACGATATTTTATCATCACCAAGCCTTTACATTGGCTACTAATTATTGGCTACCCTATGATTAATTATATATGATATGCCAGAACAAGCTGCTAGGGGGCCCAAACTCATGTCACTTCTTCACTAGCCCAAGAGCTACCTACCAACCAAAATTCATGACCCTAGCATGTCCAGTTCGCGACATATCAAAACCAGAAGTTCTGCTGCAGTACCAACAAAAGCCGCCAGGGGGCCCAAAATCTAATCATTTCTAGGTCTCATCAAGACCTTAACCCACCTACCAAGTTTCATGACAATACATATTAAGCTTCTTGAGTTATGCTGTTCACAGACAGACAGACAAACAAATGGACAAACGCTACTGAAAACATTACCTTCTTGGCGAAGGTAATAATAATAACACAGACACTGATTTTTTTCTCCACTTGCAGAATGATTAAGCAGGTTGCTGTAGGGCCTATCATTAAAGCCCTGAGGGTTATTTACATGTTACATGGTGCACCAAAACACTCAAACTCAGCCTGTTGTGAAGTGAAGTAAGGAAAAGGAGTAGCTTAGAATGTGACCTGTACGTCAAGTAATGGGTGGGGTCATCGGTCAACATCACTGAGTGCTGACACATATAAGGCTTGGCGAACCCTGTGGTATGGATTATCTGTAAAAGCACCACTTTTTTTCTGTCAAATCTACACGAGACCGTCTCAGCTGCCCGGCGGTGGAAATTGTCGTGGGATCAGCTGAGGCGTTGCTATGGGGAAAATCGTACGATATACAACATCCTATGTCATACTAGGAGTGGTGGGGGTGGGGGGTAGGTGTGACGTACCAACATACAAGAACGGGCAACAACACACCCGAAATTCCATCACAAACACACGCAAAACTGTGCGGGGAAATAGATAATGTACGCAGAGAGAAGCTTACCCATTCAATCTCCTCCCGTTTTCCGAGCGATCTGGAAGGAATGGCGGGTTATCCGCGCGAATCTAACTTGAACTTCGCTTCGTCACTTTCTCGAGCCACCTTTTTCGTCCCAACTTCTTTCAACAGCGGAAGTGCCTTGGGCTACAGCACTTCCGCATTCAAGAACATATTCCAAAAACAAAATTTCAAGAAATTGCCATCTCAAAAATATGAATAACAAATATCATATCACAGGAAATGTTGCAAAAAGTGTAACATTATAAATTTCCGAGCTGTAATCAAAGGATGTGAAATACAAAATATATTCATTAACACCCCTATTTTTCTAGTGTTACAATCCAGAAAAGTTTGACCTTTCACCTTGCGAACACCGGAAGTTCCGAACCGGTTCACCTTGCAGTTTTACGCAACACTTCAGAAAAGTCTGTCCTTGATCTAATTTCTCTCCCCAAAATAAGCCGTTTTAACGATGTCTGCGGGAGAGGGCGGCTCGCAGGCCAAGGGTGGGTCCTTTGTGACCGACTGGAAGAACGAGAAGGAAGTAGAGGCGTACTTGGGGAACCTGGAAACGGAGTTTGGGTTTCAGTGCTACCACGAGAAACTCCACGATGGTTTGTACAGAATATCAAGCACATATTATAAAATAATGATATAAAATAAATAACCTACTAGAAGTTTTTTTTACAGAATCATAACGACGGCGTTGTGTGTGACCTCCTCACACTGCAAAAATCCTTTCATATGCGGTTCTACCTTGGGAGCCAGACTAGTATCGGGCCGTTAGCCGTTTCCCTTCGGTACCCAGGAGCCCTTCGCCCGCCTATCGAAATTACCGCTACGGGGGAAATGATGAGGCCGACGGGAATTGGCCGTCCCTTTTTTCTTTTTTTTTTTTGCCCTTTCTTTTCTTTTTATTTTTTCTCTTTCTCTCATTATATAATATCATATTTTTCATAATTATTTATTCGGAGGCTGTGCATGTGTTAAGAAATTAGAGCAAAATTGAAAATTTTCAAATAAAGGTATTATATTGATCCTGGACAAAATCATGCAAAATTTCAAGTCTCCAAGTACCCTTATTTTGGTAAATAAATCACCTAGCATTATAAAAGCACTTTGTACTAAGAATAGAATAATTTCCTTTTTGCAAGTAAAAATGCATAGAAATATGTCATATAATTTTTGGGCAAGTGAAAAGTTGGTTCAGGCAAGTAGAAATGACCATGTACTTGCCCGAACCAGCTTGGATTTTTGAAAACTTTAATTATCCAACCAAGGTACTGGTTGAAATTTGCTTTCTGTGACCAAACCTTGTTGCTGTGGCCTAAAAAAAACATACGTTTTCTGCCCAGGTTGTCACCGGCTGGCCAACTTCTATGAGCAGATCAGGAAGGACTACACGGCGGCAGCCAAGGTTCTCAAGTCTAACTGTGAGAACAACCAGTTTGCTGAGTCCTGCTTCAAACTGGGGACCTACCATTTAGTCGGCAGGGGTGAGTCACTATACTTTTTTTTTTTTAACGGTGTCGCTCAATGCAAGGCCAATTATTTTTGGCCACTTCTAGGCACAGAGCTAGAGGTACTTAAGTGAGTATAATGTAGTTATGTCAAGAGATGGCGGTGGACCTTTGTTTTGAAGCTTTGTGGATTGGAATTGGATGGAAAGCAGCTGTTTGGAAGAGAGTTCCATAATTTTGCAGTCCGGGGAAAGAAGCTGTTGTTGTAAAATGACTTGGAGACGGGTATATGTTGACGGTGTATTGATGAGAACTGGAAGAGAACCTAGTGGCACGCTGAAAGGTTCTCATGAGCGGCGGAACAAGAATTGCTGCACCTCTTTGTGAGGTACTAGTATACCAGTTAGCAACTTTGATTCAGTTAGGCCACAGCACATAAAATTTTATGGATGACATCCTCTGCAGACTCCAAATCTAATGCAAGCGGGCAAAAAAAAAAACTAGGCGGGCCGAAAAAAACAAGGTTCCTATTTTTAACAATCATTGTACAAATGGTTTTGATTCAGTGGGAACATCGCATATACACAGAACCTTCTGAAATGGCAGCAGTTCAGTACAATTTATGAAAAGTTGTAGCCGTAATGGTTTGGGTGGTGTTTTCATTCTACAGCCAGTTTGGTCTGGAAGGCATTAACCCTATAATGTTACGGACGTAGATATAGTCTCATATACCACTGTATTTTCTTTCTTATGTTGTTTGTAACTGCAATTAGCCCTCGGGCATGTATTTGCAATAAACTTTCATTCCAGACTGAGGTCACTCATGTTGGAATGATGTTTGATCTGGGCCACATTTAGGTTCAGGTCCAGATTCAAGTCCAGAGGTTTAGGTTCAGTTCCGGACTTGTAAGTCTGGACCTAAACCCATGGCATATACAAAATTGCATGTTGGCAACCTTGCAATGTTGTCTGGGTGAAACTTTGGTCACATAACATTGAGGCCAACACTTGACAATGCCCGATGGCAATGTTTTCTTCATTTTGCAGCAAAGATTTTGCAATCTACGGAAGGTTTTAGGTGGTTTGGAAAGAAAAGGGTTATGTGAAATGGTCTTTTATGGTAATAAGCCCGGACTCGGTTCTTAACTTTTAGGTTTTTTTGGACTTGAACCTAAACATTCTTACAAGTCCGGATCCAAGTCCAGTGAACCGGTATGCTGACTAGGCATGCCGTATTAGTTTTTTGGGGGACAGACTTCACAACCTGTTGGATATTACATGTACTACAGTATTTTCCCACTACAGGCCAGGTGGAGAAAAGTCCCCAGGAAGCTTTCCGACTGTTCAACAAGTCGTGTGACATGAAGTTCAGCAGTGGCTGTCACAACATGGGGCTGATGTACCAGAGCGGGGTGGCCGTGGAGAAAAAGGACTTCCCCAAAGCCGCAGAGTTCTACAAACAAGGCTGCGCACTCAACAATCCTGATAGCTGCTTCAGGCTGGGGACACTGTACCTACAGGGGGTTGACGGGATAGATAGGGATTTCGGGAAAGCATTGGAGTATTCTCTGAAGAGTTGTGAGATGGGACACATGTTGGGGTGTGCGAACGTGGGACACATGTATCACACTGGGGACGCTGGGGAAAAGAACCCGGAACTCGCCGAGAAGTACAAGAAGAGGGCGAAAGACATGCAGACGGAGATTAAGAAGATTAAAAAGCAGCTTAAATTCGGAGAATGACAGATTAAGGCATTAGGTCAGTTGTGTATTGGTTTATGTAGTTTTTGAGGAATTTATATGATTAAAGCTAGAAGATACTCAGGAACAACACTAAAATCTGGTGCTATAATATTTTTTGCAATGTCTGTACTATAGTAAGCTTATGTTGTAAAATTTGATATAGTCTTTAGAGAGGTATTGACAAATAATGAAACAAATAAACATTTTCCTTGCAAGTGAATGCAACTGTTTATTGCCACATCTTTTCTTTACAAAAATCCAAATCTATGATAGATATGGTCACTCAATGATTTTTGGTAAAGATATTAGAAGTACACTTTTCTGACTGACAACGTTTTTGGGAGGGTTGCAAGTAACCATGGTTCAAAGGCACATAGTTACACCAAAAGTCTACAACATACTCAAAAGTGATATTAGGTACATTTACACTCACATATTTGTACAATAAAGATATTAAGGTCAATTAAAATAATATCTCTTTTCAACGGCAAACTTTAATATGTACTAATCTATTACAAAGAAACCCAAAACAAAACTGAGATAGCTGACCTTATACTAGTTGTAGCACATTAATGACAAAACATTATTGTAATCTAATTAATTTTTGGAGAAGTTAGTGAACTAAACACTGTACATGTACATCAGTGTCTTTACTTACGAACATTGCATAGTTAATGTTACTGGAATGCAAGATACAGTGTATAACACATCTTGTTCACAAGGAGGAATGATGTATCAATTTACACATTGACAAAATCTGCACAGACTATAAATATCGATTAACACTGCAAAACTTCACTCTGGCCTTTCCTCTACTTTTCCACAATAGAATACACAGAAGAATTGCATTGTATATTGATAAGGACTTTGTCAACTATGTAAATTTTACAAGATTCTAATCTTAGGACCAAACATTGGTCTACCTTAGTAAGGCACTAGTAAAAATACATATATTTAATGAATCTATGCATAATAGAGTCATCTATAATTTTATAATTCTTTCACTTCAGATTAAATCGAGTGGTGTGGCCCAAACTAAGCCATCTCGTACAGATTTTTTTTTCAAGCAGCAAATTAATATGGAATGTAGCACTGTTACAAAACTCTTCATCGAATTTGGTACTTAAATTGGTAGTCATACTCTACTTTAAATTTTAAGATGCTTTAAGGTTCAGACTTTAGAATGTTCATAGGTCATGACATTATGAATATTCACAAACCATTAAGCATGATAAATATTCATAAGCCATGACACACTGATTATTCATGAGTCATGACATATTATGTATATTCATGAGTCATTACACAATATGAATATTCATGAGCTAGGTGACATGAATATTCATGATACATGTACAGCATTCACAATACTAGTATGTAATGAACACCCAAGGTTGACTCCATTGGCAATGCCTAGACTAAAAAAATCCATGATTTTAGTTCCTTGTTTGCATAGATGTTGTTACTTGTGTCTAGTTCTGTTTACATAAACCCATATTTAGGTTCAAGTCCAGATTCAAGTCCAGAGGTTTAGATTCATGTTTTGTATATGCCATGAAACATATACAAAATTGCATGTTGGCAACCTTGCAATGTTGTATGGGCAAAACTTTGGACACATAACATAACCATGGAGGTCGACACTTGACGAAGCCCAGTGGCAAGGATTTCTTCATTTTGCAGCACAGATTTTGCAATCTGTGGAAGGTTTTAGGTTGTTTGGAAAGAAAAGGGGTAATATATAACATGTACTTTTTTGGAATAAATCCGGAATCTGTTCTTGACTTTTAGGTTTTACAGACTTGGACCCAAACATTTTTACAAGTCTGGAACCGGTCCAGCAAACTAAAACACAGCACTACTTGTGTCCGTTGGTCTCTGACTGCCCCACGATCTGGTACTCAATCAGACAGACGGGTACTGCCTGGTCGGGATGGAACACCAGGTACTCCTGGTTTGTAACCATGGAAACACCAGATGGAGAGGGCAGCAGGCGTCCTGGTGTCTGGAACCAGACAAGGTAAAGATAATGAGTAAAACTAATGCAAGAAGAGTTGAAATTTCTCTTTATGCTTTATGTTAAACTTTAAGATTTTGTTCGTGCAAACTGAAAAAAAATTACCGCTGCAATGCACTATGGAATGAATTTTTACAACAAATTTAGCGGGGGTAACTTACCACAACAGAATCAAAGCCATGTGGTGGTGTTCTCCTGAAAATAAGAAACATTGTGTGACTCAACAGTAGGATAGGTACAGCACCTGTCATCAAGCACCAAGGAATTCCGCACCGGGGACAGCAGTGTTAGTGTGAGTACCATTCGGCACCAAGGACAGCAGTGTTAGTGTGAATGTCATTCAGCACCAAGGACAGCAGTGTTAGTGTGAATGTCATTCAGCACCAAGGACAGCAGTGTTAGTGTGAATGTCATTCAGCACCAAGGACAGCAATGTTAGTGTGAATGTCATTCAGCACCAAGGACAACAGTGTTACTCTTAACTTCATTCAGCATCAAGGACAGCAGTGTTGGTGTGAATGTCATTCAGCACCAAGGACAGCAGTGTTACTCTTAACTTCATTCAGCACCAAGGACAACAGTGTTATTCTTAACTTCATTCAGCATCAAGGACAGCAGTGTTAGTGTAAATTTCATTCAGCACCAAGGACAGCAGTGTTACTCTTAACTTCATTCAGCACCAAGGACAGCAGTGTTACTCTTAACTTCATTGAGCACCAAGGACAGCAGTGAGTGTTAGTGTTAGTGTAACTGTAATTCAGCACAAGGACAGTATAGTGTCTGTGTGTAAATATCAGACAGCAATCATTTTAGTATTGTTTGATCACTACGAAAGCTAGTGCAGAAAACAACAGAGTTATTCACTAGACCTTTATGACAGAGGACATGGAGCAAATGGACCTAATGCTCAGGTATAAACAGCCAAACTCCAGTTCTAACTTGACAGGACCTCACCTTGTGTGGTTTTTCTTCACTACAGACTCTGTCTTCCCAAGTACCACTTCTGCCAACAGAATCTTTCCCAGCTGGACATAACAAAAAAAGAGAAGAAGGATTGACACGAGAAAAGAATCTTGTTAGAACAATCTTTAAAAATAGAAAAGAAAAGAATCAAGCTACCAACAATTTCTGTGTTTAGTTATCCGTCATAACAGACCTGTCGCTTTTATATATGCGACTCTGGTGTACCGGCTTGTGATCTGTCCCTCTTGCTTTGTTAGCGCTAACCAACTTTCAACCAATCAGACTTCCCCTTCGTGATCTTGGAGGGAAAGTAACCAACCAATCACGTTGTCTCTTGAACATAAGTAACAACTTGATTGGTTGGCCAGTGCTAAAGCAGCAAGAAGCACAGAATGCTTATGTGCCAATATGCAACATGTCGGCAGAACGCACTGCACCTGCACAAAACCCTGACTTTTTACGATTTTCGGTGGATTTTTGGTCACCGTTGCATCAGAATTTTGCCTGTTGTTGCAGAAAAATATTTTTTTTGACATAACATTTGGAAACTACAGATGGGATGTTAACCTTACATGCGCTAATACAACCTTATACGAGACGTTCTGCCGAAGTGCTATGTACAATACATTACGGGTTTACGCAGGTGCAGTACGTTCTGTCGACGTGCTCCATTATGCAAGGGACATACATACATGTAAGCAGCAGGCATGACATGTGAGGATTTGTGAAATGCAACACTTACTGGACAGAAGTTTGCCGCCTTGGACGGGTGTTTAGAGAAGTACAGGCCAACTCCAAAAGTCCCATGACTGAAATCTGCCACCAAATGATGAAATAACAATGTCAAGTTAAATGAAATGTTAATTTTTTAGCACAATTATTATGAAGATGTCAATAGTGTGAATCACATGTCCATCCCTTGCAGACCCTAATGTTCTGTCCTTGGGGCACTACTTATATAAGTCAATTTTCTTACTCAACTCAGAAGACAATCAGTACCAAGCTTTGGATCGGAAAAAATGTTCATTTTAACCTCCAATTTAACTTTGAATTAAATTCCTGTCAGTCTTCCTGTCAGTCTACTGTATTCAAATAACTACATAAAACACAGTGAAGAAAACTAGAAATTAACATTCGCAAAGCAAATGCATAATTTTAACCTTCGCATATGGTCTGCTCTATGAATTCTTACTCAAATACAGTCATATATACAATATTATGGTCAGACAGGAGTATAAATCCCTCCTACTATAAACTTGCAACATGATGTAACCCAACACCAGTTATTATTGTGAGAGACATTCAACAAATCAGGTCATTGACCAGGTCAGAGGTCAGTGTTTGGAATGGAAGAGGAGGAAACGCAGCAAAAACAATGTTAACTGAATATGTTTTCCTTTGGTAAACATAAATATGTACCATCCACCCACCCTGTTCAGTGAAGCCGTACTTGATGAGTTCTTTCATCCTGGATGTGGGATGTTCCAGTCCCCCACAGAAGTACAGCTTCATACACAGGCTGGGGTCCTGTAACTTCTGTCTCCAGGTGTGGAAACTCTCCAGGGCTGAGGGGGTCAGATCTGCCTGCAGATGCAAGTCAAGATGAGGATTTGATTAAAGTTAAAACTTTTGGTCCAACACAAAAAATTCTCTCACCTAGAGCTTTTGACCAGTCACTCTGGTCTTCCTCAGTAGACTGACCCAGTGAGACTTGTCACGTGGCTTCTTTGAAGTGTGACGTCAACACTGGGTCAAAGGTATCTGGTAGACGATGTCGGCTCCCGTCGCGTTTTAGTGAAGGGTGATGGGCCCTGCATGTAAATAGCCTCCTTCACCCCTCTCAGATGTCAGGAATGGCATATTGGCCCTGGAGTTTAGGAACTGGCCTATGTAGGCCCTGGAAACAGTCTGGCACCCAGGCTAACACAAAATTGGAGCTGTGCACCCATGCATATTTTGTTATGTAACATGCTATGTAAGCTTAAGTGTACATTGTGGTGTACAGCATATTTCAACTTCTTGTCAGTGTACCTGAATGCACCTACAGTATGTGGAAAAACCTGACACAAATTCACGAGTTTCCCATCCCCAGAATGCATTGCGAAAACAGGGGTCTAAACCTCATTTGCATAGGACAGGAAGGCATTGGAATGATCCTGTTGATGTTAATGTTATTCACTGTGTTTTGAGGTATCGGGGCATTTTATACTCAATGTTAACTAAATTACTATGGGTTGAATTTGACAACAAATAGAGAATGAATTTTTTTGAATATGTGGTTTATAAATTGTTCTAGTGGTAACGCTATACTGATGCTGTAATGTTACAAACTACATGTTCCATGTTGAAAAGAACACAAAAAGTTGTTAGAAGTTCTTACCGGTGTTATATTTGTGACCTCCACTGTGCCCTCTATATCAGAATCTTTCTTCATTCCTGATCGGAAGTCCTCAGCAATCTGCCACCATTCCGCTGTATGTGCCAGCTGGGACAGAAAGTCCTCTGTTTCTGAAAGAAAAAAAATTAGGCAGATTCCATTGATATGCAAACTCCACTTTTAGTTATTTACTTTTAAGTTGACATACCTTTTGATTATCTACCATTATGATTTGATATCTGAACGATTATTATTACTTCTATGTTACCTTATTTCATTTGATTGTTGATGAGTTACTTACGATTTCGTCTTGTTCACGATAAGTTTATCTATTTTATAGTTGACCTTTGTTAGTTCATCTTTAATCTTTTGTTATAATTATAATGTCATGTAGCTTTGTTGGGGTTATCCTCCCAGGAATCTTTGAAAAACGCCAATAGGCGACATGTATATCCTGGTTAAATAAATAAACAAATAAAATAAATAAATAAAACAATATTTTATACAACCTTTGGCATTACATGTAACGTTACATAGAGGGACAACAAAATGCATTCAATTCTGCATACACAACTAACAATACAATTAGTACATGTACATTTGTACTGGTGGTGTATAAATTGAACTATTTACAAAATAGTGGACAAGTTAACCCCAGTGCACCATCTCCAGACAAACAAGTGCAAGAAACAGAAAAAAAATGTTACAAATTGAATGTGAATTCATATCTGGCAACCTATTATGGTAAAAAAAAGGGTAAAATCAGTAACTTTGCTAGTAATACAAAGTGGCTTCTTGTACATTGTGTTTTTTTCCATTACCTTTCATAGGTATCCTAGTGTTTATGCTATTTGAAATGAATGTAGAGCCCTTTTTTCCCCTGATTTCTGTGCTTGTTGTAAGTTGTGTTAACGGCTTGCTGCCATGTGCTGCTTTCGAGGCAGCAGGCGGTACTGCAGGAGATACATGTAGGTGGCGCTGTTGCACAGTCCCCTGCTCCTGAGGCATGTCTGACACCTGTGTTCCACTGAGGGCGGCCTGCTCCAGGTTGTTTAAGAACTGCTGATTGGACGCGACTAGCTCCTGTAGATCCTGGATCACGCGACCGGGGTCGCCCGAGCTCGGAGGGGTTTGCGACACCAGCCACACCGTCGTTTTCAGCGTGGAGATTTGGCGGTTGATATCGCTGATAGCTTGTTCAATGGCGTCTGCCATCCATACTGTAGGGAGGACATTGTAGCATTACCTTACTACTGTCCAACTTTTAGAAATACAAGCCTTAATTTATTTTCTACACTTCTTTTTTAGACACAGCATTTTTGCTGTCTGGAGTTGGTGCATTGGGGTCAAAAGAGAGCAGGCACACATACACAAAAGGTCATGTACATTGTGGATGACAGCACACCTATTAATATCATTATCTTGATAAAATTGTATACGATTTATAAAATGGTCTTGGATGACAAGCTTTACCTTATAATTGTAACTGTAGAGGTCTTGGTCTCACTAGTAGGATCCCCCTCCCCCCTTTGTAAAAAACTCTAGCTCCACAAGGTGAAAGGGTCAAGAACCCCGTCCTGATCAATTGACAGTTCATTCCTTCACCATAGATTTATAATTTACACAAACTTAAAGGTAAAATCCTGGCTAGAACCCTGGTACATAGTGCTACAGTAGAGTGTGACAGGGTTTCTGAGTGATGTCTGAAGTTGCTGCACCAGGGCTCAAAATTCATTTTTGGGAATAGGTGCACTGGTGCACCCAACCTGAAAAATTTTAATAGTTACACAAAAAAGTTTTTGGGTGCACCATATAAAACAAAACCTAATTACTATTATAGTACAGATGTTACTGAGCTTGAATCTGATATGGAAACTAACTTCAAAATCTTAAACAAGTTTTTCTGACACTTATATAGGTGCCAAGTATAAAATTATCCTGTATACTGTCATATATTTGATAATTATGTACAAAAATACCTACACCAATGAACTCACAGATAAAAATTGGGTGCACAGCTCCAAATTTGGGTGCACTAAGGTGCACATGCACCTAGTATTTCAAGCCATGCGTACCTTTGCTGACTGTCTCCTGCCCCCCGACAGTGACACCTGTGTTCTGGGCATGTTGTATCTTCTCTAACTCCTCCTCTAGAGCTGACACCAGCGTGTTCAACCCTGACGTGTCTTCAACACCTGAAATCACAGCAGAAATCGGACTACTGGATCAGGCCCTGTTCATACTATATATAAGCCTTGCAAGTCAGAATCAGGCAAGTCACAAGTTGCTTTGTACGTTGTTTGGTCAGGATATCCAGACAGATTCACTGCATTTCTCAGCTGCTTTATATATACATGCAAGTAGGGTTAGTAATGTACAAGTATGTTTGCTCAATCCAGGCCAGATGGGAAAGAGATGGAATCTCTATACATTAATTCCTTTGGAGCCTTGCTATTCATGAACTACATGTATACTAATACAAAGGGTACAAGGGGTGCTAGCATCTAAATCTTACTTCGTGTAACATCACATACCTCACATGTAATCCACGCAATGAGTGAGTCATTAAAATTGTGTCCAACTGCAAGGCGTGGCAGGCTACATGTATACAACCCATGACTGGCTCAATATACAAAGTGAACTGTGATGCACTTAATCTGGCTCAAACCATTTCCTGGTGGTTTGAGATCAAGCCGGTTCCTGGAAGTGTCTTGGAGCGTTTAAACTCTGAATCCAATTTGCAACGCTTAATATGAACAAGGGGGTTTAGTTGAAATAGATACAGTACTCCAAGAAATTTAAGAGCATTATTTCATCAACACCAGCATATTCATCTAACAACAGAACACAGGACTGAAAAAAAAAAGATTCAAAACTACCCCATACCTGTGCTCTGGTTTGTGCTGTCCGCTTGTTTACTTTCAGCTCCGTACATGTTTCTCATGACGCCCAACTTGTAGTCAAGAAACCGCTTATCTAGAAAAAGGAAGGAAAAAAAGAGGCAAGCATGAATTGGTGTAATTGTCTGTGAACCTGTCACTTTATCCTTATGGCATGTGTCACTACTAACAAAGATAATTGAAGAATGACAACAAAACTGTGCGGTTGTAGGGTGCGTAGTCCAGTGGGTAGCGATCCTGCCTCTGGACTAAGAGGTTGGGAGTTCAAATCCCGGCTGATGTCGCTCACCTGACATGCACGCTACTGTTTAGGGTCGCAGTCCTTCGGACGGGACGTTAACCGTGGTCCACTGTTCATTGTGCTTGTCAAAAAGAGCTAGGGGAATTTCCCCGGTACAATGAACCTGTAAATACTGTACATAGCATCTGTCTTCTCTGTCACGACTAGTGGAAGATTAGCTCTTCAGTGAGCTAAACTGGCTTGAGATCACTTTCACTGTGCGGTTACCATCCAAACTGACAAAAGGTACAAAAGTGGCCTTGTACTAAGGGTTTTTTACTCAGAATCTTAAGGTTCTGGGTTCGAATCTCTGGCAGATCCCAGTGCTGTGCCACAATCTAATGAAAAGCCACCTATTTATTATCACACAATCATATTCATACCTTGTGCCACTTTGTCCATCTGTAACTGGTCATTCTTGTCCTGTAGTGTGTGGATGATATCTCCCTGTGCACTGACCTGGAAGTTAGAGAATATGAGTTAATTAACTATTCTGTTTTGAACAAATTTGGCCAGTGCAAGGCCTACTGACCACTTCTAGGCATGGAACTTATAGTTTGGATTACTGGATGTCTGCTCTCTAATTCAAAAACATCAATGCTGTGAGTGAGGACAGTTAGTAACTGACAATAGGCTGAAATGTTTGTTGTTGTTGTTTTTTTTGCAAATCAGAAAAACATGAAGTGGGCGAATCCGTGAACCAAAAAATTAAATTGGTGTGGCCTTACATGTATATGTAATATGTCTGGTCGTACCTTTGCTTGTAGTGTAACAATTTCATGCATTATCCTCATAACACAAGTCATCTGGCACTGGTACGCATCCAGACTCTTCTCTCTCCTGGAAGAAGGAATTTTGAAAAAAAAAATTCATAAAACCATCCATAATACAAATTTTGAAACATTTTGAGTAAGGGATATTCAGCTAAATTGGTGCAATTTTGCATTCTACAACAAACTATTATTCTAAAACTTTTTATCATGTAGCTAAAGGGAGAATTTACCGGTAATACAGCATATGCTTTCATTTGATAAATGCTGTAGATCTCACCTATAATACACACAATTTGATAATTACTGTAGATCTCACCTATAATACACACAATGTAATCTTCCATCCAAATCAACATACACCTACAGATGGGAATCATTCAGATGCTACCACTCTACAGAGGGGGAGAACAGGATCATCATACTAACAGTTTCCTGATTTCGAGCTCCATTGCCTTCAGGTCCAACTCCGGATCACTAGACATGCCATTCAGACCTGACAAAAATCATAAAGAAGAAAAAAGACTACAACCAGATATCAGTTATGTCAGCCAACATATGTACACTAATTTATCATCATGTGGTGTTTTTACGCTACAATATCTAATATCAAAAGTATATCTTACTAGAGTTCCACGATCTCATACCTTCGCCAAATGATGTTAGCTTTTATGATTATAAGAAATTATATATTAATCTCCAAAATTATGCAAATAGGATCCTCAATTGCATGAATTATATCTGTTGATCATATTCTCCACCAAAAGACAGTTTTATCTTAACAAAGAATGCCATGATGACATTTTCTCATAAATTATGCAAATGAGGCCCTTATTTGAATAAGTTATGTTTAATTATGTTCACCTTAACTTAACTTTCAAACACCCCAAGTATAAAATTCCAGACAGTTACCACTATGCAATTATAATATTTTCTCATTAATTATGCAAATTAAGTCTTCATTTGCATAATCCATATCTGCCTGTGTTTCTCTCATTCTTAATAACATATGTCACAAGCTTGAACTTCCTATTATGGAATGCAGCTGATAAATAGAATTTCCTCATTAATTATGCAAATTACATCCATATTTGTCATAATTGTAATATCATTATGTCAAGCATCACTTAAGCTACCTACATACCAAAAATCATGATGATCCATCAATCGGTTCTTGAGTTATCCCCCTTGAAACATTTGTCCATTAAACCCCCCTGCAGTTCTAGAGCAAGCAACTAGGGGGCTCAAACTCATGTCACTTCACCCCCAGCACAAGAGCTATCTACCATCCAAATTTCGTCACCCTAGCATGTCTGGATCATGAGATATCAAAACCGGATGTTTTGCTGCAGTACCATGACAAGCCGCCAGGTGGCCCAAAATCTAATCATTTTGAGGTCTCATCAAGACCTACCCACCTACCAAGTATCGAGACAATCCATCAAGACCTTCTCAAGTTATCGTGTTTACAGACAGACACACACACACACACACACACACACACACACACACATACACGAACGCCCCTGAAAACATAACCTTCTTGGCGAAGGTAAATATGCTTATAACTGTTATTTATTGTACAAATCAATTCCTCAGAAAACATATTTAGAAATTTACCGAAGTGTGTAAAATCCTCTTGAGCAAGCAGAAAGAAAGGTAGAACAGTTTTTTTTAGTAATTTATATTCATGATCATATTTTGGACCACCCACATACAGGTCTGCTACCTTAAATCTACTTGTGATATCTAATACTATGTCTTAAACAGGGCTCGAAATATTAGGTGCATGTGCACCTTAGTGCAACCAAATTTGGAGCTGTGCACCCAATTTGCACCCAAATACATTTGTAGGTTTATGTCTGAAAAGATGTTAAATGACTGTATGGTAGTATAGTAGTATACAGCATATTGCTTGGGGTGTAGGGGGCTCTGGGGTGTAGGGGCTCTACAATATGTATACAGCATATACATCTTAAGTGTCAGAAAAATAATACGACCATTGTAAACTGTTATAGGAAGGACATTATTCTTGTATTATGTCCCTGGTTATAGTATATTTTCTTTTATATAAACATATTAGTTTTTGCTGGAATTCTACTTATTTTATCTAATTTGGTGCACCTAAAATATTTTTTGTGCTTTGTGCAACCAACTTTTTTAGGTTGAGTGCATTAGTGCACCTATTCCCAAATTAATTTCGAGCCCTGCTTAATACAAAGAATACAAAAGAGTTATACAACCCAAATGTATATGGGTATTAGAGAGTAATTAAACAAACAATAAAATTAGAAATAATTTTTTTCTAACTTGAAATAAACTACCTGCATAGGGTGGGATGTAACACATCATGGTAGTGTTGGTCCACTGGTCGTTGAATTCACTGAAACAAATTTTAAAGAATTGAATATTAAATCAAATTGAATGTTCATATAAAAGATTCAAGGAATAGTTAATATTATATTTAAAATCATTTTCGGTAAACATATTGTTTTTGCTTCTTCTCTTCTTCTTCTGTTCCAAACACTGACTTCTGACCTGGCCAATGACATGATTTGTTGACGTCTCTCTTCATGGCACCTAGTGTCGGGTTGCGTAATGTTGCAATTTTTAGTAGGAGGGATTTATACTCATGTCTGACCATATGTATGAATGTATTTGAGTATGAATTAACAGAGCAGACCACATGCGAATGTAAACATTACGCATTTGCTTTGCAAATGTTACCTAGTTTTAGAGTGCTTCAGTATACAGTAATTTCAAACAATTAAAGTTATTAAGCGCATTAATAAATTTTCTTTAGGCAGAACCTACTTGAATCTACTGTTGAGAACAACATCGTCAGAAAAGCCGAATCTCTCGAAGAAGTCAGTAGCGGAGGAGTCAGCGTGCACAATGAGGTAGTCATAGGTCCCCACTATAGGGGGGTGTTTCACTTGCTGGAAAAAAGGTAAAGCATTTGGTATGTAATTACCTCAGTGTACACACTACAGAGGTTAAAATCTGTTTTCATAGTGTCTATGTTAACATGTTTCTGATGTTTATTCCATAATTTGTACAGTACATGTACATAATACTTATTTGTACATAATACTTGTTGCCTTACAGAAGGCAGCCAACGTCATGGTAAGGTTAAGGTCTAATATATATGTCTTCTATTTAAACTTTATAGATTAAGAAATGGTCTTACCTTAACACATCGTACATTGTATGTACATGTACTGTCCATTGTATGTACTGTTTTGCATCTTAGGTTAGCTCTTAATTATTCAATCATTAGTCTGAATCAATACGCCAAACATTTGTACATCCAAGCTTATTTGAGTATTTGTTAAATGTACAAGACTTGGTCATACAGTAACTGTAAAATATGTGTGTATGCAGCTTGATGCTGAAGATTTGATTTCAAAACAGAAATAATAGATTAAAAATTGGTGTTACCTTAAGCAGATACCTCCCCATGCCCCACTTGCGATATCTTCTTCTCACAGCAATCAGGTGCAGCTGCACTACCTTCTCTCCTTTGCTGAAATAAAAAGAGTACAAAACCTCTTGTCTTGTGTGAAACATATTTTTGAACAAAATCGTATTGTGCTTTTTTCTCCACTCTCTGTATGGCACTATGCAACGGGGAAGGATATTTATCTTACATAATATATATATCAAATAAATGATTAGGACACACCAATTTAATTTCTTGGTTAACGGATTCGCCGCTTCATTTTTTTCTGATTTGCAAATAAAAATAAAAATCAGAATCAACTGCAAAATGCTCATATTTTGCCCTGAACAGTTGAAAACAGACCTTTTCATCCTAGTTGTTACAGTAATTCCATCTTTCAATGCAATGGTATCATTAAAAGATCCAAATTCATTGTTTAAATTTTGAACCAGCCTGGTATGTTGACTTCATGGCTCCTATCGTACCATTTTGGGCCATAATACGATGCCTAGGCCTGTTTTTATTTTTATTTTTTTTTTGCCCGCCCGCTCCATTATTTTTCTAGAAAAATCCGTTAACTAAGAAATTAAATTGGTGTGGCCTTATAAAGAAATAAAATTGACATTCTGTATCATCCTGATGCTACATAATTGCATGTGGCTTTAACGGTTTCTCTTGCTTCAGTCACAGTGGAATCCCTACTTTACTCACCAGTAGGATTTTACCAGTATCTTACCGGTGCAATTATAGCTCAATTGGTAGAGTGCTCGCTTTGTAACCGGGAGGTTGTGAGTTCAAACCCCAGCCGGGTCATACAAAAGACTTTAAAAATGGTCTTTCTCTTCTTAGCACTCAGCACATATGAGAGTGTGGGGAGGTCAAACACACAGCACTACCAGCGGACTAGCCCCCTGCTGTAGTGCCTTGCACAACTGTGTGTCGCCCAAGGGTTACAGAAATGAAGATGAGCACCACCCTACGCTCGGCATAAGAGCACGGGAGACCTTCTTACCAGTAGGATCGTTCAAATGTAGCACAAGCGAGAAGTCTGGACTCGATGCCCAGGTTCCCTTGTGCTGGTTGGACCTGTCCCAGTCTGCGCTGCTGCCTGCGCTCACGTACTCTCTGAACAAAGTCATCTGCACCGGCTGAGAAGTCTTCCTCCTCATCTGAATCACTAAACAATAAATAACTTTCATTAAAAATATATATAATTTTCAACGATAACTGTGTAGAAGATGAAGCACATTTTGCTTTAGAATTATTGCTATACACTGACATGCGGAAATCCTTTATTAGTTCAATTAGGACAGAAATATGCATACTTACGGAAAATAGAATAGTAACTGTTAAAACATATTATGACATCCAAGCACTACACAATGTAAATGAAAAACTAATATTGTAAATTTGTTCATACATGTTTCAAAAAGAGAGAAGAGATCCTGTAACTAAGTGTTCCTTCTATCCTTGTACCTCAGCTATCTAACTTTTGGCCCATGTTGGGCGTGAATATGCAATAAAAGCTCATTGTCATTGTCATTATCAGTGTTATAAATACCCATCTGCAGTCTGCATTTTTCAGAGACATTTGCAATATAATTGCAGAAGAAAAATTAAGCACTACCTGCAATTTTGCAGACTGAAAAAAAAGCAGGCTAGGGGTTCAGTGGCTTTGGCAATTATATTGTTTAAGAGCTTTTGTGTTTACTACTGACACTATAGTAGTTTTGTACATGCCATGGGTTTAGGTCCAGACTTGCAAGCGTGTATTTGCAGAAAGTATTTCTGAATCGCAGAAGAAAACATTGCAGAACAACAAAAAAAGGGTTTCAACCCCTGATCTTACATCATTCTAGATAGCTGATTTGGGAACTATTCCATGATATCAAATACAAAACCATCAACTGCTTACTGTCATTGGAAAGCATATGATCTTCATCCATTTAGTCTAATGAAAAATATAATTATCAATGTCATAATCATAATCATAATCTCAAGAGCTATTTATAATAAGAGATAATAAGTACACACCTACTGGACCCCTCACTTGAGTCTGAGTCACTGAAGACGTCGGCAAATCTTCTCTTGTCTTCGTCTTCTTTCTTCTGGTCTGCCCCCCTCCCACCCTGCTGCCCGGTGTCTCCCTCAGCTATGCCTGAGTCCTGAGTACTACTGGTGGCCGAGATGCCTCCTACAGGATGTGACTTACACAGCTCCTCTACTACTTCTACAGGGGATAGAATAATATATAGAGAGAACTTTATTGACACATCAAAAAGTACAGCGACTTTCGTAAGGTCTAAGACATGTAGATATACAGACAAATATACATGGGTACAACGAAAATATCCTACGTACAGAACAATATATCACTTATTATCAGTACATGCAAAAGTCCTTTATTGAAATAGCTTTCACATATTACATTTTACAGGTATCATTATATCATCTGCTGACTGTATTAATTGGTCAGGGTAATACATGTAACACCCTTTCAGAGAAATTCAGCTACTCTTTCGTTAGCTGAATTTAAGATGGGCTTTGCCAGGTATAGTCATTGCTCAGAAGAATTTAAATCTTGAAAACTTAGAGATGATTTTATTTTTTTTTTGTTAAATTACTATATAGTTACCTCTCCACTATGAATTCATGACACCACAAAATATATTGTCTCCATGTATGACTACTGTATTCATACAGATTTTACGGAATTCATACGAATTTTACAGAATCCATACAAATTTTACAGAATACATAGTTACGATTCATGAAAAGGAAACATAGGAATTTTACGGAATTCATACAATCCATTTATTTACTCAGAAACCTACGATCCTTACCGGGGTACTAATTTGGTGATAAGGGTGTAGGTGACCAAATCAGTAAGGATGGTATGTTTCCAAGTAATGGATCATATGAATTCTGTAAAATTCATAATTTTATGTTTTCTTGTGATAAACTGTGTGTATCTTGTAAAATTCAGTAAAATTCGTAAGAATTCCGTAAAATCCTAATGATCCTTGGCACCCCTGCACATACAAAAACCACTCGAGCCTAAGTACCTCCTGAGTCCCTGAGCACGAGGATAGTCTTGGACCACTTGGCACAGACGGTCGCATAAAGAAATTCCTCTCCGACGTCAGGAAGTGACACATCGTACAGCGCCACAACAGCATGTAGTAGATCTTTGTTTGGGACCTGCCATTGGGAAAAGGGGTTCTATAAGGCCTAGGAAACAATTAGATTATCATGAAAGTTCATCTGTGTTGATAGTAATCATAGTAAAACGTTAAACTTTATTCCAACACGCAGTTCACAGAGAGATCAAATTATAAGTGACCACTGTTGCCTTCATCAGGATAATTTATGACCAATCACTTCACAACTTTACAAACTCCCTGGAACTTTTGATCAATTGCTTACGTCACGTATCAGTTAAGTCTCGTGTGAATAAGGTCACATGTTTGTAAACCGTAACTCTCGCGAGATCACGTTGTGAAGTGATTGGTCATTAATTATCCTGATGAAGGCGACAGTGGTCGCTGAAAATTTGATCTCTCTGTAAACTATGCGTTGGAATAAAGTTTAACGTTTTACTATGTTGTGTTTCCTGTTTACCGACTGACCCTTGACAAAACTGTCGACCTTAGCCTTTTTTTTGTGTGGACCCCTGCAAAGGACATAAATTTTTTTAGCTGATCGACATTTTCTGACACCTTAGTGATGAAACATCAGCTTTCTTTTTGAGTTTGAGTTTAAACACTGGCATCGAAAGTAGTGTCCTCATGCAATTGTTACTTCGTTAAACTGTATTGTATTATAAGCAAGGAACCCCTTGAATCATTTGATTGCCAAAGTCTTTAAAAAAAAAGAAAAGAAAGATAATCCCTTCCTATATATCAACCCTATTTTTTTCAGGACTGGAACAGGAAACACATCTTTTTTTTTCCTAATACTAGTATTTTGCAGTAGGAGGGAAAAGGCAGTGTGCATGGTGCTTGGAGTTTACTGTCAAAACAATTCTGAATTGTAAAATAGAACAATTAAAAACACCTGATAGCAGTGTTAGGAATTCACATTAAGAGGTGAAAATTCTAAACTGCCGCAAAAGTTTCTGCATTTAGAGTTACTGCAAATTAGTGCAAAAAATTGATTGACTGCTAACATGATTGTAACCAGTGCCATGCACCTATAAGCCTTTACTTAACTTAAAGCAAATAGTGGAAAGACTTTTTTAAAAAGCATGTTCTGAATTGATGACATTTTTGTAAACATTTTTTTACAAAGGGGTGAAAGACACAAAAGGTGGACTCATCAATGGAGCAATTCAGAACAAAAAGAGTGACTGTGTTCTTACACTTCAAAAAAGAGACTGGGATAAAAAAGCAAAACGCTATACTCTTTGTATAAGATTCAGAAATGGGCGATAAGGTTTTTTTAAGGCAAGGGGGTTCGGTCTGGATTACAATTTACATGTAGGGTGTTGGGTCAAACAAATGACTAGACAGGGGGTTGGATTTTGGTTTGGTTTGCATGTTTCAGTAATTAGGAAAAATACTAGGTAAAGTTTATGCAATTCTAGTCCTAATAGTTAGATAAATGTTTTAAACGTTGTTACTCTTGAGTAAAAAAGCGCGGACTTACCCCAGGTACCACATCGATGCAACTTTTCGAGCTCTGCAAAAGTCTCCGAAAATCCACTATTACGGGGGACGCCGTAACTTCAACTGGTCTCTGAACCTTCCGGGGAGGTCCTGCACCTTCTGTGTCGTCTGTAGGAGGTTGTGGCGGCTTCTTTGGCCTTGTCTTGTCTTGTCTACAGTGAAATTTGACAGGAGGGAGTTTGGTCGTCAGGGACTCGCTGAGAGACGCCATGTTGCCGGTGCTTTGTTGTCGGGGTCAGAGGTTACAGGACAAAGGTGACTTGGCGGGAAAAAGTACTCTCCAAGCAGAGGTTGTGGGGGAATGATCGTTACCATTTTATATATGGCCGGTTGTTTGTTTGTTTTTTCTGTCCTGACCTCCACCAACGGTGGCCGCGGAGCTTCTCTGGCCAATGGATACTGCCTGGCCAATTTGATACTGTCTTTTTGCCACCGAGAGGGATCTGCTTGGAGATTAGGAAAAAAGACTGGAACAGGTGATCATGAGATATCAAAACCAGACGTTCAGCTGCAGTATCATAACAAGGTGCTAGGGGGCAATCATCAAGACCTACCAACCTACTAAGTATCAAGACAGTCTTTAAGCCTTCTCGAGTTATCGTGTTTACAGATCGACGGACACACACAAACACAGACATACACACGATCGCCTCTGAAAACATAACATTCTTGGCGAACGTATTCTACATATGTTTGCAGAATACCGATGTCGTCATATACACATTTTGTACATGCTGTCTTTCTGCATTAAGCAAAGGTAATCTCGGGTAATTTTATTTTCTATGTTAATAAACAACATTAATGAACAACAACAATTGACAACCTCAGATCCGATGCCGGCCTCACTGAGGTGGGGGAGCTCGGTGTGGCCTAAGGCCACAGCAAGTAAATTTTATGGATGAGATCCTCTGCAGACTCCAAATCTAATGCGAGCGGGCGAAAAAAAAAGGCGGGCCGAAAAAAACAAGGTTCCTACAATTTAAAATTTTGACTTAATCGTTGTACAAATGATTTTGCTTCAGTGGTTACATCACATATACACAACCAGCATCACATATCACTGCATCAAAGTAAGAAAGAAAACATTAAATCAGAGCCTTTTCTTGTCTCCTCTCTTCATAGCTATCTGCCATCCACCTTCCGGCATGGCAACAGGCATCTTTGCCCATTTTCGGCATGTTGACCACTGTCAGAAGGCAACAAAATTTCTTGTTTTTTTTCCCCAAAATCATGCGAAAATTAATGCTGAGAAGTGCGCCGATTTTGAAGGAATGTACGCTCCAAACCGGAGGAACGTCCGCTCACCTGGAGGAGTGTACGCTCAAACCGCCGACTGAAGTGCGCCGATTTCGGAGGAATGTACGCTCAAAACCGGAGGAACGTCCGCTCACCTGGAGGAGTGTACGCTCAAACCGCCGCCTGAGAAGTGCGCCGATTTCGGAGGAATGTACGCTCAAAACTGGAGGAACGTCCGCTCACCTGGAGGAGTGTACGCTCAAACCGCCGCCTGCATATATGCGTGCGTCGATGTTATCCATAAAAATTACTTGCTGTAGCCTAAGTCAGAACCCCCCCCCCCACCCACACACACCATTGGCATTTAGCGAAGTCTATTCCGAGTGTTGCTTCTTGACCCTTCACCTTGTTCACGCTTACACAGGGCTTAGGCCACAGCAAGTAAATTTTATGGATGACATCCTCCGCAGACTCCAAATCTAATGCAAGAGGGCAAAATAACAAGATTCCTATATTTTGACATCATAAACCCTGTTGAACAAGAAATGATTCCTATATTGTGCTAACTTTATTGCCAACTATCACAACATCCATTTGTCACTGAAATAACCTTGAAAAGGGGTAGTTTTCAATCATTGTACAATTAAATGGTTTTGATTCAGTGGGAACATATAAAAGGAATGAAATACATCACTGCATCAAAGTAAAAGTCAAAACAATCAATCACAGCCTTTTCTTGTCTCCTCTCTTCATGTTTATCTGTCATACAGCATGGCAAGGCATGCCATTTTGCCCATTTTCAGCATTTTGCCCATTTTCGACCACTGTCAAAGGGCAATAAAATTTCTTTTTTTTTTCCAAAATCAGGCGAAAATCAATGCGCGTGCTGATGCCATCCATAAAAATCACTTGCTGTGGCCTTATGGCGGTCATGGGATGTTTGTGGTTTTTTCCTAAAGGACTCTGTGTACACAACCGGGGATATTCATCCGTGCGAGAAGCCACAGTTCAGCCAAGGTTGTCCACACATGCTTGCTCAGAAACACAAATAGACCGGTACCGCGCCAACACGCACGGACGTTGGCTTGTCCCCGACTTACACAGAGTGGTGAGATCGCTTCCCTACATGTAGGCTGAAACTAGCAATCTCTCGTAGATCGACGACGAATCCAGTGTTCTAGGCCAGGGACTCCTGTTTAAAGGTACGTTTCCTTTACTTTGGCTTTAGCCTCCTTTGCAGGCCTTCGGGCGGGTGGAAGTTTTGATGATACTGCGTTTTGTAGAGTTTTTAACGTGTTCTTTTAATTGCCGACCATCCTACAACCAGCCGTGGCGGATGGAAACTTTCTCTCTTCGGCTGGTTTTAGGATGGCCGTTAAAAAACTCTGCAAAATGCAGTATCAATACTCCCACCCACCCGGAGGCATGCACAGAAGGCTACGTTTCCTTGTGTAGTGTTTTAGTTGTCTCTGTCGACCGTCGGAGATGATAAAAATCCCATTCGTTCAACTTCAATATTATTTCCTCAATGTTATATTGCCTGAGCCTGCGTTTTTGTGTATGATTCATTTTAACCAAGGAGATTTTAAACAGGTACTTTTAAATCACATTGCTTCAAGCTTTATGCGAAAGGCACACGCATATACTGAGTACGTTGTAAAGTGTATTAGGACGAGCGAGGTGGATAGGCTTGTGTACACGAAATCGAGAGGTCACGGGTTCGATTCTTGGGTTAACGTTCTTCCCTAGCTTAACCTTTACATAGGATATTAGATTCTATTTAAGTATGCAAGGAATCTTCTGTGGCGGTGGTTAGTATTTGAGGTTCTCTTTTGGTACAGACTACTATAAGATTTCCATTTTCGTCCAAGAAAAAATTCTTATAGAAGACGCAACTAAAACTAAAAGCAAATGATTTCACCTTTTGACCATAGCTACATTATAATAGTATTATCACTACATGTACATGTAAAACTACAATCTAAACTAAAACCTCAAGGAGAAGTAGATTAAAACAGTTAGATATATCTGATTTTTGCGTTGAAGCATAGAAATAGGAAGATTTTCCAGGCAGTTAATTACAAATTGATACCACCCATTGTGTGGCCAGCACTGTGTAAATTGTTCTCACAAGTGTCGCACGATAAAGGCCAAACAGTTCTTACAAAAGACGCCGACAGTCATGTGAGACTGGAGTTTGTCTTGTGACCAGTTCATTCAACCGAACTACAACTGAATACGATTACACACCTCATGAGCAGCTCATTAACAAAACGAACTACAGGAAGGGGGCAGTGATACTTGTCTAGTCAGCGTTCTGAGTTTTATATCTTTGTTTCTTTCGTAGATATGACGGAGCTTGCCGCAGCAGATGAGATATCTTCTAGCCCTTCTTCTGGGTACAATTCAGACGACGACAATGAAAGAATCCCGCTGCTTGGAACCGACAAGGGCCCCACAACAACACGGGACAGAAAACCGCCGTTCGGGCCTATCATAGGGATATTTTCCATCGAGGTTTGCGAGAGAGTGGCGTACTACGCTACCGTGGCCAACTTGGTGTTGTTCTGTACAAGGGATCTGTATTATACCAGTACGGAGGCAGTCACGCTTAGTCTGTTGTTTACCGGACTGGGATGCACCGTGCCGCCGCTAGGAGGCGTGCTTGCCGACAGCCTGATCGGAAAGTACCGAGCGATCTGTGCCACCGCGTTTCTCCATTTTGTAGGTGAGTGTCTGTGAATATAGTTTCAAGAAAGTTGGAAATTTTTAATTGTTAAGAAAAATTGTTAACGTTGATTGGTGTGCTTATTGTTGACGTTTGTGATGTAAGTTTGTCTTTTTAAATGTATTTACGACACCTTTTCTGGGCCTTGTTAAATGTATGTGTTTGAGCCTTGGAAGATTAGCCCAGCAGGGCTAAAAGGTTTCGGAATGAATGAATGAATGAATGGATGGATGGATGGATTGATGAATGAATGAATGAACAAACGAATAAACGAATAAACGTGGTATATGTACTTGTATGTGTGTGTTATAACGTGTCAGTGCTTACATGAGGCCAATGGACATAGCATAATTATCTGATAAACACAAACTATACTTTCAAAAAGTTTGAAATCTCTACTTTTTTAGCATAAAAGTTCATCTGCGTTGATACAAGTCATTATGAAATAAAGACTAAGTTTTAACTTCCAACATTTAGACTACAGAAATGGGACTTACCCCAAATTTTGTTCACGGAATGGACCATCTACTCTTGGAACGTGACGTCAGAGACACGTGACCGTAGTAGCGGGTCATACGTGCCAGATAACTTGTGTCGCCCCCCGTCTCTGTTCAGGGTAGGTCTGTGAGCTCTCTGTGAGGTCTGTGTAGTTTAAGTGTTGGAAGTTAAATCTTAGTCTTTATTTCTCTACTTTTTTTTTTGTTTCCATTAGGAATGGCTTGCATGGTCGCAGTCGCCTTCCCGTTCGAATCTTACTTCGGGCCGGAAAACTCCCCCAGTAAGGAGACGCTGGACTCCATTTTCCCGGCCGCTCTCGTCGTCGTCGCCATAGCAACGGGAGGGATCAAAGCCAACGTCTCTCCCTTCGCGGCGCAGCAAGCGCAAGGGATGATGGGAGCACAAATGGAACGATCGTTTTTTAATTGGTAAATGCTAGAATTTGTTTCCATTTTCTTTATAGTCACAAATTGAGTGAAAGACTGCCAATGCCATTGCGTATTTGCATTGGGAAAGTCAGACTAAAACCTTAACGGTGTTTCAACAAGCGGGAACTGTGAATTCACTGATAACATTTTTCAGAGATTTTTGTTCAGGTCTGGGTTATTCTTATGTAACATACTAGTAGTAGCAGACTCCGTAGCTGGCTTATAGATCTAGAACTGGGGGTTTGGTGGTCTTCGGCTGTTTTCTGATTAGCCCAGTTCTAAAACGTTGGTAATTCACCAGGCCGGCTATGCTGTCTATATGCAATCAGAAAATAGCACATAAAACATCCCAAAGACCCTGAAGACCTCCAAACCCCCCAGTTTTTGGCATGCTATGGTGGCTAGTAAACAGCTATGTATTTGTGCAAGATCAAGATATAAGTCAAGCTAAACAATATCTGTAAAACACGTTTTCATTGACTGTTTTGTTGCAATTGGTCCATTTCGATATGCTAGGGCACTGATAAGTTTGTGCTCAACATTCTTGAGGCAATGCAACAAAACGCAAAGAAATGCAACAAAACGCCGTGCATAACGGTTGTAGAGGGTACTTGCCCTTGACCGGCGAAGCCCATATATATATATATATGGGTTGTACATACAGTATCATGTATATAGCACCCTGTATATGTACGATTTGGGCGTATTTCTCGTGCAACGCATCACACCACAGCAAAACGTAACGAAATGCAGACGGTAACTACGCCACCGCAGGGCAAAAAAGTCAAGGGTCTGTGACCTGATGAAGACATCGAATTATTTGAAAATATTGTGTAAAAAATGCCAGCAGGACAAAGGCTAGTATATAATTTTAAAAAGCACCATAATATGCAGATAATTTCCGGATAATTTGCAAATAATTTGAAACCTAAGCTCTGCAGACTACTCATACTATGTTTTACCTTTTTTTTACTCCGTGCACGTGAAGGAGGTCAGGACCTCCGGACGGAGTGTTGTGAACAGCCGCTTTTTCGTGTTCGCAGTCAAAACACTGGGTTCTCTTTGTGTAATCGGCATGCAATTTTATACGCCATCTGCGGGCATGCCCGTGTTGATGCACGAATGTGTATTTTTGCCGTTGCTGCTTTCAATGTAATATTGCATATGCACCCCTACAATTATGAGGCAAATTGGAATGGTCCAGAAAAACCCGTTGTTTGGAATAGCGGGGGGTGGACCTTCAGGCAGATGTGGTGAGGGCCGATAAGTGGTACCACGGCAGTAACACTCGCGGTGCTGTCCGCAACTGTTGCTGGAATTTACCAGTCGCGCTTAATAAGTAACAGGCACGGTAAGACGGTGGGACTGCTGTCTTTGTTACTAGTGACACGAACATGATAGTCCGATCTTTATGTGAATGCAATGATTGTGTGTGTGTAATTAAAATGAACTTCGAACTTGAAGCACAGTATCTTTACACGCCCTGAGAGCAGTAATGGATTTAGGTCTTTTTATGTTTTATGGTTGTGACACGCCCTCATTGTATTAACCTTTGCCTAATGTCTGCACAATAGGTCTGGCGTTGACGCTTGGGATTGTTTTTGTTGCAAAATATAAAACTTCACGGAGGATTGTCACCTATGTCTTCTTGTTTTATTTTCTGACAGGTATTTCTGGTTTCTGAACGTCGGTACGTTTTTCTCCATCGCTGTCCTTTCTTACGTCGAGCAGGACGTCGCTTTCTGGATTGGATTTCTAGTGCCTACAATCCTCATGTTCTGCGCATGCGCCAACCTGATGCTTATGGGCTGTTTGGGCAAGGTTTACAAGGATTCGCCAAACGGTATGTTCTCTTCAACCCTTCTGACCTTGAAGATTTTTTTGACCTTGAAGATTTATATCTAGTGAACAATGGTCTTTCTGTATCCAACAGTTCATATCAGGTATTTTGTATCCAAATCTATCCACCAGTAAATAATCATCTTTCAAATTCATATGAATTGTCCCCATAATCAATTTTCATTTGATTACTATTACTGTACTATTTGGCAGACACTAGAAAGAATACTTTTCAAATGAATAAAAATTGCGGATATGAATATAATTTATGCAGATACACATCTACCCACATCTTGATACTTTTGTCCACTTAAATGTCTGAGACATGACACACTTGCTCAGTAGTCTTTTTCCCTACTTCTTGCGATATCTAAAGTAGGAATCTTCACCGACGTACGCAGGTGAGGCTACAAAGACCACGTCTAGATGGCTAGGTCTTCGACTGACTACATTTAGGCGGCTGGTCAGTCCGATTGTCCGTACTCGGTCCAGCAACAGCGTCCATTTTCCCTGCACCTGCAAGAAATTGAATGTTCACTACGTAATTCGATGACCACCCCAACTTTTCCCGTACCGCGTTGGCGAGTCGTCGCGCCCTGCGATGCACGGCTTCCCGAATCTTCTTGATCCTGAGCGCGTAGATGACCGGGTTGATCGCCGAATTACAGAGCGCGATCAGGAACCCCCAGTACGGCCTTGCCTCTACCTCACAGCCTTCTCTTGCGAGGCACGAAAGGTGCCGCACACTCCCGATACAAATCGGCAGCCAGAAGATGATGAACACCGCGGCAAGGATGAAAACTGTTACCTGCATCTTCCAAGTGTTTTGGATCTGCTGGTACTGTGAGGCCGCGACTCGCTGTTCCCTCGCCGGCAGATCGTCTTGAGGGTTCCCGGTGGGTCCCACCCTGGAGAGCCGCTTCTTCAGTTCGATGAAGATTCTGACGTTGACGAAGACCACGATTACAACGGCCGTCAACAAGATAGTGTTGATCAGAATCGCGTAACTTACGGGCATGAAGATTAAGCAAGTCTCTGTGTTCGTATCTATGCAGCCCATGAGAGGAGACAGGCAGGCAAGCACACAAGCTGGCCACGCGATCCCCAAACTCACAGCAACGTGTCGCGCAGACATGCGGGTCTGGTAGAATATCGGGTGGAGGATGGCCAGATAACGGTCCACGGACAGGAGAGCCACGCCAACTGCTGATGAAACCAACACTAAAAAGAAGATACAGTATATACCCATCACTGTCCACGGTGGAAGCAATTCCAACTGAAAACTGGCACAGAAGAAGAACGAGAACAAACCGGCCACGCAGTCCGCTACAGCCAGGTTTGCCACGAACAGGTACATGGGTTTCGACAGTTGATGGTTTTTCAGCACTCCGAACAAAACCACGACGTTCATGAGGAGAGCGACTGTCCCGACAGCGGCGGAGGCGATCCCGACTTTCTTGTTCTCGTCCAGGGAATAGTTGGGGAGATGAGAGCACGCAGCCACGGCCAGGTCGTACTCGGTCTTGTTTTCCAGGTGCCAGAGGAAACACGGCCAGAAAGTCTCGAACCCCGTGGAGTTTCCTGTAAGGTTGACCGTGCTGCCGTTCATTTTGCGATGCTCACTAAAGCCACATGTTGCCTATCGCACTAAGAAACGACGACGCTGATCTGAAGGATTTTCACCTTTTCCGTAGATTAGTAGATGGCTACCTCCGACAAGCAATCGGCTGCACCTGATCACTGAAGATTATACGTCATTATTATATCAGCGTAACCACGTTACGAAAATCTCGTAAAACATTTCGTAGAAGAAAAAAATGAATCGTTCCAGAAATAAAGTCTGAAAAGTTCCGGTTTACGAGTCGATTATCTGGAAAACTTGTCCGACTAGGTCTTCTCGGATGCGAAGCTGCTGTGGACAACACGCAGCTCTAAATCCTCACGTTGTTGATGCAGCTTTCCGGAGAAAAACTTGTGAGACATGTCAAAGGACTGTTCCCAAAACGTTGCCGAAGGTTTAGAATGAGCGGTCTTCTTTCGTTTCATGTAACTAGACAAAAATGTTAGACATCGAGCCAACAGGCGATGTCGCCGCCATCACAGAGTTGTAGTCGGCTTTGTCTGTCATTTGTGTAACCAAATTAGGGTGAGTGGTGGCGGTATGGCGGTCGTCCTGTAGCAGGCCACTGGGGACTTTTTAATGACGGACTGGTTCATCAACTTCTTCAAATGCAACTTTTGTTTAGCTACTGAACCGTTTGTACGTAGCAAATCCGGGGTGTTTCTTGTTTTATCTTTTTTGGAAAGTGGAAAATGTTTTCGATACAGAAGAAATGATGAAAAAAATGAAGAATGTTCCGATTACACGTGCTTCACAAAGTTGGCATGGCAACACTGTGGACCTAGTGCCCCATTTTCCGAGGCAATACTGCAGTCACACAACGTTTGGAATAACTCATTTTCAAAGTAAATATAGTTGATTATAAATCCTACTACTCTTTACTCCTTTTCATCGACTTTAAAGGGTCCAAGAAGCTTATAAAACCCAGAATGACCGACAGAACGAATGGTAATTATTTGGCACCTCGCTAAGGACGTGTAATTACGAGTTAAGTGGTCCACCGATAATCACTCACATTTTTTCCGTGGGAATCGCCATGCACTAGTATCGTGTGCCTCTACAGCAATCACTCGAGATCTTTATTTGCAACCAGATACAGATTCGTGTATCCGCAAGAAGAATACAAGACAGCTGCATGCCTATTGGCTCTTTTTTTTAGAACAGGCAAAAATCAATGCGCGCATGGATGTCATGCCTAAGATTAAATCAGTGTGGCCTTATTATGTTTACCGAAGGAAACATATTGTTTTTACTCAGTTTCTTCCTCTTCTTCTTCCTCTTCTTCTCCAAACAGTGACCTATGACCTGACCAATGACATGATTTGTTGATGTCTGTCACCATGGTGATTGGTGTTGGGTTACATAATGTTGCAATTTCATGGTCTGCTCTGCTCCTGTCACCATATACTAGTAGTACATGTATGTGAATGTGTTTGAGTAAGAATTAACAGAGCAGACCATGCCCGAAGATAAACATTATGCATTTGCTTTGCAAATGTTACTTCTCTAGTTCATTTAATGATTTTAAACTATTTGTTTGCAGGTAGTGTGTTGTTGAAGACCTTTAAGATCCTGTTCCTGGCAGCGGGAAGCGTGTGTAACCGCAGGCGGGCGGTGGGATGTCTGGACTCCGTCAAACTGGAGCACGGCGGCCGCTACCCGGGAGAGGACGTGGAAGACGTGAAGAAGTTGGGAAGAATCCTGCCGGTCTTTCTACTACAGATCATGTACAGAACTGTGTTTTTCCAGGTACGGAATAGTGCAGTGTTTAACAAGAATTCGAAGACATCATACCTCCATGAAATCATATATGAGTTTTTGTGAATGTTTTTTATTTGTCTCATTGACTATGGAAATAAGGTCGTAATTAGCATAATCTAGTTTCATTTATGGATTTCTAAATTCAAATGACAATATTTTTCGTGTGAAATTCCTCTCCTTTCCCATACTTCATTTCAACATGTCCTAATTACTTATGCAAATGACCTCTACGTTAACATAATCTATGCAGTGGTGTTAACTTTCAAGTGACTTACACATGTCACGAGGTATAAAATTTCCATCATTCACCAATAAGAAATCACAGATTGCTACTAATCTAACTACATCAGCTCAAAAACGTACTCTAATACAGAACTAGCAACATTAGTTCTAAAACTACTCTAATACAGAGGACCGACTTCTTCTCAAAATAGTTTCGTTGTGATGTTATATTACATATGTAATTTGAAATGGGGTTGTTTGATAAATTGGTAGCATGATCAAAGCCCATAAAAAATGAATGTTTCAACTAGTCAAGGATTGGAAGTGTGGAAACGTTCTTGTTATATATATTTAAAATATTATTTCTATCATCGCTATATATACTAGTACTACAATCCACGACAAAGTGGACTTCACTTTTGGTATCGGTCAATGTTTAGTGGTGCGTATCCGTTTAAATTCCTGATGTTTTTCTTTAGAGTTAAAACTTTAGATCCAACACAAAAAAAGTTCTCTCACCTTGAGCTTTCGACCAGTCACTCTGGTCTTCCTCAGTAGACTGACCCACAGTGAGGCTTGTCACGTGGCTTCTTTGAAGTGTGACGTCGATACCTTTGAGCCAGTGTTGACGTCACACTTCAAAGAAGCCACGTGACAAGCCTCACTGTGGGTCAGTCTACTGAGGAAGACCAGAGTGACTGGTCGAAAGCTCAAGGTGAGAGAACTTTTTTTGTGTTGGATCTAAAGTTTTAACTCCAAACATGTAACTACCCAAACAGATGAACTTTCATGATAGCTGATCATGATGTTTTTGTTTTCATGTTGTCTCTCTGCTCTATTCTTCAGATGCAGACGACGTATTTTCTTCAGGGTGAAAGAATGAATCTAAACTTTGGTAGTTTCGAGCTCCCCGTGGCCGCCCTGAACCTGTTCTATGTGGTGACCGTTCTGCTGTTCGTGCCCCTGATGGACAGGGTGGTGTACCCCGCCATGGACAGGTGCAGAATCAACCTGCCGCTGCTCAAGAGAATAGGTCAGGCTTAGTATCTTGATTTTTTTTCTAATTTAGAAGCACAGTGATGAATAGAAATAAATGACATGGACTAAGTGACTGCAAACTCAAGTTAGGTACAACTTATATTCTCGCAGCCACTTTTACAATGGAAAAAAAGGTGTTTACAAGACATTTAAATTATTTTAATTTATTTTAATTAAAAACTATGAATAGCATGAGTCAAACCTCCCATCCCAGAAAAGAAGAAATAGCAGCACACATACAACTAGAAGCGTTTTGTTTTTGTAATGTAATTTTGCGCGGCTAACATAATTTCACAGTTAATGTCATTCGAACAAACCAAACTGCCGCGAAGAACTAAAAGTTGTTTAGCATTGTCAGAAAGTGTGTTTAAATCAATAATGTGTCCAAGTATGCTTGAAAGCTTGCCAAAAAGGACTGAGAGCTGGTAGGTGTATATAGGGCAGTGCAATATAGATAATGAGCAATCATTTCGTATAGACACTCGCAGCTACAGGATGGACTTGTAACAAGACCCCGAGTACAAAGACTATGATCTTGAAAGTTGATCTGTGTTGGTAGAAGTCATTATGAAACAAGTTTAAACTGTAATATCCAACACAAATTTGGACTCACCTAAATTTTCGACTGCACAACTCCAGTCTCTGTCAAGGAATGAGCAATCCACCGCTTCCGTGACGTCACGCAGATAACACACGTGACTCCGTGAGCAGTTGATCATAGGTTGCAAAAAGTCTGTGACGCCCCCCGTCTCTGTTGAGGGATGGTTGTAATGCTCTGATGTAGATGGCCTTTATGTGACGTGTGATATGAAGTGACGTCACGAAAGCGGTGGATTGCTCATTCCTTGACAAAGACTGGAGTTGTGCAGTCGAAAATTTGGGTGAGTCCAATCTTTTTGTGTTCGATATTACAGTTTAAACATGCTTCGTAAGGTCAGGCTTATTATATCTTATGTAGACTTTGTTTAAAAGGAAGGCCGTGTTGATTTGATTTGCATGACATCCACTGAGAACGCCAAAACTAATGCGAGCGTGCGAATAAAAAAAGTTTGGCAAAAAAAAGTTGCCTACATTATGAAATTTGCGTGGTTGAAATTTAATGGTTGAGAAAATGACACAGAGTATGGTATGACGAATACTACTCTTCAAATAAATTTCTTTACATTTTCGCTAAACACACAGAGTAATATTTTATTGGCATGGTGAATAATAGACTCTTCATTTCATTCCTCACATTTTCTTCTTCGTTTGGAATGGATTTTGGCATTCTGTGACATCGTTTTCCACTATTTCTTTACCTTGACCTTTGTCTTCCCAAGACCTACTAACGTACCAAATATCATCACAATCCATAAAGGCGTTCCGAAGTTACTTCTGTTCATACCTCATCAATACAGGTATCGGCATGACTCTGGGGATGGTTTCCGTGGCCTGGGCCGCCATGGTGGAGATGCTCCGGAAGCACACCTTGGTGTCGCCAGGGGGCGCTTTCCAACAGGACGTAGGCGGGGAGCGGTTCACGGCCGCGAACATGTGCATCCTGTGGCAGATCCCGCAGTTCGCACTGGTGGGCTGCGGGGAGGTGTTCGTCATGGCCGCAGGTTAGACAGCTATGTCAAAAAATTTGAAACGATCTAATTCCATAACTTTGTAACATTTTCTGTTAATTCTTCCAACGTCCAGGGAATCAATGAAACCATAAGTTAGCAAAGCTCGTAAAAATATCATGTAAAGAAGTAAAAAATGTCAGAATGTTTAAATGTTTTGTACAATTTTTTTCCAACAAAATTTTATCCGTGTATTAGTGTGCAGACTTACAAGACTGAAATGCTCCCCTGCACTATTTTCTCTACAGGCAGCCAGTTCGCCTATTCCCAGGCTCCGAAATCACTACGCGGTGTGGTGTTCGGGTGTTTCGCCTTGACCTTCGCCTTCGGAAGTTTCTTCGGCTCCATTTTGGTGGACGTCCTCAACCAGATGACCAAAGGTGAGTACGTGCGTGTTATGAGAGAGAATAAGATGTTTTGGGTCTCACGTGACCATGACGTCATTATGTTCCGCCATGTTGGATGGTTACACCATTTCCTCTGTCTGACCTTTTGACCTGTAGTTCTGCCTGTCATTCTTCACCACCCTCGCGCTGTCAACATACTATATAAGTCATCTTGTGAACAATAACAGATTATAGAATCATTAGATTATATTACAATTTTGCATATTGCTTTGTCTTGACTTTGCTATCATCTATCACTATGTCTTGTGGACACCGTCCTTGGGTCAGTTCGTATGATTTGATGCAGAGAGTTTGCCTTAATACCGATTATATTGCAGGGTCTTGGCTTGTACGGCGCAGAAACTAGACTGATATTTTCTTTCCTTATTCTGTCATTCATTCATTAATTCATCCACTCATTCTTAGCATGAAAGTTCATCTGTGTTGGCATACTTCATTATGACAAAAAGGGCTAAACGTTCTTGCCAACACTGAGTAAATTGGGACTTACCCAAATTTTCGGCCGACTCCGTCAGCCTTGTTCACGGAATGGACCCTTCTACTGCAGCTTCCGGGACGTGACGTCGGAAACACGTGATTGCAGCAGAGGGTCGTACGTGTCAGATAACCTGTGTCGCCCCCCGTCTCTGTTCAGTGTTGGACGGTACATCACCTCCTTTACTCCTATCGCAAAGAAATCACGTGTTTCCAACGTCGCGTACGCGTCCCGGAAGCTGCAGTAGAAGGGTCCATTCCATGAACAAGGCTGACGGAGTCGGTAAGAACGTTTAGCCCTTTCCTTTTTGTCATCCATTCCGTATATTTCTAGGTGCGGAATGGCTACCGGACGAACTGAATGACGGTCACGCTGACTACTTCTTTCTCCTGCTGAGCGGACTCATGGCGGTCAACCTGCTCATCTTTGCCTACGTCGCCACACATTACACCTACGTCACGGCCGAAAACGCTGACGTCGACAAACACGCAGATGTTGATGACGTAAATCATTCGGACAACGCCGATTCACTGAAAACAAGTTTGATTGAGTCACTCGATATGACTGCCTGACTAACTCCAGTTACAATATGTTAAGGCGTCAGGAAATGTCAATTACGTATATCTTTGGTTCGTTTGAATAAAAAATTAATTTCAATCGACTCTTTCTCGCTAATAGTATTTCCGCAGAAACGTTACCATGACGTAAAATTGACACGTTAAATTTTCACTTTTGTTAGGAATGTTTCTAGTGTTGTTTGCATTTGTTTAGTTGACAGGAATTGGACTTTGTCAAGCATTCTAAGGACTATGTTCAAATATTGCGATGTGAAAATAAAGTTACAAAAACATGTTTGACGTTATCTAATAAGTAGCTTTGCCAAAGGGTTATGTTTTTGAAATATATATTTATATATTTCAGTTTTCTTTAAAACTATTGGAACCACCATTTAGAGAGCATTATAATTAACAACATCCAATTGCAAATGCGACTTAGTGACGACAGCACACCTCTACATCTTCTATACCCGTTTTCCTTTTTGTCGTTTTCTTATTAGCTTTCTTGTTTTTATAAAGATTAGATTATATAATGTAACATCTGAAATGTCAGGTCACGTGTTAGGATGGCTTGACTCCCATGATGCTTTGCGTGGCGGCTAGCTGTCTTTTCTAGAACGGATCTGTCTTTTCTACTTGGATAAATCCGACTTTTCTTTCTGCTATCCCGAATCCTGTTTCATCGTTTGCTCAACACTACAGCCAAGCGTCTAGATGAGGTATGTGTACTCATCTCGCCCTAAATTTCTTCTCTATACTTTTTCAACAGACGTTGGATATCACCCCCCCCCCCCCTAGGTTAGACTTAGATATATGAGCAAGGCTTTTAATTTGGCATTGCGCAAACGGCCCCAAGTTATAATTATGGCATCGATCCTTCTGCAAGCCAGTTTTCTTTCTTGAGAATAAAAACATGCTGTCTACCGATACAGGCTATATGCCCTATGTTGGATTACAGTGTATGTGTGTTAAACATGCCAACATCCCGCCGCTGTAATCAATTTTCCCGCCAACACCTGGTCGCCTGATACTGATATGATAATTAGGCCATGTTAATTTGATTATATGGATGACAAACAGTGGGAACCCCAAAACTGACGCGAGCGTGCGAATAAAAAAAAAGTTTGTCAAGAAAAGGTGACTTCATTATGAAATCTGCGTGGTCATAAAAGGTAAACAAACACACAGAATCACAGAGTACGGTATGGCGAATAATAGAATCTTCATTTTCATTTCTTCACACTTTTTTCTTCTTTTCTGAATTGATTTCAGCATTCTATGACATTAGTATCGTTTTCCAATACTTTTTTTGCAACATACGACATATATTCGCTCATTTGGTACCATTTACAGTATGGTCGAAAACTTTTTTTGTGGAAACGGACGAAAATTCATGCGCGCGCAGATGTCATCCATGTAATCAAATCAACATGGCCTTACAATGACGTCAATGAAAACCCTGTATAATAATGGCGAGGTCTACAAAGTCACAGCTCGAGGTGCTCAAGCTACATACATAGCCAGTGCCCAGTAGTTTCAGGTAAAATCCTGAAGGAATTTGAAGTTATATCAGTGCCGAAATCGGATCCTTCCCAGAAGGGCCTTTAGCACAACAAAGCAACTAAACTGTCACCGTAATAAGACTGGTCCCATAACTAGCCCCGCCCAAATACGTAAGACGTAGAGATGCTGCCACCCTGTCATTGGTCGAACCGCTAATTGTGATGGACAACCTTGTTCGGTCTATTGACTGACGGTTGTACACTGTCGTTTGTAACAGGCTAATTAGCTGACGGCGACGACATACGTGTGAAATGTAACACCTGTCAAGCAATAAAAATGATTTCGCTTACAAGGAGGTTAATAAATAAGATTGTGGTTGCCCAGTGTCAAAGGTAAAGGTGCTCGAGAGATATAAGAAAAAAAAAGCACCACAGGTCATATGACCATGTTCAAAAGTTGTTGTTGGCCTTGTTTAACGTCTAATATATCGATAGACGTGGTCTCTTGGTGACGTAGAAATGCAAAAATTAAACCATAGAAATGCAGACTCCTTTTAAAGGCTAAATAAATAGTAGAAATTGGCCTAAAAAGGGGATATCATTGGCCGGAGGAAATTCCCCGCCCGCCTTTTTTCCTGCATCTCCTCTGTCCAATGATATCCCCATTTTACGTTTAGTAACGTCTGTCAAGTAGTGTACCTTTTTGATATCTCAACCTCTTCGTTTTAGCCTTCTCCTGAAAAAGAAAAAACATATGTAAAGAGAGAGATAGAAAGAAAGAGAGAGAGAAGCAAATACGCAGAGAAGACAACAAAACATACCCAACCGGTACACCCACTTGGGGGATTGAATCTGTTCCAGAGAATGGACCTTCTGAAGCTCTCTCGTTAAAGTTCTGTACTATTCTTTATTTCTTTAGGATTATAAGCATAAGGATGACTAGCACAACACCTGTCCCTGTATTATTGCTTCTGTACACGAGCCCTGTCAACCATACTATCGGTTAGTAATCATCCATTAGTTAATTGTATGGATGACATCCTAAGCAGACTCCAAATCTAATGCTATAGGGTGAAAACAAAACAAGGAGTGCCAAAAAACAACATTTTCAAATTTTGATATCATAAACCTTGTTAAACAAGAATATTGTGCTGAGTTTACTGTCAACTAATTACAACATCCACTGAAAAATAAGTTTTAATCATTGTACAAATGGTTTTAATTCAGGGAACATTACACATAAAGGGAATGAAATACATCGCTGCATCAAAGAAAAAGACAAAAACATTAAATCAGAGCCTTTTCTTGTCTCCTCTCTCCATATTTATCTGCCATCCACCTTCCGGCATGGCAACAGACAACTTTGCCCATTTTCGGCATGTTGACCACTGTCAGAAGGCAACAAAATTTCTTTTTTTTTTTTACATCAGGCGAAAATTAATGCGCGCGCTGATGCCATCCATAAAATTGACTTGCTGTTGCCTTACAGCTACCTTTTCTAAGAAGGGAGGGGGGCGTCCAAACCAGCCCGGCGGCTATTTCTGCTGTCTGACCTTTGACATTTAACTCACATTTCAAACCGCGGTAAAAAAACTGCCTTTAAAACACTGTGACGTCATTTACAGATGTTTTATGGTAGATAATCAGTGTAATTTTACAAGCGGTACACACGATACTAGTACACGAGGATTCCCACGACAAAAAAATGTGAGTGATTATCTGTGGACCACTTAACTCGTAATTACCCGTCCTTAGCGAGGTGCCAAATAATTACCATTCGTTCTGCCGGTATTTCTGACTCTTATAAGGTTCTTGGACCCTTTAAATTAAAGTCGATGAAAAGGAGTAAAGAGTAGTGGGATTTATTATCAACCGTATTTACTTTGAAAAAGGACAGAGTTATTCGAAACGTTGTGTGACTGCAGTATATGCTTCGGAAAATGGGGCACTAGGTCCACAGTGTTGCCATAGCAACGTAAATACAAACGTTGTCAAGCACGTGTAGTGGCATTTTTTTCACTTTTTTCCTTATTTATTCTGTAAAGTAAACCCTTTTCAGTTTCCAAAATAAAAACGAGACATATATATCCTGCAGCTGGATTTGCTAACACCATGGCAACGTAGAAAAGGTTCGGTAGCCAAACAAAAAAAGTAGCAGAAGTGGATAAACCAGTCCGTCATCATATCAAAAAGTCTCCCGCGGCTAAAAAGCCACGCCTGCTACAGGACGGCCACCCCTCACCCTAATTTGGTTACACAAATGACAGACAAAGCCGACTACAACTCTGTGATGGCGGCGACATCGCCTGTTGGCTCGATGTCTAACATTTTTGTCTAGTTACGTGAAACGAAAGAAGACCGCTCATTCTAAACTTTCGGCAACGTTTTGGGAACAGTCCTTTGACATGTCTCATAAGTTTTTCTCCGGAAAACTGCATCAACAACGTGAGGATTTAGAACTGCGTGTTGTCAACAGCAGCTTCGCATCCGAGAAGACCTAGTCGGACGAGTTTTCCAGATAATCGACTCGTAAACAGGAACTTTGCAGATTTTATTTCTGCAACGATTCCTTTTTTTCTTCTACGAAATGTTGCGGTGGGCCGCTGCGTTTTTAGTCTTCACATTGATCATATGGCAACTACAGCGATTGTTTCAAGGTGAGACTCTTCTTTAAACTTCTTGACGTCTTTCTTTTATAAGGTTTGTTTTCTGATGAAACGCCATTGCGCAACAGTCATTTTTAGTCAGGAATAACGACATGTTGCATCTAGTTGTTCTTTTATACCGAATTCGTGGTAGTTAACTTGATGTATAGATGTTTAGGCCCCTTTTACTTTCGCCATTTTATCGTGATTCGAATGTTTGGACAAACATATGCAGTGCCTTTTGTATGAAGTTAGTAGGTCGTTTTAGACGTACATTCACCGTGTTTAAAACCATTGGAGGGTGAGCATGTGGTTTCTTCTTTTTCGTATTTAGTGGCACAAAGTGTGGAAATTGATCATTAATGTTTTGAATTTTCGAGGAAATGGTGTGTTTAAAACATCAAGTGTACCCACTCTAAATTCCCATACATCCTGATAGACTAAGGGTTATATCACAGTGACCATACGATCGTGATACAATTGCAAAATAAGGGCATTCTTGACAACGTCGAGCAAAACCCAGTTGTCTACCGAAAGGCTGATAACTTGATGTATAGATTTTAGGCCTCTTTTCTTTCGCCATTTTATCGTGATCCGAATGTTTGGATAAACATATGCAGTGTATTTTGTATGAAGTGTGTAGGTCGTTTTATAAACATACATTCACCGTGTTTAGAACAATATCGGAGGGTGAGCATGTGGTTTCTTCTTTTTCGTATTTAGTGGCACAAAGTGTGAACATTGATCATTAATGTTAGGATTTTTCGAGGAAATGGTGTGTTCAAAACATCAAGTGTACCCACTCTATATTCCCATACATCCTGATAGACTAAGGGTTATGTCACAGTGACCATACGATCGTGATACAATTGCAAAATAAAGGCATTCTTGACAACGTCGAGCAAAGCCCAGTTGTCTATCGAAAAGCTGTTAACTTGATGTATCGATGTTTAGGTCCCGTTTTTTCTTTCGCCATTTTATCGTGATTCGAATGTTTGGATAAACATATGCAGTGTCTTTTGTATGAAGTTAGTAGGTCGTTCTATAAACATACATTCACCGTGTTTAGAACAAAATCGGAGGGTGAGCATGTGGT